GTAAGACCTTTGTTCATCTTCAGAACACTAATTAAGATATTTTTGATGAAATCTGAGAGCTGGATCACTTGTCCATAGGCTTCTTGAGGGATTGAAAATTGCTGGGCTCAAAAAGTTTTTAAAGACATCGTTAAAACAACAACAAAGACATCGTCCAAGTGACTACAGTGGCTCAATCTTAACTTTATCAAGTGACGAGAACACTTTTTGCATGCAAAAACAAACATAAATAACGACTTTATTTCAGCTATTCACTTCCTTCTGTTTGAGCGTCTAGTCAGTTAAACTAGTGTAATTGCGTAGAGCTACATCACACATAGGCTCACTATTGGCCGACGCTGGTCATGTGTGTGATGCATGTGACGTAAAACAACTGATCATACGCCGTTAAACTAGTAACCTGACTTGAGGCCCAGAGAGAAGGAAATGAATATTTGAAATAAAGTCTTTTAAAGTCTTTTTTTTTTTTGCGCACAAAAAGTGTTCTCGTCGCTTGATAAACTTAAGATTGAGCCACTGTAGTCACTTGGACGGTTTTAACGATGTCTTATATAACTTTTCGAGGTCGGCAAGTTTCAATCCCTCAAGAAGCCTATGGACAAGTATGGAGGAATGATCCAGCTCTCAGATTTCATCAAATATATCTTAATTCATGTTCCGAAGATGAATGAAGGTCTTATAGGGTTGGAACAACATGAGGGTGAGTACATACTGACAGAATTTTCATTTTTGGGTGAACTATCCCTTTAAGTCATGAAACCTTATTGTAAGTATCACGCATATACATGTACATACTTATATATAGGGATTTGTGTTTAAACATGACTTGGACATGTTCTTGACAGGTTTCATGCGTTTGTGTTTTCTCGATGAGGCTGCACATGGATCAACATGACCAATGAGCTGCATAGTTTAAAATCAAACCCTTCAAGCACAGTGGGCAGGATACAAAAATACACATACTGGCATATGGACTAAATTTACGCCGAACATCCTAACACTATGAACCTCTGGCCACCGCTTGTGCTCCTTTGTGCACCCAAAGCATATAAACACATGCCATGATATTGTGCTAAATTCAGTGATGGTTTAAGAAGCTTAAGAACATATTTACTTTTTAAACAGATTACACATGAACGGACCAAGAAGAAAACAATCTGACCGCATATTCAGCACTGATTTTTTTTTTGGAAAAACTCCTGAAATTTTGCACCAAGGAATTCAAGCTAAGAAAATTATACTCAATATTGGTAGCTAAAAGAAATGCTAAGCAGCGCACATGACACAATAAACAAGAGCACAAATGCTAAGAGACCAGAGGGATTTGTTGTTTACCGCCTTGGTAACAATAAAACAAAAATTATTTTGGTCATTCTATCTCTCTCTGTAGATTGTTGTGTGGAAGACCTACTCCTCTCCACAAGGCATTGTGACGATCTGGTTGCACTCAGATATAAAAGACCCTTTGTGATTCACACATTGTCCTAAAACTAAAGACAAGACTTTCAAAGTATTCTCACCTAGTTGATGAAATGTTGATGTAAAATACCTGAGACAGCCTGACACCTACGAAAAATGTCACACTAAGACCAAAGTATGTTAGTATGTTTTCACTAAAAACATAGCACTTTTGTTCAATATAGCAGTTATGTCAATCATGTAAGACAAACATTGGTCTAACAATTGTTGCCAAACTGAACTACTTATCTAAAACTCATTTTGGTGGAAGATTATTTATCACATTGAAATCTAAAACCTATTTTTGTTAAATACAAACAATGTACAAGACAAGTATACAACTTTGTCAATTAAAGGATTGTAAAGTAACCATCATAAACTATGTAAATGCATGAATATTGTACAACACGTGTGTTATTATAGGCCAGGTTTAATATGAAACACTCAATTTTACACAACATGTAAGGAGTCCTTGCTCCGTCTCTCTAGCCAACAAGAGGGCCTGAAAAAAGTTTGAAGACTGATATATGATACTAAGGCTATTAAAATAGTTATATTTAGTAAAATGCTTGAGCAACACAAAACAATGTAAGAATCGTTTCCAAATCTGACATACAGGTGTGTAACAGCAGATCACAGGAATGTGACAGTTGCAATTTGTTTTTCCTGATGCTGACTGTTAGATATTTAAGGTGAAGAAAAACAGACCTCCTGAGAACTGGATAGACACACTGTTTATGCGCTGAACATGGCAAAAAACATTGATCAGAGTTTATAAAATATTGCAGGCAAGCAATAACATCTAAAATAGACATCAAAAAGTGTCTTGATACGACAGACCTGCTTTGTTTATTCAAGCCCATGCCATGCTTTGTGACCATCTTGGCCACAAAACATGTAGGGAATAAGGTGGGGGGTCGTTCAGTGCACTGAGAAACTTCTTGAACACCGTTGCACTGAAGCCAAAACCACAAGAACTCTGCAGATTTTCCATTCACATTATTATTGTTATCGTTATTTTTATAATTATTATAGGCCACCAACCAAAGGAGAAGGGCTTGAGTGGATATGACACTTGCGAATATTACTAAATAAACAAGATGATTTAAAAAGCGCTTTTGTGGGTGTTTTCTTTACCTGTTTTTGTGTCTTTGCAGCAGCGCGGTGCTGTTCGGTTCTGCAGCTGAAACGGTACCGTGGCTCGGAGGGGCTGCAGTCCTTGATTACCCACCCGGGTCACTCCACTCCGACACGACATTCCCACAGGAGCTTTATTGCTTTAAGAAGTCTTTCAAAAGTTCACGAATCTCGCAAACAACCGCGTTTACCCTAAGCTGATACTCCAGCAAAGGTTTTCGTCCAACTTAGCCGTCAAAAAATAAAAGTTTTATGGAAATATTTTAATTTAGCACACTCGCTAGCTAGTCAGCTAACGTTACTTTCTTTTGTGGTGATAGTGAAGTTTTTCTAAACTAATTACTTCAACAAAAGCCGTTATTGTTCTGTGTGAAAAAACACAAACTTGTATGCACCGTCCAAAACGGTTTATTCCACTTGGCCTACTAAACTTATAGTTGAGGAGCAGAACTACATTGTATGGGCTGCTGCCAATTCTTCTTCAATGCAAAATCTGACAACAGCCAACCTACACGCTCGTGTCGGGTTCAGAGCACTGCACAGCGTCTAAACACATGTTTCCATTGTGATTGGCTGCTGAAAAATACTACTCACACCTTATTGGTCGTTGGTAGCATCGATCTATTGGGGGTGGTTCTCAAAGTCGAATCTCCCCGCCCACTTCATTAAGATTCATATTTGTCAGAGTACCTCCAGCAGTGAGAGGAGAGTCTGCTCACTGCAGAGCCAATGGGTGGAGCTTGACGTCAAGTTCCTCTCTCTGGACGTAGTGGGTGGGGGGATAGACGCTTAAACCACACCCCAAATCCTACAATAACCCAATAATATCTAACTCCACCCATTAGGTCCACGAAGGTGGAGCTGGGCTAGGTCTAGCTCCACCCTTTACGTCCAGAGAGGAGCTGGACATAATTTGTGCTCTGCCGTGAGTAGCAAGTGTAAATAAATTATATTGTTGGTAAAATAAACAAAACAGACAAAAATAATGTGTGGTAGGTTAACAGATCTCATTGCTAACTGAAAGAAAATGGGTTTTATTGAAGCAAAAATAATTTTTGACGAGACATAAGCCTCTGGTTTCACAAATGAGTTTTAAATCTAGTCTAGTCCTAAACTAAAATGCATGTTTGAGCTGGTTTAACTGAAAGCAACTTGCACTGCCATATCTTAAAATATGTCAGTGTCATTGTTTTGTCTCGAGATGCACACCAGTAATGTTTTAAGGCATGTTTGGAAAAGCTACTTAAATGTCCTAAATGAACTAAAGCCTAATCCGGTTTAATCTAAGCTCTATCTGTGAAACCAGCTGGGGCCAGTTGCATAAACTGCTTAGACTAACGTAGTTTTAAAGGTTAGGCATCCGTTGTTTTTCTTCTTTTTTTTTCTTTAAGACTGTTCATAACTGTTTTAAGTCAATTAGGCAATATTACAAGGTAGACTGGTGTAATTTGATAGCCCACTAAAAAGTAAGACTGCCCCACATAATGGCTATGTTTATCCAACAGGCCCCTGACCTTAGGGTCTCAAGTGTTGTTAATTGGAATGTAAATATAGAGTGGTCGGTCGACCTATATAGTTGTTGTTGTTTGGGTTTTTTTTTTATGATAGATTGATTATTGATGTTTCTGATTGCTTTTAGAGGTAAAAGAACTGCAGCTGGTCAAAGATATTTTATTTCCATAATAATATCATATAGCGCGTTTTGCAGCATTTTGCAATGTAGCCAAATCACAAACATATCTGTTGAGTTCTTGAACGCTCAGAGGTGTTCAAGTTAGCAGTAAACAAAAGTGGATCGATAAAAACTAAGATGAATGACAACTTTTAACAGCCCATTCTCACCCCCAAGGCGTCACCTAACTGCCTTGGGAAGCATTTGGACATGCTTCAATATCTGACGCTTTAGGCGCCCTTTAGTGTCAGTAAGATGACGCCCTAGGATCGCGTGTACCCTACCCCCACCCCACACCTAAACCTAACCGCGTCTTCTAACTGACGCTTTCCTTTAGCGTCAGTTAGATGACGCCAGGATCGCGTCATGTAAGTGACGCTAAAGGGCGCCTAAAACGTCAAATATTGAAGCATGGTCAAAGGTGACGCCTTGGGGTGAGAATGCGTTAATGTACAATGCGTTTGTATCCTGCTTTGCAAAGTCATTACAAGCAATATCCACTAGATGTCGAGTTCTCCCGGGAAGTGCTGTACTGGTATTGTTGTGCTGTTTGCCCTGAAGCATTCTCGGATAAGAATTTAAGATTTAAGTGCTTTTTGCAATATTCAGAGAAACAAGTCTGAGGTAAGATGACAGAAGAATCATTTATTACAATTCAAAACTGCAGAGCCACCACTGCATAACAAAATAGACAATTATACAGAAACTGGGGTGGGGGGGGGGGGGGGGGTGGACGACGACACACCAATAAGATAAATATTACCAAATATTTGAACTTAGCTGACAACACTTGAAATGCTTGCTGTCACATTATATAACTGTCAAAGGCACAAATACAATGAGTAAGCCAATGCACTTACAGCCTCAATAAAGCGCATTTCACATGCAGATAGAGGCATCAGATTCTGCCTCCTCACTCCCTTGGTCTCTCTCTTTTATTTCCTTGTATCTTTTGTTCAAAGTTGATAAGTATAGGAAGGAGGTAATAATGTCTAAATCAGAGATTTGGCTGTGGTTAACATGTATAATGAGTAACTGCCAAGTCTTGAGTTTTTAGGATCACTTTGATTTATTTATGCCTTTGGTGCTGTGCCCTTGGGCTCTAATATTTGCATGAATGTTACAGACATTCAAACATTCTGATGAAGAGTTTACTGGAGGGTGGAAGATAAGAGTGAATAATAAATTGGAAAGTTAGAAGGTGCAGGAGGGTTCGCCATTCATGGATTTTTAAGATTGGATCTTACACTTCACAAATACCAAATTCAGATTAAACACCTTCTTCACCCATAAAACACAATCAATCCACACTGTTGTGTTTCAGATCCTTGGGAACGTTGGAGGATGTTGGTTGCACAATAATGTGATGTCTCTTCGGGAAAGTACAGTTGAGACAGAGAGTGTTTTGTTGGTTGTACTTTGGCGCACCCTAGCTGGGAGACAGGGCAGGACTTGGCTCTCTGCTGATGTTGACCAAATACTCGCTGGATTTGAGACTTGCCAGAGACTTGCAGCTGGGTAGAGAAGCCAAAGAACCACAAAGACCGAGCATAGAGGGAGTGTTGTCTTTAGCTGAAGAGAAGAGAAGAGAAGAGAAGAGAAGAGAAGAGAAGAGAAGAGAAGAGAAGAACAAGATTTATTAGTAATCAGTACTCAGACAGGCTTGTAATTTATGTTAATCCGTGTGTTTTTTACCTGCTGACCAGGCATTATCTCCATTCTGATGGCCATCTTCCTTCTGAGAGTCAGAGTTCAAACTCACATCAGCTGAGAGGTCCAAACTGTGAAAACTTCTCCTAAACCCAAACACATTAGATTGACTAGACTGAGTGGGGCTCTCCTGTGCAAAACCTGACTTCCAGGATATTGCTATCCAGTTGCTGAGGAGGTGTTCTGAGTGGTGATGGTCTTAAGATTTTGACTCAGTGCTTACCGACGGAACAGCTTTACGTTTCCTTTGTTGTTGGCGGCTTGTGCAGTTGTCCATTGGTTAATGAGTGGTATAGATAAGCCTTTTACTAAATGAGAGGACTCGCAAGGAATGATGCCAGTGCTGCAAAACATACCAGAATAAAGCTAAAAAGACTTCTTGTTGGCACGAATGCAGAATGTGTAATAGCGTGTGTGTGTGCATGTGTGTGCATACAGTTGTGCTTGTAGTTCCAGGATAATGGCCTCCAGTTCTTTCTTCTCTTGTTGACTCTGGACCTGTAGATCCTCTAATTTAGCATCTAGCCTCTTGTTCTCCGTTTCAACATTTTTCAGCTGGGACTCCCTCAAGCGCACCAATTCCTCTAAATAACCCTAAAATTACACATATTCATGGATTAGGATATGAATTCACTATTACTTTATGAATGCACAATTTCTGTTAACACAGATGAAACCTTATTGTAAAGAGTGTAAAGAGTCCTGACAGCTGTGTGTTGGAACATGGCAGTTGTTTATTTGTTTATTAATTAATGAAATAAACACCTAAAGACTTAAAGGACTTCACTTTTTTTTTAAAAACTTTTGCTGATAATTTACTCACCCCCATGTCATCCAAGATGTCCATGTCTTTCTTTCTTCAGTCGAAAAGAAATTAAAGTTTTTGATGAAAACATTCCAGGATTTTCTACATATAATGGACTTCAATGGGAACCAAACGGTTCAAGGTCCAAATGAGAGTTTCAGTGAAAACTGCAAACTGTTCAAAGGGCTTAAACGACACCAGACGATGAATAATGCTCGCCTTCGTTCTGCGATGAGCGTTCGTGACTCTCCTGTTCAAACTCGTTTATCAAAATGAACAAATCTTTTTTCGAGTCATAACTCGAAGGGTCCTAGATAAGACCCTTATTCATCGTCTGGTGTCGTTTAAAGCCCTTTGAAGCTGCACTGAAACTCTCATTTGGACCTTGAACCGTTTGGTTCCCAATGAAGTCCATTATATGGAGAAAATCCTGGAATGTTTTCATCAAAAACCTTAATTTCTTTTCAACTGAAGAAAGAAAGTGGTCATCTTGGATGACATGGGGGTAAATTATCAGCAAAAGTTTTTTTTTTTAAGTGAACTACTCCTTTAATTTAAACAAGGTTAACCAAATCACCCAGTGCCTGAAAGTAAAAAAAAAACTTCCAGTACCTTTTGGGCATAGACAATCTTGAATCTTTGCTCCATCTTTCTGCACTTGTTGCTCCAGGTCTCTTCGTCCGTGACCAGAGGAATGTAAGGATGCTCAGCTACACTCTCATCGCTGGCACTGCTGTCCACACTGCGGCGGTCTTCTTCATCACTCAAGTAGTCATAGCTGCAGGGCCACATCAATAGCAGCATATTAAGGGGCACTAAAAGGATTAGGCTTTGTGTTTGGTCAGCAAATAAAATGTATTAAAACCTTCTACCTCTGGGTGAACTTAAGGTAAGGTGTGTAGTCGATCACTGCAGGTGTCTTTCCATCCAAAACCTCTCCTTTCAGGCAGAAACTAATGGCAGCAAAAAAATAAAGACAGCCAGTATTATCATATCACTCATTGGTGAAAAATCACTCAAACTTCACATTTATGCAAGTTGCTTTTACCTAAAGTCAATGGCACTGAGTCCAATTAGCATACCCGTCAGAACAGTAGCCTCCTCCCTTAGCATAATGGCGCCATCATCATAAAATCTTCTGCAGTGCAAATATACATTTACAAATGCATTAAATTACTTTGAAACGATGAAGATAGCTGTAAAACACATTGTAAAGACAAGGTTTGTGACCTGGTAGTCCGAGTGTCTCTTAACGCAGTGGCTACATATTCCGACAAACGCTTCTCCATCAAAGCAACACGAATCCAGGCTCGCCCCTGCAAGAAAACAAGAAAATAACTTATAGAAAAACTTTGCAACCTAGCTAGCCTATGTTCACACTGTCAGTTTTGGGGATTGACAATTGCATGTACTTATAGGTGTGAGTCTCCAAATGTCCCGTTCAAACAGCAACTTACAGTAGCATCTATTGGAGTCAAGCACATATTCTATAATCAGTAACCACAGCGACAGTCCATTCTAGCGTTATTTCCACTCATTTGCAGGCTCTGCTTCACAGACACATATTTGATTTGGCACAGGTTTTGCCCTTCCTGGCACAACTGAGACTGCTGGGACACATTCACACTCACAATTTGAGATGTCCAATCCACTTTTGACTGTGGGGGAAACCAGAGCACTTGGAGGAAACCCACGCCAGGTGGAGAGCATGCAAACTCCACACAGAAAGGACTCCTGGCTCATCACTCAAGAAGTCAATCGAGCCTCTTTGTGATGAGAGGAGCTTTGAGCCGCGTGTTGAACACTAAACTGTGGGCTCAAAATGGGGACCTTCTTGCTGGGAGGAGACAGCTACCCACTGAGCCACCCTGCCACCCTAAACACTGTGACAGTGATATCATAGTAATATCATAGATGGCAAAGTCCAATCGAGTGAACAAAAGAATCCATCAAACCTTCATTAACTGACAGCAGGTTTAATATCTGAGTGGAGAGAGAAGCATTTGAGTCACGTGTTGAACACAAAACTGTCTCCAGAGGAGAACAGTGACTGGATCTAAAACCTTCAGATGACACACTACACATTTCTCTGTCACTGTAAGTTACCAAAAGTGAAACAACATAGGAAAACCCACGGTACACGCGATAGACATGCATTTGTGCTCGGCTGCTCTCTTGCACTACAGACTGATCTCATGAAGTAGCGTGTGTATGACACGCCAATTCGTATTTCCATTTTTAGCGTGCTATCAAGACGCATAATCGCTTTTCAGCGCGTTTATGAACGCCGTTGACTTAACGTTATTACTGTATATATAAATATATGACTTACCTCAACCCCGTCCCTAAACCTAACCGTCACTGAGGTTAATGGCATTTATGACTGTTCCCTTACCATCCTAGGAAAAAAAAAGATCGCTCCCCAGATGTAGATCTACATTTTGCTTCGTTTCGCGCGGATATTTGACGGCGTGTACAGACACGCGGAATCACTCAGACGTTAATGGCGTAGACATCCACGCATGCACGCGGATACACGCGGATAGCTCAAAATGCGTAGAGATAACACGCCACTTGACTCGAAAGTGGCGTATATGTTTACGCAAAAGTCACTATGTGATGTGAGTCGTGACAGTTAAATTAGTTTTCCAGTCCGGTTCCGTTGACACAGTGAGGTTTTTCGAGAATGCGGTTGTGAGTCCTGAAAATTTACAGCTGTAAGTTTGATTATATACATGTAATATGGTTGTGACTCCGGTAAATAACTGAACTGTGTGTGAATGTAATTAAAGACTCAAATCCAAGACTGGCAACCAATTAGAAAATCTTCTCACAGGGTAAAGATAGAATGCTTGAAGCTGAAAGGTTGCAAGTGTCTTGCCTTTGCTCGTGACGTGCTAATGTTCTCAATGCTCTCAATGCTACTGATGCAGTTGTTGTAGACTTTACTGCAGGCCAGGCGGATATAGTCCCAAAAACTCCTCTGGCCATCTGAACTGAACCAACCACCTGGACCTGATGAAAAAAAAAAAAAAAAAGATTATTCATGAGTACTGACACTGGGCATTGACAGAAAAAGTTGTGTAAATGTATACCTTTGAAACGGTGACTGAGGATGTGCTCCAAAATTGCTGCAAAGTTGATAAACTCCTCTGATGAGTCATCAATAGGCTCAGCAGTGTACTTTTCCAACAACGTCTTCACAGAAAACCTGAGAGGGAGAGAAAGAAAGAGTAACAGCAGTAAAATTGAGTTACGCTAGATATGCTACGTAACAGATCCGATTTGGAAACTCCAAATTCATCAAAAACACAGAGCAACACAGTGATGAAACCCCACACTTCGCTAACAGTATAATCAGCATCTCACAGATACAAAAACTAGCATTGGTGCAGGCCCCACTCAATGCTGCCATTCTGACTGATGTAAAGACGGGCGGTTTCGGGAGCGGTGCCACAGCGGACTGCTGAGGTCAATCCCAATTGTCCTGTGTGCAAGACAATGCCCTTTTGATGCCACGTTCACGTTATCACTCCTGCCATCACAATTGGAGTCCTTGTGCCCTGGCCAACAGCGTTATGCTACTTGTCGGCGTGGCGACTTTTGTCCTTTCGCCTGGGTTCCATTCAAACCCCTGTGGCTTTTTTTAAAGGAACACTATAGTGAGCGAATCTCCCTCGTATCCTAACACACTCATTTTCTCCACCCACCCACTTGCTGAAATGGTGGTGTGATCTATTTAGGGCTGTCCCGATACTGTGTACAGTTTTCTTCTAGCACAGTCAAACCTGCAAGGCGCTGGTATGCTAAGACTCTAGCCCACTCAAAGGGAAGAGGAAACAGAGAGAGAACTGAGAGTTCGAAGACCTGATGACCCACATGCCTTCATGGGGAACACCAGTATTACAGAAGGGAAGACTGCCCTGTCTGTAGGCGGCTCTTCAATAGCCCGGGGCAAGACTTCCATCACCATGGGCAAGTCCAACATCACCCGTGGGGTCACCACTACCTCTATGGGAGACTCTACCATAACCAGAGGCAAGACCACCATATCCCTGGGCAAAGCCAGCTTCAGCCGAGGCAAAACTACGACCTCCTTCCGCAAGGCCCTCATGCCCAAGCGCCGGACCAAGTAGATGGAAAGGAGATCCGCAAACGCTGAAACAAAGACAAAGACTTCAACAGCAAGAAAGAGCACTGAGAAGGACAAGACAACAGATATACAACAAGAGGACGACTCGGAAGCCTCAAAAGGAAAGGCTTTTCTTCTATTGAGAAAGACTTGCTTTACAAAAGGGAAAATCAAACTGATGAAAAGCAAGAAGGCCATGTCATGGGGGAAGACAGCTCTTTCGAGGAGCAAGACCAAACTGAGGAAGGGAGAGACTGCGTTTGTGGTGGGTACAACTACAATCACTCATGGAGAGACTACTAGTTCTTTGAGCAAGGCCACTTTAAGTCAAGGGGAGAAGTCTGTCACTGTAGTTAAGACTTCCCTCAAAAAAGGCAAGGAAACGCAATGGAATCTCTACTGGGATTTTCATCTGTGACATAAAGACACAAATATAACTGCAAACAGATTATGTACAGTATATGTGTATGTTACCACAAAGACTGACTTTAAAGTAGAGCGTTCAAGCAGGTTGGATGTCTTGTGAGATGCAAGTGTTTGCCAGCTTGCTCTAGAATTGCACACAAATGCATTCTAGAGGCAATATGAAGTGCAAGTGTTCCTTAAATTAGCTTGGAACTGAGCGTGACATCTTTGTCCCTGAAAGAGAATAGATATGATTTTAAAATAAAGATTTGTCTGAGAGAACATGTTCAGAGATCAGGCGCAAATCTGGTTTCCATGAAGAGAACATGCATGCATGCATGTGTGAGGGTGTGCACTTCCACAACTGGAATGGCTTTTATTGCTGTTCACATGCAGAAGGGTCTAAGTTGGATAATGATCAGGAATCCAGATCTGAGATTGTTTTGCAAGTGGAATTGTATCAGTTAATTGGTACTAACCAAGTCATAGTAAAACATTTTAACTTCAACCATAGCCTTACAAATAAAATGCGCATTGTTAATTCTTCGACTTCTTAATCTTACATTAATGTAGCATAAATCAACTAAATCCGAATTGTCAATAAATAGACCTATAAACTGGTTAAAACATTGTTTTAATGTGTCTGTCTTCAAAATATTTCAGAGGGTTTATTTTAATTTACCTTAAGTTAGGCACACACTTTTGCTTGTCAGACTATACAATGTGATTACAATCATATCTTAGGTAAAATCCACCTTTCTTTTGTCAGACTGTGCAGTTGTATTCCAGACTTTGATTCCACTCGTCCCATTGATTTATTTTAAAAAAAAGAGGTCAAAAATACAGGCTTTACCTTTTACCAAGCATAGGCTATATATGAAACAATGCTTCGGTAATAACTAATTTTAATGCACATTTGAGGGGTCTGATATAACAAAATCATTAAAGTAGACCACACCCTTGAGTCTCGAGGTCTTGGGCTCAGTCAACACGACACCTTTTGCAGAACCCATGTACAGTATAAGTCAAGAAATTTCTATCAGTTCCAGGGAGGCACAATGCCACGGAACTGAGTGATGTCACCCCCGATTGTGTCACCCAACAATGTGTTCTTCAGTGCCTCGCTTTAGCGACGGTACAATGTGGTCTACTGTCCGCTCTGCCCCCATATAGAACTAAGGCCTCCTACGGCAGCCTCTGTCCATTCACGGCACACAGGGGAGGTATGTGGCCTTGCGAAGCCCACGTTATGCTGCTCAACAAGTGCTTTATGCTGCTGCATGGGGGTTGCTCTCACCACGCTTAGCATTCCTGTCCCATCCCGACACTAGCTGTTTGGACTGTCACACCCAGCCAGGCACTGTCTGTGTGAGTTGGGATGTGTTGCTGCCAAGCCATCGTAACCTTATCCTGTAGAAGCAGGAGAGCACAAGATTCCCAAGGGAAAGAAGAGAAGATTTAACCGTGAACGTGCTCCGGGTAAGATCGTCTAAGCTGGCTGCAGGAGGAGACTTCCTGGAGCTTCTCCACCACCACCTTCGGTTCCACCATGGGTAATACCAGTATCACAGAGGGCAAGACGGCCCTCAACCTGGGGAGCACATCAATCAAGAGAGAGAAGACCAAGATGTTGATGGGAAACTCTTCTATCTCCCGCGGGAAGAGCACAACATCCCTGGGCTCCTCCACCATCACCAGTGGCAAGACAAAGATCTCCATGGGTGGCGCCTCATTCAGCCGAGGCACCAAGTCTACGTCCTTCCGAAAAGCTTTCATGCCCAAGAGGAAAACTCTTTAATGGCGAGTAAGTCAAAAATCTATGGGGAGGGTGGAGGGTGCTGGGAGTGGTATGGGGGGACAGTTTCGCCAAGCTGGAAACAAAGAAAACATAAGCAAATATCACCAACAGCTGAGGAAACATCTTCATCACAGCGTACCTTCTGTGGAGATAATTTATTGCATCTTGCAAAAAAAATTGCCATTCAAACAAAAATCCATTTTGGACCAAGTCTCTTTTTTGTTTTCATTTCTCTGGAATACATCCCAGATACAGGTTAGTAACTAATGAATCCAGCTCCAAAGGATGATGGTTATGACATGGACTATTATTTGCAGCAATAATAGATTTACTTTTAGCAATTTCGTAAATTATGATAATACCTCTCATTATGTAATATTGCTATTTCAAGGTTTTACACAGATCACTGATCTTGCCAGCATGGATTTCAGTTTAGTCACCTGTAGTTGTTTGATATTCGCTGTTTCATTGCTTCATTATTTGACCTGAGCAAAATTTGTCCCTCTGTAATGACAGCTCAGTTAGATTTGAATGCCCTAAACATCATAAACTCTTGAGTCTAGATTTTCTCCTTGGCTCTATGGCTCATCCAAGAGGTGTTCCACAGAGGTGGTCCACAAGGGCATGTAAAATCCCACACTCTGAGAACAATGCTAATCATTTGAGTAGGACAACTCCGAACACCAGCCAACCAAATAATTGGATTGCGCACTATGCCTGGTCAAATATGAAGATGTGCAGATCTCTAAAGGTTCTTAGGGTGAGGGCTAAAGGGTGAGGGCTGAAATGCTAATATAGAAATGTGGCAGCAAGACTGTCTTGGTACGATTTGACACTGAAAAACAAACGTGCAGCCACTTAACAAATGGCTTTTGTGTTCTTAGTCTCGCCCACTTTGGTAACAGGCCAAAAACCAGACCCTTGAGATTTTTGTTCGTTTTTTCAAGGTACATTTGCTTACACACGCAATTACCTCTAATTTTCTCAGGGTTCTGGATTGTTCTCAGCTTTTAAAGCTTACAGGCCACTGATAATAAGGTTAGATTTGCTTTGTACCTCCCACTTTCTTGTTATGCTTTGGTCCCTCTCTCCCATACCCTTTCTATCAATCATCCCTATTTCCATGTTCTGGCCCTCCTCTCCCAAGCTTGCTTCCTAGAACTGGAGGATAGTTAAATGGGTAAGGTATGTGTAGACTGAGAAGCTAAGTAAGTGATAACGATTGATTGTGTAATTATTCATTCAGCCTGATTGCTCTGAGTTAGAAGTTTAAGTTTATCATGAAAGAAACAGTCAGAGGTCGCTGAGCTGGTGCCAAGACATGTTCCTAAGAAATCAGATGGTCAAGGAACGGCATTTCAAGGATGAAGATTGAACTGAAAATATGGCAATTGAAACCCAATTCCCTCCCTTTTAAAAACATATTTGTGTAATATTGATCTCCAAAACCTTTAAGGGAAATGCAAGTAGAAAATTAACACCATCAACAACCTCCAAAACATTATCAAGATAACTATGTCCCATACGATACATTCTAAGTCCCATAAGACAGACATCATCCAGTGGCTTCTTGTATATCATTCAGATGACAAGTCATACACAAAACTAAAGCTGTTGATTGTACTGTACAAAGACTGACACTGAATTCAAATGCTCATCCTTGCAGAGTTCTTGAATCACCGGAGTCCACAGATTTGCATTACTAGCTTCAGCTGTCTGGAAAACTTTTTCAAGGAGAAAAGCAAAACGGGCCATACCATTTTATTGGAAAGTCAAGACATGGGGACATCAACAAGAGCCATTCTTTGACCGCTGGAACTCTTACTTTTCGACTTTGACCTGGGAGGCAGTCATCATGCCTTATTTTACACTTCATAAACTTCATAAAACCCTGGCAATAGTGATGTTACTGCCATACACTGTTACAAATGTTATGGTCTAAAGTACTGAGCTATTGCCCTGTATATGACAGCAATGTTTGGAAGGACCTTTTATCCAAAACAACTTACAGTGCATTCAATGTATTTCATTAGTAAAAAACAACCAACAAACATGTAAACGTATCGTGAGTGCCCCCTTATAATGAAACCTTTATTTAGCCCCTGAAACTGACATCCGTTATAGTGTGAGTGTAAAAACTGAAAAAGTAGAAAACTGAAACTGTGTTACTGTCTATAGTTATGTCAGTGATCCAGACTGTATATGTGTAACCACCATTGTAAAATAGGCAAAAGACATGCAAAATCACTAATGCTTTTGATCTTAGCGCAGAAGGAGCTCAGCTTTGAGATAAGTGTGTCTGTTGGTCAAAACTCTTTTCCACAATGTCAACAGCTCTCAGTTTCAGCAAAGATGCTTAAGATTAATATATTGGTTAGATTTGCCCCTGATTTCCAGTTTTGATCATTTACCACGAAGACTAATGATTTAGGGGCCAAAAGCAAACATTTCCCTGACCGTTGAGAATTTCAACCTAGTATAAAGTTAGCTAAAGACTAAGCAACAAGTTTCATACATGGGCATTGAATTGTCAGACTGAGAGACACGACAATGGGGGTAAGGGTTTGATGATTGAGAGTGAAGGAACTGAAATGTCTCCTGATCTCAATGTACCAGAGAAATACAACACTCATGATAGAGACACGGGAGGTTTTAGCTACTTTAGCTATGTGTCCCTAAGAGCATCATGTAATCGGAGCTAATCACGATTCAATTTAATTAAGCACTGTTTGAGATTTTTTTGCTAGCAGCCATTAATTAAGATTCGATTTTTTTTTCTTGTCAAGTTCTTCGTCCTGTGTGTCTATTTGTTCAATGTCACAAACAACTCTCGAGTGGCCATACGAGAGATGTGGGTAGCAGAGAAAGGCCTCTGCCCTTTTCAACAAAAGCGTCTTTGTGTTTATAATAATCTGTGAGGTCTGAAGTCCATATTTGTAATTCTTTCTTATTTGTTTTTTCCCCATGCATTAGCATAGCATGTGTTTCATGTGTTTAACAGTTCCTACATTATGCCATCCTGATGGTAGAACCTTGGAAAGTTTGGTTCTAACCACAGTGCTGTATGCTTAATAAATATGAGCTGACATTAATGAAGATTGTTTTTCTTGTAGATTTATTTTATGTTTAGGACTAGAACCCATATTCCTATTGTCTGCAGGCAAACAGATGGGGATGATGATGTCACAACAGCTTGCCACATCACAATCATCTCTTTGACTGCATTTACATTATGACAACACAATCGTGCTGCTGTCCCAACAGGAGTGACAGTGTTCTGTGTCCATTCAGCAACTGTACGTGGCCTGGCTGGGGCGCCCCCAAACATGAATAATTCAACATCCACTTAATGTGCTGTACTGAGCAACCGGTAAAGTGCAGCTCTGGTGCAGTCCCACACAGCCCTGCAGAACAGAATGCAGTGGTGGAATTCTATGTGCCTCATAAACTTCAGTCATGACTCACCAATGCATGTTGCACAGTGTGCTGGGACAAAATGTGCACATACAGGGCTGAGCCTCTCCAATCTGCAATGACTTATGTGCAATTAAGTCAAGACCTTTATGATGTGAATCTCCCAACGAGAGCTAAAACAAAATAACTTTTAATATCTGAATTGATAAAACATCTGTAAATGACTACTAATAACTGCATACAAATTTAGTAAACTGACTTACTCACTGGCATGATGAAGGAATAAAAACAAAGTTGACATTACAGTAATTCTTGTGAGATTTGGTGATCAGTCAGATAGTAGAACGAGAAAAAATGTGTGTATACTATTTGAAAAGTGCAACTAAATGTGAGGTGCATTTGACATATTCATAAACAGTAAATGTAAGGAGATCAATTTAATATCATTTTCGCTAAAAGTAACACCATAACCTAAATTACATTAGCAGAAAGTTGTTTCTGCTAATGAGATAAAGAGATAAAGTTATTTGATTTTGAGATGAACAACATTCTATCCACCAATTGTTCACAAATAGGCCAGGAACATGCATTAAGAAAATAAATAAGATCTATTTTGATTATGTTTCAATATCACATAATCATGTGAAACATCTTTGTGAAAGGCTCTGTGAGGGTGAAGGTCAGGTGTGGTTTAAGCATGTCGCGTGAAGCGTCCACGGCATGAAAATCGTCGGATGGATGTAATGACGTCATGGATGCTGTAATTAAATAAGGGACCAACGTCCTTGAGGGCCTCATCTTCAAGAATGTAAATCAGAAAAGATGCAATAACATGACGTTTTGTCCCAGTTAATAAAAATAATAAAGGCTAGGTAACATGATATTATCTAAATGAAAACACGATTGGTGTCGTGAGAGCAATTCGATATGTCATGCAACAAACTAGCTACCTGCAGACGGTGATTAGATTCTTGCGCTCCACGCCGACGTTTCTAGAAGACGATTTTTTCGACGTTAGACCCATAGCCATTGCGGTCTGGAGACAGCCTGACTTCATGAATCAGCGGAGGCTGCATCGAGCCTCAGTTTCCCGGCTGCGCGACTCAAACCCCTCCCTTCTTCCGCCGAGCTGCTGCTGGATGGAGGTATGCCCACTCCAGGGCTGGGGGACGACAGAGCTACACACAAATACAACATTTTACTACACTTGCACTTTTTTAACAAAGAATTTGTGATTTGTTAATTCTATTTAACTGTCAAAAGTACAAAGAAAAGATTTTAGTGGTTTTACTGACCAAATTATGGCTAATTGAATTTTAATTGTAAATATAGGCTAAACTAATTTTGATGGCTGCAACACACTCCAAAAAGTTGGGACAGAGGCACATTTACCACTGTGTCACATCACCTTTCCTTTAATTACGCTTTTTAATAATTACTAATCGAAATTACTATTGTAGTGCAGGGTATACGCAGGTATACGAAGTATACCCACTTCTTTTTCAGTCAACTTTGCGTATACCCACATCTAAATCCCCTCTGATGCGCATCATTTAGTTGCTATCCAATCTTGTGAATAAAAAACACCCAAACAGACAGGAGCTGCCACCCCAAAGACAACACACACTGGCTCGGGAACGGGAAAAGGAACAGACTCGGGAACAGGAACAGACTCTGGCTCAGGAACAGGACTCTGGCTCTGGATCAGCCATCTTGCGTCTCTGGCTCGGCAGAAGTGACGTGAACAGTCTCTGACTCGGGCATCTTGTCTGTAGACACTGGCTCGGAGGAAGTGACGTGAAAAGTCTCTGACGCAGCCATCTTTACCGTAGACATACACACTGGCTCGGGAACAGACAACACACACATTGGCTTGGGAACAGACACACACACACTGGCTAGGGAACATACACTGGCTCGGTAAAAGACACACACACACACACACACACACACACACACACTCTGGATCGACCATCTTGTCCGTAGACACTGGCTCTGTAGAAGTGACGTGAAGCGTCTCTGGCTGGACAGACGTATGTGAACAGTCTCTGGATAGGCAGGGCTGATGTGGAGCTCAGGCTCTGAACTGGACAGGACCAGTGGCGAAGGCTCAGTGCTGGGTGTGACCAGCGAGGAAGGCTCTGGGCTGGACGGGACGTGAAGATCAGATGACCTGGCGTGCCACGGGAGAAGCTCTCCAGATATCTGGAGAGTGCCCCTCTCCAGTCCACACCGGAGAGATCGGAGAGCACCCTCAGGTCAACCTTTGCCCCCAGCCGGTAACACATCTTAATTATCTCTTTTCCCAGGATGAGATAGCAGGAGCAGGAGGCAGCGTCCAGCAAACTCCCGGTTCATGCTGTGAAGATCCGGTGAGATCCATACTACTGGATTCATGATTTGGGTAGTTCTTCTGTAACAATGCGGAAGGAATGAAGCAGAAAAGTGAATCCAATCGCGAGCACATTTATTAACAAAACAAACAGACAGGGTTTAAATACAGAGACTAACAAGCTAAACAAGATAACAAAAGGTCGTGGTCAATCAGAAACACCTGGGGATACCAATAAACTAGAAAAACTACAAAGGACTACAAAACATGACACATAACAGGAAATAACTAAAGTTCACACAAGACAAGGGAAACACAGACAGGAATCAGTCATGAACTCACACTGTGACAACTATCCCTTTAAATATACACTGTTCAAATTCACTGTTCATGCTTCAAAATGAAAATTCTGTCATCATTTACTCATACTCAAGTTGTTTCAAACCGGAATTCATTTCTTTCATCTGTTGAACACAAAGGAAGATATTTTCAAGAATGTTGGTAACCAAACCGTTGATGGGCTCTATAACATATTTATGTTCTTACTATGGAAGTCAATGGAGTACATCAACTGTCTGGTTATTCTTCAAAATAACTTCCTTTGTGTTCAACAGAAGAAAGAAATTAATACAGGTTCATAGATAGGCCTACACATTATTTTATACTACATTGATCAAAGGTGACAGTAAAGACATTTATAATGCTGCAAATTCAGCTTTGCCATCACAGAAATCAATGACATTTAAAAGATACTAAACAGTTATTTTAAATAGTAAAAATATTTCACAATATTTCCATATATATTTGATCAAATAAATGCTGCCTACGTCTTTATGAATGATACCAGCACAGAGTTTGGAAACAAATCATGCATGCAGTTGATTGTACATTTCATTACCTCTCACGTCGTCATAATCATCATTGTCATCTCTCATGGCTAGAGGAAATGCTTTCCAAGAAACGTTCATGTATGTCCTAAAACCGGTAAATCTGGATAACCGATAAAGATAAAAGCACTCATTTTACACAACATAGATGGAGAAAGTCAGTATACAAAACAAGTAGAACTGACATTTCTAGACATAAGATTTAATAACTTTCTTTACATGTTTTTGTACTGTGTGTGACTCTTCTTGCATTGCTCAGTTAACCAGAGGTGACAGTAAAGATTAAGTTTATTTCAAGTGTCAGGCATAAGCAGTCAAAAGCAGAGGCATAGAGAAAAAAGATGAACTAGCAAAGAAAATTGAAGACTTTTGTGAATTTATGAGATTGTAGGTCTACTCCATCTGGTATGCTGTTATTTGGTCCTAAGCGACATCATGGACATCAAAGACCTGAAATGACAGATGACTGGGGCGTGTACTGCAAATACTGAGAATAAAGGCATATGAAACAATATGAGCCATGGTGGTGGGGGCTGAGAACTAAACAAATAAACAGGACAGCACCTGGTTTACATCATTAGAGATCTGAGAGTTGCGCAGACAGCAGTCAGAACACACAGACGAGTATGAAGTTTAACATAGCTGTTGTTGGAATCATACTTCTCAACATAGCAGGTAAGATCTTACTAAAGTCCACAAGTGTAAGCTTAATAATGTTTAAATGGTTTAATAATGACAAGTCAATTTGATTCCTGTTGCGAAGGACCTTTGTAACTCTCCCACCCCGATACCTGATGGATGCAAACACACTTTTAAAGTTTGTGGTCAGTAAGAAATTTTGTTTTGGAAAACAAATTAAAGAAATTAACACTTATATTCAGCAAGGATGCATTAACAGTATTGACAGTAAAGACATTTACGTAACAAAACTTTTCTATTTCAGATAAATGGTTCTTCTGAACTATGTTAAAAAATCCTGAAAAATGGCCACAATTGTTTTCAACATTGATAATAATGATATTTATTTCCGCAGCAAATTAGCATATTAAATGGATAGTTCACTTTGAAAGACATTTTTGGTATGTTTTAGTTTACATCAAGGATAAAAACAATATAAATACTGTTCGTTTTCTCAAACAAACCGCTCATTTTGTGTCTTAGGTCATCAGTCTGTACTTACATTTATGAGTTATTAAATCATGTTTAATTTGGACTTCTCTGTGCATGCTCTTTGAGGTGGTGACCATAGACCTGCATTATATGACTGACAGACAAGAACAGTTTGACCTAAAAATATCAAAATTGAAACTACTGTGGAAACAAAGACACTTACATATTGGATGCCCTTGAGGAAAGCTAAAACATACCAAAAATTAATTTCAAAGTGAACTATCCCTTTAAGTATCATGTGACACTGAAGACTGGAACAAATTATGTTTAAAATTCAGCTTAAACATAACTGCAACATATTTCTGGAATAAAGGCTATTCAAATAGAAAACCTAATCAGGTACCTGCTGCCCCTCCCCAAAATTTTCTTGGGACGAGGCTCTGGAAGGACGGCCATCTTGGCCAAAGACAAACTCTCAGGCGTGGCGGCAGCCATCTTGGCATCTTGGACGTGAACAGTCTCTGGCTGGGCAGGCATGACGTGACAAGGCTCCACATAATCCTCAACTGGACGCTTATCTTGGCTGAGGCGGAAAAGAAGAATTGCTGGGTCTATGTTGGTCGAGTATTCTGTAATGATTTAATCCTCTGGAGACAAGTTGAAGTGATAACCCAAAAGCAATTTAATAATAAAACGTAATCAAACATAAAAACAAAGGCATGACGAGGCATGAAACTGGAAACTCAAAACAAGAACATCAACAGAAAACATTCAATACTGCACAAAGACAAAGGGCACACACAACACCTCCCCCCCTCTGTGTGATTTTGATTTCTCTCAACATGGGGACAGGAGATGTGTCAGTCAACAAATGGGAAAACAAAGTAACACGTTACTTATTTGAAAAAGTAACTCAGCTATTTTGTTCTAAATTTAAAAATAACGTGTTAGTTTAGTTACTTGAAAAAAAGCAATCTGATTACCTGCAAAGCATTACACCCAACACTGATTTTAGTAACATGGCTATATTCATGAGAAAGAATTAGCCTATCTTCATTCAAGTCAACAGTTTGTCCCAAAACATTTACGTAAAAGGGGAGATAGCGAAGTTGCAGGTAACACAAACCAGTTCATCAGCTTTGTAAGCGTTTATGTAAATATCTGGTATCTGTCTCCCTCATAGGTTCTCTCTGCCAGTTAGATGGTAAGTTCTTAATGACCATAACACTCTTGTTCCACGTATTTTTTATGCTTTTGGACATTTTATTTGGAAATTCCCACATTTTCTTTCCTATATTCAGTATGTGGTCAAGCTCCCTTCAACAACAAGATTGTTGGAGGACAGGATGCAACGGCAGGGTCTTGGCCGTGGCAAGTCAGCATTCAAAGTGACTCTGGAGGCCATTTCTGTGGCGGGAGTCTAATCAATAAAGACTGGGTTTTGTCTGCAGCTCACTGCTTCCAAAGGTATGAAATTGAAGCTTAAAGGGTTAGTTAGTGAACTAACCCTTTACATACTTCTCAAGACACAATTATAAATTGATCACAGTGGAATTAAAACTGAGTTCGCCTATTCACAGCTCCTCCATGGGTACCATAATGATCTACCTAGGACGTCGGAGCCAGTCGGGTTCAAACCCTTATGAGGAATACAGGACAGCGATTCAATTTATTAACCATCCAAACTATGACAATCCTAGCGATGACAACGATATAGCATTGCTCCAGCTCTCCTCTTCTGTGACGTTCTCTGATTATATCAGGCCTGTCTGTCTGGCGGCTGCTGGTAGTGTGTTTGCTGCAGATACAGAGAGCTGGGTCACTGGATGGGGCCTTTTACAAGCTGGAGGTGAATTTACTTGCAAATACTGTAAAGCTCAACAATTCACTCTAAATGGCTATTAAATGACACTAAAATCGTCCTCTCATCTATGTCACAGGCACCCAGATTCCTGACATACTGCAGGAGGTGATGATACCAATTGTGAGCAACAGTGACTGTGATAATGCTTATGGAGGTGGCATCACAAGCAATATGATTTGTGCTGGATTGCTAAATCAGGGAGGGAAAGATTCATGTCAAGTAAGTATCAGTCAATGATTTGAACCTTTTTTTAATTTACAAACCTATACATTACCTGTACATTACCAACCTGTGAGGGTTGCCAGATCTAAGTTACAAAATTAGCCCAATGATTCAGTCCAAACATCAAAACTCAAAATATGCCACTGTTACATCTGTCTCTCTTCTCTCAGTCACAATTTAACCACTGAATATGCTAGTAGTATCCTTTGCTTTCATAAAGGAGCTCACACCCTTTGCAGCTTAAAGTTGGAATGAAACAGAAGTAATGATAATCTTTTCTTCCCTATTGTGACAAATCCAAGTGAAACGGCTTCTCAAAAAATGTAGAGCGGTAATTGATTGGATCTCTATGGCTACTGCTGTGATTTCATATGAGTGACTGGTTGTCCCGCCCATCAGAGAAGAGTGGTTGTTGCAAGGAGAAGTTATTTTAATCAAAATGTCCAGATGAATTAAAATTACACTTCTTCTTTTTTTTTTATGGAGAAAGATACTGATGTTTTTCTTAATGTATTTATTTACCTCTATATTACTGGATTTTAACAATAATTTAAATATGCACATTCTTCATATTCTCTTGCTTAAATACAAAATAACTGCAGTGAATGCAAAGACCAGTTAAAACATCATACTAGAATCCATTGTGTGTCTCTGCTGACCTCTTGTGGAAAAATAATAATATGACATTTCATGACTATTGCCACTAGATAGCCTTAAAGGGATAGTTCTACAAAAAATACAAATTAGCCACGATTTACTCACCCTCAAGCCTAGGTGTAAATGACTAAATGATTGAAAAAAAAAATACAATCGAAGTTATAGGCTATTAAATGTCCTGGCTCTTCCAAGCTTTATAATGGCAGTGAATTGGTGTTAAACGTACAGTATGCAATTTTTGGCCACCAGGGGTCACTCATTTAAAATAATAACAAAAGACGTACTTTGATGACGTCGGGAAAGAGCGTGGGCTCACGGGAGTTGTTGTCGCTGTCAATGACAACCAGCTCAGCTCATGACATGACATCATCGTTTCACAAAATATACAGATATACGGCATCTCTCTGTAGATTTAGCATTTTCAAGAAGCTTTAAATGCAACCCCAATGTTTACCTGTGTCATGCTTCTCCTGTCCCAAACCCTTCTTGGGTCATATTTTTCACCCGTAGGCCTACATTTGAGCTTTACTGAGCTGGCTGTAGCAGCAGAACGTGCAGGCATAGCGTAATCGTGGTCCATAACTATAATACAGACGAATATAAATATTTATATTAGGCCCCTTCAATGAATGACCTATTTTAGAACATTTTTCATGTATAGGGCGCACCAGATTATAAAGCACATAAGATACTGCAGTCAAAACGTTTGACTGGGTTTGCGTTATGCATCCACTATGTGCTAAAGGCTAAAGGGAATGTAGTGAGTGCGCGGCGCCGGAGGTGAGGCTTTTATTTAGTAAGCATGATGAGCACGCTGGAGCGGGCACGTAACTTACATTCGCAGCCTGACTCATGAGTATTCAATGTGCGCGGCTCGCTGGATGAGACGAGCCGGTTACTGTGAACAGGGAGCACTTCATGAACATTCTGTGACGCGCGAGCAGCACCGGGCAACTTTTTTTTCTTCGTTATTTTCTTTGCTTTATTGGCGGTAGTCCAGTGTTCCCCTTTGTGTTTGGCGGGTTCCGCCGGTTCCGCAGGAAGTTAGAGAAAATAGAGGAGTCAAAGGTTATATGACGCCATAGACGGGCGACGAAACGGAAATAAAGAAACGTCCCGTGTCTTCGAATTAAACTATAAATTTCTCCGTATTTTAAAGTTGGTGCAAACTGTCGGGATAATGTAATTGTTGAGATAATGTAGCCTCCTCCTCCTCTGTGGACTCTGGGACAGCCTCATCTCCGTGGACTTGGGGACAGCCTCCTCCGCAGCCGACTCAGGGACAGCCTCCTCCGCAACAGACTCACTAGGACAGGTTTTGAAATTAGTGTGAGGTTCTGGAGTTCCTCATTTGCAAACCCCACCATAAATGGACCACTCAATAAAAGTGCGAATCCGACATATTGTGCCACAGTATATATGCGGGGTATCGTTAGGCATGAGAAAATAAATTAATTAATTTTAAGACGGTGTCCTTGAAGTCCACCTCATGGCAATTTTTTTTTTTAAAAACTCCCTTACATATTCCTCCATCGGATGTTTCTCATGGTAGAGGCAAACGAGACAATCGGCTGGATCCATTCTAGGTTGAGTTCTTAATACACAAATTCAGATACACACACGAAAACCCAGAAACAGGACTCAGGAACTGAACAACAAGCCACATAACATTAAGAACTCAACAAAGACTGCACACACCGACTTAATACAAGGGTAGACAAACTAAACAATATAACAAGAGGGTGTGGCTAATGGGAAACATGACACATAGCTGTAACACATGAAACAAGACAAAAACATAGACTAAACTCATGACAGTCTGTCAATAGCTTAGTTTCACACGTGCCTCAGACACTGGGTTCAGCGGAGAAGCAGATGGCATCCCAATAGCACCATCGACGCTGCGTCTCGTTCCCATCTCAGGGAATTGGGTCACATAATGTATTCATGTTGAACATCAGATTTGGCAGAAGTTCTGCACTTTAAATGCATTGCAAGTCTAACCACTTCAAATCTGTGTGTGGTCTGCAATGCAATTTCAAGTTCAAGTGTAACAAAGCTCTCAAGGTTTTGTGATCGCTCTGATGAACGCTTCATTTTTTTTATTCCAACCCAGAAGAGGATGAGGGCACATAAATTAAAAAAAAAATATTGAAGTGCACCAATAAATAATTTATGAGAAATACTGCATTATTATTCAAGCAGTGTTAATTTTGTATTTCATTGTGACTATATTTTCAGATATAAATGTTTTTATCAATGCAGGGAGACTCTGGAGGTCCATTGGTCAGTAGGAACGGCTCCCAGTGGATTCAGTCTGGCATTGTGAGTTTTGGTCAAGGATGTGCACAACCAAATTATCCTGGTGTGTACACCCGAGTGTCTCAGTACCAGGATTGGATCAACTCTCAGATAAGCAGCAACCAGCCTGGATTTGTCGAATTCAATTCCAGTTTCAGAAGCAAACCTAACCTGCTTTTATTTTCCATTTCTATCACATTCTCCATTATTCCTTTCATATGCTCCCTATATCTCTCTTCAGAGAAATTGTTTGAATGATTATTCTCAGGGTTCTTTGATTAAGAGGTTTACATTAAAATGTTGTGCTCTAATGAAGCGTTCGGCAAACACGTGCCCTCAGAGTATATGTTATATATCAATGATATATAATTGTTCATGAAGGCTGGAAATGAAAACGCCTTATATTCGGTGTGCATAATTATTTCTTTTATCACAAGTAATATCATACAAGGTTTTTCAACTAATCCCAAACCTGTTATTTTTTGCCTGATTTATAATAAAACTAAATTCCTTTATGTTGATTTTATATTCATAAATGTTCAAATTGTTAGCCTAACTTTTTTGTATTCTAATAAGAAATAAAACTTTTACTTTCTTAATTTCACTCTAGCTTAACAAAAAAGCCCAGAAAATGTACAATTTGCACAGCCTACAAACTCTATACTGTATTCAATATGTAACTTATTAAGTTATGTAATGCCCTGTTCTTTCATTTCCTTTTTTTTTGTTAGTGTTAGTGTTTCTGCAGTGAGCTATGGTATTGATTGTTCATATTTTATTCTTAATCATTATTTTATTCTTAATTATTGTTATGTTCTAATTTTGTAGTACCATAATGTCAACTGAATGTTCAAATATAGAGAAAAAAAATATAGTGCTCCATTTGGCAACTGTTTTTCACTGCTGTTTACATCATATACATAGCCTCCGCCAGTTGCTGAGACAAGTGTGATATCTTAAAGACATGCTTTTCATAAAAATGTGTGCTTTGGTGGGAATTATTTTACACATAACTAAAGATAATTTTGGAATAAGTTAACCAAGAGTCACTGGCCTGGTACTTTAAAGACTAATAGACATTTAGGCAATTTTCATTGAACCATTGTGTGAACCAACGATCTCTTTCTCTCACATACAATTACACACTCCAAGAAGGTGACACACAGCCTTTGTTTCAGTATAAAAGGAGGTCAAACAAAGCATCAGCATAGCAGGAGAGAGCAAGAGTATATTTCAGCTGAGAGAACCAGAATTACAGAACAGTCTTCAGGCAACTAGATAAACAGAAGCCCACTCAAAAGAACATTTAGATGTGTATTCATATGTACATACAGACATGGCCAAATAAATACATAAATAAGAATAAATTAACAATAAGTATAATTACATAAAAACAAAGTCAGAAAATAGTCATTCCTAGCTCAAAATATTTTAACCAGTTCCCAAACCAGTATACTTTGCTATAGTTTAAAATACTGGCCCTATTCATGCCCAACACTTCACAGTCCCTTTGAATTAGTGATGTGATACAATCCTGCAGTATTTTGTGTAAAGAGCATGTTAAAAGTCTAATTTCTACAGCTACATTGATGCCTTTGAGCGCACACACTAACTGTCAAGCAGAAAAATTTAAAAAAAAAAATATTCTAATGTTCGAGTAACAGAACATGACTCACCTATACGCTTTAAATTATAGTGGTTCAGAACTAAACCCAAAGCTTTGATTTAAGAAGAGCCAACATCTATGCAGTGCTTTTAAAAGTGTTACAGTATCTCACAGACTTGGATGTTTATTTAGCACCCCTCCTCATGAAAACGAAGTGCAAGTTTTACTCCTTGAATCCAACTTGTGTTCCATCCTCTCACTTCCACTCCTAATAATACTGTTTAACATCAAACTGACAGTCCTGTTTGTGAGTATCGCAAAACAAGCAGGCCTAAGGGAGGCGTGTGACTACACCGTTACACCGATGGCACTTTTACCATAAAAGTACGGGCTAATTGGTGACACAACATGTCATCAGTGTACCTCCTAAAATTCCGGATGGAAACAAAAGGTTGACAGCTTGGAAAGCGGATAAACATCTTGTCAGAGTGGAGAAAGAACAGCGGTTACACATTTAATGTGCAGATTACAGTCAGTGGTAGTATAGACTTCATATTGTGGCATGGATCTACTAAAAGGTTGGCGAAGGACATTTTGCTGGCAGTCTAACCCCCTCATAAAACTGTACGAAAAGTACAAATCGATTGGCTCAGGTTCGTCCAAGTGCCTTGCCAACTTCAGCCTGGTTTTCAAGTGCAGCCTTTTAATGGCCAGTTCGGTCCCTCTGTCTGACATCTGGATCTTAAAAGGATTGGAGTACTGCAGCAGAGATATGCTAATGCATTAGCTCAGCCTCATCCAAATCCTTTAAATGACCCCCCTTCTTTATAACTGCTGATTCACTAACTGGATGCAGCCGCTGCCATCTTGTTTTCAGCTGTAATGAGAACCAGCATAGTGGAAAACAGAAAGATAACTGGCAATGGGCTATGCATCTGAGGGGTTGTTTGAATCGAAAAACTTTTAGTAGTGAGCCGCTTTACTTTAAACGTATCCGCCCTTAATGAGGAATAGAACTAAATGAATAACGAACAGATTCAACAAAAACCTAAAAAAAAATTCAAAATCTATTTGGAATTCAATGTAAATGATAAAATCGTATGTACACATTGACAGAGAAAACTCAGTTTCCTTTTTTTGTATCCTCTATGCAAATGTAACAAAGAGACATAGATACTCAAGAGAGGAGAACGGGAGGTCTCTTTCAATCCTTCCATCCATCACTCATTTTAAATACTGTTCCTGCTTCGTCCACATCAGTACCTTTTTCTGAAGCTTATGACCATGGTACTCAACAAATTATGCACTAACCCTTCAAAGCAGACATTTCCCCAACCTAATGCTCTGACACAGAGACTAGCATGTTATAGAAAAGAAAATATCTGTTTGGTTTGGTCTGAAGTCTTATTTTTCATCTCAAAGAGAGGATTGTTGTGAATATAGAGGTTACACAGCTTCAGTGTTTCTGCAGGGTCACAAAAGATCCACCCATTGAACTCAGTCAATCTGCCTTCGGTTTCCTATTTGGCCTAAACCTATAAACCCTGCAACTACATCTCTATTTCTACCCCTCTCTCAGTGCGAGTCAGCCTCTCTTGGGCTGTATCCATTGGCAGAGGGCAGGAGTGAGGTTTTCGGCTCAGAGTCAGTGCTGCTAACAGCTGCTTTGTGCCGTGAGGCTCTGGTGAAGAGACGAAAGGCACCCCTGCAGATGAGGGAAAACCAGTAAACCTGCGGGGCCATGAGCATAGCTGCACCTGCGTTATACTGCCAGGGCACGGACAGGGGTACCATGTAGAAGGGGATGGATGCGTACCTGTGATATGAGCACAAACAAACATATGCATAGAGTCAGCTTACAGTGAAAAACAGACGCATTTGGTCTACATTGAACGCAACAAAGCGACCGTTACAAATCCATTTGTTCTTTTTGTCAGTGCTTGAGGTACATTAGAAATAGAACAAGGCATCCTTTTAATGTCAGGAACTTGTCGTGTTGCGCCACATCCAGTGTAGACAGCATCACTGATTATAATGGGGTTGCATCTGCTTTTGTCGGGCAGAGCCACTCACGTCTGGTGTAGACACAGTATAAGAAATTCTTTGTTTATTCAGTCAACTAAAAGTCTAGCCTGGTTAAAACCAGACCATTCTCAGTTGTAACTGAAATGTGGTCTGGCAAAGCGTCATAGATAAATCATTTCCAGAGGGGCGTCACCAACGGACGTTGCGGGTAGACCTAAAACCAATCAGAGCGATGAAGGAGATGACGTATGCAGAGCGGTGGCCAGCGGAGAAACATCTCCGAGTGTTGTTCTTTGCTCGGTTTTTAACAAAAAGGAAACGTTCAAAACGTTTAAAAAACAGACGCTATAGCTGATTCGAGCGAGTGATGTACTCTAAAATAACAATTTCTTACCAAGATAGTTCCCATGATTTGTTCAGCTATATTTCTAGGTTTTCCATGAAAGCCCTGCTGCAAGCAAATTCAACTTCTTAGCCGTGTGTTCAAAACAACACATGGTCTTTGGTGGTTATTACAATTGTTTAGAATGAATGTGTAACTGTCTCATGTTCTAAACAAATCCTGGGTTGAGACAGATTATGATGCATATTTATTTCTGCCCAAAAAAAAAGACAACTTCCAGATTTAAGATTTCATGTTAATATTAGAGGCACTGTGACTCAGTGGAGAATAAGAGGATGAAGGAATAGATGAGCAATAGAAATATAAGACCTATAAAGGCTGAATGATTGAGTGTTAAAAAGTGATCATACCTGCCGTATGCGTAGTAGAGGTAGGGGAAGAGAAGAACTCTGCAGATGAAGAAAGTGACCAGCATAAGAGCTCCATTGACTTTATGTAGGAGAGTGTGCTGTTGCTTGTACTGAGGCAAAGAAACAAAGAAGAGCAGGAAATAGAGAAAGAGAGAGTGTTTAACAGATAGAAAAAAATATTAATAGGCAGAACAAAGAACCCTGACAACCGTGATCCAATATTTCCCAACTAGACATTTAACACTCGAGGAGTGAAGAAGACATGTACAAGAGAGTTATAAACAAGTCTGTGAAAGATCACTGTCATTCAATCAGATGTTATAAGATTAGTATGTCTGGTACACTATAAAGAAAAAAGAGAAATCTGAAAATCAGCTTGTCTAGGTCTTTAAAAGGAAAAACATAGGAAAACAAAGTCAGAAAGAGATGGTCAATGCGTGATTGTGTTTAGTACCTGGATGAGTATTTTTCCCAGACAGACAGATGGGGTGCTGAGTTCTGCCAGGAACATCACACCCTGGAAATAATCCCCTTTGCCCTGTCTCCAGAACTAGAAAGAGAGGAAAAGAAAAGAAAATAGGGAAAGGAAACAAAAGGAAAGGATGAGAAAATGAGGGGGAATGGGGACAAGGAAAGTAGGAAAGGGAAGGGTGGGAATAAAAAAAGGAAGGGATAGGAAAAGAACAGGAAATTAGGGAAGAAAAAAAAAGAATGGAAGGGGAAGGGAGGAGGAAAGGGAAATGAAATGAGAGGAAAGGAAGGAATGTAGATTGTTACAGAAAAGGAAATACATTTAAAAGTGGGAAGGGGAAGATGAAAAGAAAGGGAAACAAAAAGAAGAGGAACAGGAAGGGAGAGGAAAAGAAGGAAATTGGGGAAGATAAGAAAACAGAATGGAAGGGAATGGGAAATGGAAGGGGAGGAGGAAAGGGAAAAGAGATTATTACAGAAAAGGAAATACAATTCAAAGAAGGGAAAGGCGAGGAAAACAGAAAAGCAAAGAAAAGTAAGTGGGAAGGGGAAACAGACAGAAAGTGAAATAAAAAGGAGAGGAAAAGAAAAAGTAGGAAAAAGAAAGATAAAGGGAAGGGAAAGAAAAGAAAAGAATGGAAAAAGTGAACGGGACGAAGATACAGAAATGGCAGGTAAAGGGAAAGGAGAGAAGGGGAATGAAGAGAAGGAATAAAAGATAAATGAAAAGAAGGGAAGTGGACAGAGAAGGGAATAAAAACCGAAAGAAAAGAAAGAGATAGTCAGACTTGTGTTGTGTCAGATGTAGAAAAGCTTAGTGTGGTTTTATCCGAGGGAAGTGCTGCAGAGGTTTTCCTGTCCATAACACTTATTGTCATTTAAGTGCAGCTAATGCCAGGGTACGGGCTGCTGCATTGCTGCCGACAGCAATAGTCTCCATGGATACAGATGGAGAGTGATGGAGAGCATAATCACAGAGTGAAAGTACACATGCCCATTCGGGACAAGTTAGACTCAGCCACACTTCAAGCCACCCACATAGCATGACCCCATCAAATCACTCTTCAAACAGCCAGGAAGCCAAAGCTGTGTTACTACACTCCAAACATATGGCTCTGCTGAGCCTCCACAATCATATTTAAGAAAAGATGTACTTTAAATGTGCGTTTATGAAAAAATGTTTGTTAAACGTCACACAACCCTCATTCCACTCACCACAGAGACAGGGAAACAGACAGTAACCATGACGACATGGTGCAAGACCATTAGGAACTCTCTGCGCAGATAGCCGATGATGGCTGACCTCATCGGTTTGGCCTGCCTATCCTCCTCGTGATCTTTGACCTGAAGTTTGTACCAGTGGCACAAGAACATGGCATAGATGTCATAGATGAAGTAGGGGACCGCAAAAAGGATATAGCTGCTGGTAAGCCAATGTCTGGACAGAGGGAGCAGAGAGAGATATGGGATGAAGGAACAAGCATGAGAAACCCCCATATTTGCTTTAGGGTTACTTTGTTGCAACCATGAGTTATATATATATACACATACATAAACATTGGGGGTGGCATGGTACATGAAAAAACATCCAAATCGTTCGGTTCGCTTGTCTCGGATCGTAGTGTGTGTGCGTCTCACGGTTCAACGCACGCGCAATGTAGCCTCGTGCCTGAATGTGACCCCAGACTCGTGTTTCCTTTTCACACAAAATAAGATGTGTGTGGGCATACATACTGTACATATGAGGCTTGTTCGACTTGAATAAGCGCTGCACAGAGCGATCGATGAATGACATCAAAGTAGCGTGAGAACAACGGCTCTGTATGCTTTTCAATCACTCTTGCAGTACTTTGATGTCATAAATCGATCACTCTGTACGGCACCAGTTCAAGTCGAACAAGACAGTACAAGTGGAATATGGAGTGCAGCAGGCCACGTCAAGCTTAGAAATAGCAAGTGGGAGAGATAAGGAAGGCTAACCGGAGTTGGAGAATGCACGTCATAGAAGTCTGGTGTGTGGGAACATTTGGGATTTCATGTTATAATATTTAAATGTATAGCTACAGTGGCACTTTCAGTTAAGATAAGAACTCCAGTCACATGTTTCCAAACACTGCACTTTAATTTTAAGTGAAAAAAAATATCCTCACTCTCAGGGAATAGAAGCATTGTTGATATTTTTGTGTTGAGGTTGAACTTGTTTTAATTTATGATTATGGCCTTTGCTATTGCTAAGGCCTAATTATAGGCAATTATGTATCACACATTTTGACTAAGACATAGTTAAGAGTTCCTCTCTTTTTCTTTTAAAAGATAAATTTTTTGGAAGAGCTACACTTAAGTTGGCAGTTTGAAAGTACACTAAATGGAATACTGATTAATAAATCTAACGAAAAATAAAACTTGTGCAGAGATTAGATTTCTTTGCCTGTGAGAGTTCATTAAAGTGGTGATAATGGCAGATACTAGTTCTGTTAGGCATGACACCAACGCTTCGAGGCGTGTGTTAAATTAAACGAAGCTTTTCAAATTAGAGCTCAAAATCAAATCAAGAAATAAACCTTTTTCCAATAGAATTGTGTTGAAAGCTTTGCTGGTTCAGAAAGCTTGACTTCACCAGCGGATACATAAAGTTAAATATTACACATTTTCAAGAAATCACAGAGAGATGAGCAGGGAGAAAAAGAGCCTACTTCACATTTCCATGAGGAGAGAAACGAGTGAAGCTGCACCTGAGGCTTCCCATTTCCAGGACAATTATTTCCATCACTAGATTGTAGTAGTGAAACTTAACAACTTAAAAATGTTTATTTTTATATGTGCATACTCCCAATAAAAACAAAACATTGTGCTTATGTACAATAGAGAAAAACAAACGGGATTCCGGTTTACTTTCCGTGTAGTTAGGGGGGTGCATCACAAAAAAAACAAAAAACTCAGCGTACAGGCTATTAGCAAGCCCTTGCGTGCAATCTAAATTGTCAATGGAGAGTCGCCAATCTTGTTTTGGGTTGTTGCATAGACTCTCTTTTCTTCTTCTGCCCTTTTTCCTATTGTGGCAGTAACAAACAGTGTTTCTACTGGATTGGAATCTGGATCACTTGTGACTGTAACAGTGAAGGTTCGGAACGAATACATGTACCGTAGCACCCCAAATATATACACATACATGTTATACATACAAATATATATAAATCACTTTTCCATGATTTTTTTCCCAGTCATTACCATATTTGATATTTTGATATTTTCACAGATATTATGATCAGAATGGCCAAATAAACATTTCAAATCCAAACGTGTGCAGAATTCCATGACTTGTTCCTTGATATTTCTATGAAGGCATGTCCAAGGCAAGAAATTCCAACAAAGTACATAAAAAAAGCTCCGCTAAGATTCTGATAAATGTCTTCTTTTGTGTTGCATGTAAGAGAAACATTCATACAGGTTTAGAACAACAACATTTTCATTTTGGGGTGAAGTGTTCCCTTAATATTTGACTAGCAAATTAAGCATCAGTCAGATTGTAGAGGCAGTAAAACTATTTTCTGTCTTCCTAAGATAAATGGGGACACAAGAGTAAACAACTGTCTTGAGTAAAATTTTATGCAATAATTTTATTGTGAGGGATGGATAAATGTACTGTATGTCTAATTATGTTGTTCTTTTGATCTTTCTATTCATCAAAGAATCCACAAAAATAAAGTAGTCAATATTTGAAGTGGATAATCGTTACACGATTATAAGGCCATACAGAGTAAGTGCTTTTTGCGTACTCATGGTTTTAGTTGTTCCTAAAAAAATTTTCGTACATTTTATTACGAAATGTTTGGTGAATTTATTTATTTGTGATTTGTTCCTAAAATAATCAATACACAGAGTTCATGCACAAACTTGTGCGTATACATGCTTAGTGAAGGAGACCCAATGACTGGCTGTCTAATTGGTATCTGTAAAACCGCATTTGAAAAAATAATTATATATAAAGTCCATTTAAAAAAAAAAAAATATATATATATATATATATATATGACGAAAATAATATATATATGAAACTATATATATAAAAACATTTGCTAAATGTCAAATGCAGAAAAGTTAGTTCATAACTTCAAGGCTATCCATCCATCCATCATCTTCCGCTTATCCGGGGCCGGGATGCGGGGGCAGAAGTCTAAGCAGAGATGCCCAGACTTCCCTTTCCCTAGACACTTCCTCCAGCTCTTCCGGGGGGACAGCGAGGCATCCACAGGCCAGCTGGGAGACATAGTCCCTCCAGCATGTCCTAGTTCTTCCCCGGGGTCTACTCCCAGTGGGACGTGCCAGGAACACCTCTCTGGGAAGGCTTCCAGAACAGATGCCCGAGCCACCTCAGCTGACGCCTCTCAATGTGGAGGAGCAGCGGCTCTACACTGAGCTCCTCCCGAGTGACCAAGCTTCTAACCCTATCTCTAAGGGATCAGCCAGCCACCCTGCGGAGAAAGCTCATTTCGGCCTCCTGTATCCGGGATCTTGTCCTTTCACAATCTTAAAAAACACAATCTTAATGCTCTGAAAGCTTGATAAACGAATATACTTGCATATGGTTCTCTTATGTTGCTGAACATGGCTGCGTGGGTGAGCGGCCTTGTGTCGTGTGTGTGCCGTCGGAGCGTCACGTGGTCTGCGGATGGTCCGGAGCGCATGCTTTCAAAGAAGTTTTAAAGGTCTCGGACGTAAATTACCAAAGAAACAATTCAAGCCAAGTTAATTTACCCCTCTGGGGAAATGAACAAAGTCGAAAGGAAAACAAAACTTAAACAAAGAAAAAGATTCACAAAGGAGATACATGATGAAGCGCCAGCGGAAGAAAGGAAGAGAGAGAGAAAAAGATGATCATCAGTGATTTTAAAACGTGAAGATGAAGGCGGCGTACAAACACGAAAGGAAAGTTTACATTCATAGGCATGAATATAGGCATTCAGAGTTTGTCTAAAACATCTAGAGAAGTCATGATTGCACTAAAATGACAATAAAACACATGGGAAATATGCAGGAATATATCGGTTTCTTTTCAGAATTAGTCGAGTTACAGATTTCAATGAAGGAATGTCTAATTATGTGTTGTGTGTGCGTTTTGGAGAGAGCTTTCTGGCCACCTGGTCTGGCTCTGAAGAGATAGCGATAGAGATAGCTTTGAGACCTGACCCCCGGTTGTGTGTGTGTGTGCGCGTGTTAACATTACTCCTTGCCGGAAATGGGGAAGGATTTGTTTGAACTCAGTTCACTATGAAAGTGTCAATAAACGCCATTAGGAATAAATCACTTGTGAATTATAGTGTGGAAGTCAAAGGTTAAAAGCTTTCTAACTGTGGATTTGAATGAGTCCCAACTGACAGAGTCCAGATACCCTACAGCAGAGTTCCTGTCAACTAGACAATCCCCTGTGAAGGCCTCTTCGACATGATAGCCATTAGCACAGATTTAGCAAAGACCATATTAAGAACCAGAGTCCTCTGCACAGACCCATGAGCAGCTTTGTCTCCATACTGGAGTGATGAATGCAATCTTCAAACAAAAGGAATTGAACTAAATATTTGAATGCTACCGATCAACAATTTGATTTCTGACTGAATCATAAATCACACTGTATTTATTCGTAGCCAGAAGAGAACTGGCCCCACGACTGAGCCTGGGTTCTCCTGAGGTTTTTTTCTCCATTCTTCCACCTGATGGAGTTTTCTGCTTCCTTTCTGTTTTCAAACAGGTGGCTCCATTTTTTCTCCATTCCTTGCCAATGTTGACTCTAGCTTGCTAAGTTGGGGACACTTAATATTCAACAATATCATTGATTTGACAGCACTGACACTATAGGATGAGAAGTGAACTGAGCTGGACATCAACATCACTGTTTTTCGGCAGAAATGATTTTTAGATGAAATTAATTTAATAATTGATGATCTTTCCAACAGAACTGAATCAACACTGAACTGACTACGGTCTGACTTTAACAATGACACGATTTTCTTTTAGAACTGCTGTACGGCTGAAATGAACTGTGTGTATCTTTGAATAATTTTACTGTTATCACTGTAAAGCTGTTTTGAAACAAACTGTGTTGTATGAAGCGCTATATAAATAACAGTGACTTAATTAAAAATGCAGCTGCCCATCACTGGAATAAATTACATCTTAAAATATATCAAATAGCAACCTGTTCTTTTAAACTGTAAATATTTCACAATATATTCATAATATGTCCAGTAGATTAAATGAAGATCTAGTCCACACTCTAATGGCTAATATTGCCCACAAACCATTGCACTTTGAAGAAGGATTTGGTTCAGAGCAGAGTGAGCTCTACCCATGAGCCACAGAGCCACATCTGGAAGATCAACGTGCTACTTCTTATCTCTCAGATACAGCAGGAAATGAAATGAAATGAAATGTGGAGGATGTTAACTATAAAAACACGACTGACAGCGTAACTATGTGACAAAGCGTCCGTTAAAGATGCAATTCATGACGTGATAGTATGTCTCAAAGCAGGTCTACTCTTCGGCTACACACTCAAAAGTATGTATTTTTTCTCCACAAAAAGAGAACATACTTTTAGGGTGTAGCATAAGTAATTGGAACACAGCATTAGTCTAATTCCCAGGCTTCCTGTTCCCTTGATGTTGGATTTACAACACATACCCTAAGTAATTGAGTTTACCTGGCTTAAATCATTTATGAAAAATGATTGCTCCGACCCATTTGAGCTGCCACTCTTAATTAACTTGTGGCCCTTTGGGTTAAGGCACAAAATAAACTGAAAAATAGCTCAAAATAAGTTACATTTGATTAGGTGAGTTAAATCAAATCAGAGCGAAAACTGTTTGACAAACCATCAGCGTGAACACATCGAATGGGTTTCACAGAGTGTTAAGATGCTGCTTTAAATCATCAACTGAAACCGCTGACTAAAGCCATCATAAAAAATTCACTATTAAGTTTTGCCAGAGTATTTTGCCCATCTACTCTCTCTTGCTCCCTTCCCTCTGGCTTGGTGTGCCACAATGGATTTACAGATAGAAACTAATTAGGTTAAGAGCCTAATTAGATTATTCTGACATAAGGTGTGCATTGGAGGAATAGCACATTCTTAGAAACACTCAGGGAATACTTTAGCACTCCTACACGTCTGGGAACAATTCCATAGAAATGAGTGAATTTTTTTAGCTGTATACACAAATAAAACACAAATTAATTAAGACGAGAGAGACATGCACATAGGAAAACAAACAAACACCAAAGTAAAGCTGTGTTGTGTGTGTGGTAAAACAGACCCTACTGCTTATAAAATCAACCGGAATTCCCCAAAAAAATATTTTCTCTTTTATACATCTAGCTACAATGCACATCCTCAGCTGATACTCACTGGTCCTCAATGATGTCTTCACAAGAACGGGCGATGATGTATCCGGCAGAGGATGCCATAATGGCTTGAATGGAGGACACCAGCCTGAGAAAGAGTGGGAAAAAAAAGAGTCACATAGATGAAAGAAAGCCAAAGCAGAGAGGAAAACTGACTGCAAACATCCTTAGATCAGAGATATTGGAAACTATTAATAGCAGATTCTGATGACACCAGTTAAGGAAAGGGTCATTTAAGCAAGATATTACATAGTAACTTTCCTAGCTAAGCAGAAAAGCTGATCAATGCATCAGACAGTGCACTGCAACCAAACATTACTTTACATGCAACTCTTTACTCTGCAGATCTTAATCTGACACATTTTTAGCAAAAAGGCCTCCAAAACAGGATAATGATCTCTGCCATAAACTTACAACGACACATTTTGTGATAGACCAGCAAAACATTAAATTATCTACCCCTCAGTTTCAGCCAACCATTTTTGGTTTTCAAATATTTTTGTGACAAATATTTAAACATGATAGCATCACACAGTTGCTGCTGATTCGTCGGCTGCACATCCATAATGTGAATCTCTCATTCCACAACATCAATGCCATGACTTTTATGTTTATAAACAAAAAGAGGATATAATATGTTCTTTACTGGCATACATATTTTGAGATGAACCACAAGTAAATACAAGCAGATAGTTTTTTTTTTTTTTTTTGAGAGAGAGCCTGACAGGACCTCTCAACACATCTCATTTTATCTTCCCCTTTTTTACCTGGACGAGACAATGACAGCATCCTTCTCGCTCCATTTGAGCCCAGGACCATGTTTAAGGATTCGCTTAGACAGCAGGAAAAGGCCGGGGAAGAATATGGAGCCAGCTGCAAGGATGCTCAGCATAATCTCGGGAAATGTTGCTCAACGTCACGGTCTGTCTTTAAGGATAAAAATCACATATTTTAGGGTTTTGTTTTTATGAGCATCTTAAAATATCCATATTTATTTATATAATAGGAATGTATACAAGAACAACCTTGAAACTTGTGAAAAATCAAACATGATTTTTTTTTGTCTGTTTAGTGAAACATTTTGCTTCATCATTTCAAAGATTATCATATGAGTTCAAACTCAGCATTATTACTTCTCACCAAAAATATGTTCTCTGAAAAAAAAAGGAATGAAAAGGGTAAAGCAAGACAGAAGGATGAAACAAATGGGAAGAGTAAAGAAGGAAAATTAGACCAAAAATCCACGTTAGAAGTCAAAACAACAAAACACAAATACCTTTGTAAATCCAACATACATAAAATGTACTGTGCCAATTACATAAACATTAACTACTACTAAACCTAACAGTCAAGTCCAGACTACAAAAGGAACACATTGCAATGGCACAACACGGACATATTCCCCAGATATCTTCAGGAGAATTCCAATGCAACTGCATCCCTCACTAGTCTCATTATTGCATTGTAATGAGTCCTTAAATTATTCCGGACGACTGCCATATAATATACATGTATATTGAAGCAGGAGAAGCTGGGATGGTGGGGGGTGTCCGTACTAAAATAGGCGTGGAAAGGATTAGCAGGCCAGAGATTTAGAAAGATTACTGCAGGGAGAGGGAGGGGAACGAGACGAGGGGAGGCCAAGAAGAAAGAAAAAGGGTATGTGGGAGGGAGGAGGTCGTAATTCTGTGGTACAGTGAGGGAAACCTTGTGGGAGGAGTTGAAAGGGAGTGTATTATTCCAGTTATTGCTACATTGGGACTGTGGGTTCATGTCTGCAGCAAGCAAATCACAAAACAAAAGCTAAAAAGACGTCACAGAAATCAAAATCTATAGCAGCCAAATTAAGAAGTACGTTACAGAAATGACAGCTAATGTGCATCAATTCATTATTCTAAAGCTTGCACTAACAAATCTGGTCATGCAACACGCTAATAATTGAAGAGAGTGAAGAGTACGCACAAAATCCAATTATGAAAACATAACCCCACAACACACGATGCTTTTGCATCTCAGAAAAACTCTAAATCTCCCACAAACTATATTATAAAACCCTCCGCTGTTCCCCAAAAAAATCTTGTGTAACGCTCTGATTTTCTCTATCATGTAAACAACAGCAAAGCAATGCGAGCAGCTCACATATTCACAACGCTACCTTTCAGAGCTAGCAGGCAAGCGCCATCCATCCTATTGTGTCATCGCCAGCAGGACACAAGGCAGACCTCTAGCTAACAGGTTGTAGGCGACAGGCCCACTGGCTGTGTGTGTACAGCATACGATACGATATGATTATTGTGTTCAATCAGTACCATGAAACTCTTTTGCTGTAACCCATTCAGATCCAGAAAACACCAGCATGTTATTATTACACTAAGTTCACTACTTATTCACTACTGTTATTATTTCCAGCAAGCTTATTTTTACACTAAATGAGCCATACATTACAATCTATTACAAGATTGTTAATGACTTGTATTATCATTTTATAAATATATTTACAGTTTTTAAATAATATTATATACTACTGAAAATTGTAGATTTTCACTACAATTTAATCTAAAGATTTTTTATATATGTACATATATAAAAATATATAAATACTTTATTTTAGTATTTTGTTAAAGGATATATGTAAGTACTATAGTAATAACACAGTACATTATGAACTAGCTACTAAATAAGAAAAAAAATATGTATTAATTTTTAATTGCATTGTTGGAAGAATACCATTTCAAAATATAACAACAAATAACAGATTAAACAAAAGAAGCAAGTCATATTATGTTGTTGTTGGTGGTGGTGGACTAGTATGTCCCCTATGAATGGCCATATTCATCTGCAGGGCTCAAACCTGCAACCTTTCAACGACCAGCTGAGGTATTTTCTTATATTACTATGCCACATCAACCACAGCTTTGTCAAATCACCTTACAGACACCAAGTTGACATGTCATTATTACTTGGTCAGATATCTATTGCTGTTGCAGGCATATGGTCAGAGTAAATTATTAATTCTACAACTTTGGTTAGGCGTGGTCTTTTTGGTGAAGATGGCACAAAATTTGTAGGAATTATTACTGAAACCATTTCAAGCAGTATTATGCATGAAACCAACACAGAGAAAAGTGATACACTTTAGAATGTACATGGAGTCTAAATGAGTTACAACATTCATAAATGATGCTGTAGAGAAGCAGCAGGAAGACAAAATCACATTGGACAAGAGCAAGAGAAGCAAGCCAAACAGAAGGGCAGAAGATTACTTTAAGGTTGAGCAGCGTCGGTTATGGGGCAGGACAATCCTGTCACAGTCTTGCAGAAACCGGATCACAAGGTCCATGAGGCATCTGTGAGACGGTCGACATGATGTTGTTGGATGTATCCTAAGCTCTTGATTGCAGAAAGTTCCGGTTTTGGTTTAACAGCACCTGCTGGAAAAACACACGTGTTAACATATAACAATGAGAAAGACAAAACAATAGTGTTTAAAGTTTGTCTGAGCTGTCTGCCTGTCCAGGAGGCGAGTGCATCCCTACATATAAGAGAGCTGATCCGCGTCCAACTCATCTTCACAAAGCTTTTAACTCAAGCAGAGTCAGCAGATCAAAAGCTGCAGTGGTCAGACATGACCACACTCAAACATTAGCCTTGCAAATGATTCATTTAAATGAAAATGTAGGCTATTCGTGGCAGAGAGCGGATACCTGCGCCAGGATGAGAGAGAAGCAGGTCTCCAGGCAACCACTTTGGTCCCCGATTCTGGCTCTATTACCACCTCACTTGGATTAGACAAAACAAGTGGGCACCGGGGAAGGTAGGGAGGGTGGAATGGCTCACATTTGACTACAAAACATGTGCAAATCCTGAACCAAATGCCGAAGGTTATCTAAATAATGGCGTTATTCTAATTCCCCTGCATGCAAAGTAGAGAAAGAGTCACGCTAGCTTTCATGCTAGCGCTGGGCTAACATGACTCAGACTAGCCTCGCTGAGTGGATAATACAGCCCTGGTCTCCGTTGTCTTTTAACACAACCTTTAACTAATATCACCAGATAAGTCAGTAAATATTACATGTACACGGAAAAAGGTCGGTTTAACTTACTGTGCATCGCTCTCGGTTCAGAAATCACGTCTTTTCGACTGGCCCCAGTCCTAAATGTGTTGACAAGAGATTAATTTTACTTTTAAATCTGCACCGCGACTCGTGGTAACCAACCGCTGATTGGCTAAAAGAGACGAACGCGACAGATTTTCCCTTCATTCATTGGTTTAAGGTTTGATTGACAGAAAATATGGCCAATGGCCAATAAAAACAAAGTGACCTGATAGTGCGCGACCGCATTAACTATTTATGGTCAGATTTTCATTGTTTCAGCTATCCGAAATACAGAATTGTCACTATGTTGCTCACATCAAAAATATAATTTGGCCAATACACGCAGACAGAGTATAAGTTTGTCTATCGATTTTTTATAAAACGGGGGTGATCTGAATAGCTGCCTATGAGTTTGGGATAGTTCACACAAAAATTTAAATGTTGTCATTTTTTACCCTCAAGTTGATCCAAACATGTATGACTTTCCAAGAAGATATTTGAAGAATGTTGGTAACCAGATAGTTGACGACGGTCACCTTTAAAAATATCAACATTTGGTTAAAAACATTCTTCAATATATTGTATACATGATAACAAGATTGCTGTTTCTCTTGCAATTTATTTGCCTTTTCCTTGTTTGCATATTGATGCTGCTCTCTAAGAAAATATTAATAGATCTGCTTTTGCCATTTTTTTTCCTCCAAAAAAGAACTAGCTTAACTGAAAATGGGGAACTGTTGAAGTAAAATAAAAACTGAGATCCAGGGGCCATTGAAAATGCAATTTGCAAGATGAGCAAATTGCTCAAATTCAACTGTGGTCAAACTTCACAAAATGACAGTTTGCTGATTGTGGGACTTTAAGTGTGTCAATTTTAGGGGAGACGAGACATCTTAAAAATTTGCCCCCAAAGGAACGAAGATGGATTGACTGGACTCTCTTCAAAAAAAGGGTAACAGGAGGCTGAGACACGTTACGAGAAGCAGAGAGGAGGCGAGAAAGCTCCAGATGCTTTCATTTGCTTTGACGACAAAAAAAGAGGAAGCAGGCATTGGAGGATGCAGGCAACCATCAGAAAGCCTCGCCCCTACAGCACGAATTGCTGCTGCAGCTGTGAAAGGGGAAGTTGAGCATGTGCCACTAGCTGGAAGCTCTGCAGGGCCACTCCATTATAAGAGCAAGCGGAAACAGAGGGTGAGAGCTCAGAAAAGAGCGAGAGTGGCTCAGGCGGAGGTGAGAAAGCTGTCAGATGAAGAAGACACTTTATCAACACTCACGAAAGAGGCTGCATCCAAAATTAATAAATGCCACTTACCAATCAGACTTGCACAACTTAGAAATGACAATTTCTGTATTGTCAGGGAAAGAATTGATACCAAAGGTTGGAAAAATGCTACAAAATTGGCATTATAACTAGGCTATAACTCCTTCATTTGTACTTCATGGTTTGTGGGCCATGAAAGATACGCTGAGTATGAAGAGAAGTGTTTCAATGAAATTAAAAATCTTGAATCTTGACATTACAGCATTTCTCAAATTAACACTCTCAATCTGCTTTCTTCCAAAAGATGCAAGTCCATCCTCATGTCTTTGCAGGGAAGAGAGAAGGCTCCTGGGAGGAAGCAGGAGTGTGGCCCACAGGGATGGATTTGCCATGATGCTGAGTATTATGTAAATGATGCAGGGGTAAGTGCATACCCAATAATGCTGACAGTGAAAGTTCACAGGTTGTGTATTGGGAAAGAAGCTGTTACTGATACTTCAATTGAAAACAATTTTCAATTATTATCAGGAATTCCAGAAACCCTTAGGGCTAAAAAATAAATTTGATATTGGACGAACTAAGAATGCTGTGCCTCTCATTAGCACACATGTCTATTTATTTATTTCAACAGGGACAATGTGCAAAAAAACAAAAAAACATTAATTAAAGATGATTTGCACCAGATTTAGCTTAAGCTATTCCACATGTAGTCCCAGAGCAGGTGAATTACAATACAAAATATACAATATAAAATTTAATTAGTCAAAAAAACGAATCGCACATTGCCATACATGCTGTATTTTTTCCTGAATCACACAGTGATGATATCTTATAGCTTTTTTGTCTAAGATTATAAAAAGATTTTAATGGTTTTATTGCTGTTTCACATGTCTGTGACCAACAAGAAATACAGTAATTAATATGAGGAGTTATCGTTGCCTCCAAGTACATTTTTGCAGCATCGTGAGCCAATGTATTCCTAATATGTCTAAAAGCAGACAAACTGTATTTTAGCGTGCTGCATGTTTTCTTAACATGATTTTTGAAGTAAAGGTTGAATCCAAAACAAGACCTAGATATTTAAATTCATTATGGGACTCTGATTTGGATAAATGGAAAGAAGGACTTCAGTCCGGTAAAATACATTGCTACTGTTTTATTTACATTCAGTATAAGCGAGGCAGAGAAAAGCCAATTTAAGATGTTTCCCATAACACTGGTTAGTTTATTAGCTACACTGGTCATATCACTTCAATGCATGTAAACTTTAGTGTCGTCCGCGTACATTTGCATGTCCACCTCACCGCACACCGAAGGAAGATCATTTATGTAAAGCAAGAACAGCAATGGCCCAAGAACAGAGCCTTGTGGGACACCCATGTCATTAGCCTTAGATTTTTTGATAACTTTTGACTCTTACGCACTGGACACGGTCACTGAGATTTGATTCTACCCACTGCAGTGCAATAGAGACAAATTATAGTTAGTCAGCTTCCTCAGTAGCACAAAGTGGTTGACTGTGTCAAATGCCTTGCTTAGATCCAAAAACACAGCGCCCACGACCCTGCCCTTTTCCAGCTTTGCATTCACCACCTCAGTAAAGTAACAACATGCAGTTTCGGTGGAATGGTGTTTTCTATATCCGAATTGCATGGGATATTATTTTTGTTTAAATGTTATTTTATTTGCTCCACAATTACTTTCTGTGCAATCTTTGAGACAACAGGAAAATGCTAATCAGCCTATAATTGCATGGCCTCATGTTTGTCCCCCAATTTGAATACTGGAGTGATTAAGTAGTTTAAAAAGCAATGGGGAAAAAACTCTCTTCTATTGATTTGTTTATCAGGTATGTGATAGGAGTTACAACATTTTCTTTATGTTTGTTAAGAAGAGCATTGTTCATTCCCCTAAATATCTTTGCTTTAGAATTCGTCAATGATTGTAACATTTTTTTATTTCAATTTTGTTAGCCAATTTAAAATTTAGCATGTTTTGATCATGTGGATACAATCAGACCTTGTAAATAAATCAATACAATCAGATGCTCGTACATAATTATAAATAAACAAACTCTTTATTTCTGGCACCCGGCTAGAAAGTTTTACTGAGAATTAACAGAGGTTTATGCATCATGCTGATTCTTGATGTCTGTGGGTGTCTTAAAAAATGTCTACAATATATTTAAAAATCTAATTTCAGAATAATCTGTGGCAAATAAGTATTGATGGTGAATATAATCTATTAATTACAAATAACCACTTTTGGTCAGGGATAAGATTAGTGACTTCTACTTTATGATGCTGAAAACTATATATCACCTGATCATCTTTGTTTCCAGCTTTTTTTGCAACTAATTATGTGAAAAAGGTAAGGTGATGCGACACAGTGGTAAACAGATTCTTGATTTAATTGCATTTGACAAAATGTCCCCAATTTTCTGGAAATGGGGTTAAAATATATAGTTTCTGACTAACAGAATATTGGTATGCAGCAAAAATTAATATCAGCTGAATGGGCAGTGTGTTTCCCATCATAGCTGTAATTATATTTCTACTTTATGCAATATTCCTGATGGGAAAGATGTATAGTGCTTCTCAGCAATTATATCTGCATACGCCAAGTATATTATTATTATTATTTTATTTTTTTATAAATAGTGTGCAAATGGAAAATGTCCTTTTATTTCCACCGGACACACAGAGCCTAAAAGGTACATTTGCCAAAAATAAATGTTCTGCTTTTAGAAAATGTAGTTTATAGTGCTTTTTTATTAGTAATAGTTCCTTAAGTGATCCACAAAACTTTGCAAGGGAGACGGTGCAGAAAATGGACAGGACCTATTTTTTCTCAAAATTGCTACACATTTGGTCTATATTCGTAATACATTATATGAAAACATAGTATCTAATCCAATTTTACATCTCAATTCTATTCTTAACAGTAGTTTTACTGGGTGGGTGATTTTAACAGTGTAATCTCTCTTCTATCTGTGCGGGAGACTTCTGTCCTGCAATGCGTCGCCTACTTTTTTTTTTTTTCTGGAAGGCAATATGCATATGGAAACTATATGGAGATATAATCACAACAAAGTATCCTAAGCTCCATGTATGGTTACTTCAAGGACTTGAGAACACACGAAAAAAAAAAAGCTTGGGTATGTACTTGCAAGTTAACAGGTGCAGATTCTTACATACATACAGTTTTACAAATAAAAAAACTTGTGTACATAGGATGAAACGTACACAAAGCCTTTTATTCATGAGGCCCTTGGTCATTAAGATTTTATTTATTGCAAGAGTCTCGTAACTTGTGACTAGTTTCTGATATTTAAATTTTTTTTTTTTCACGTGAATCTATTCTAGAAGGCCTTCCTTGAACAAACATATTGACACAAAAGAGTGATTGTGTCATGATCAAGATTTCTCCTTAAGATTTATAGATTTTTTTAGAAGAACTTTTAAATCACTTAATTTTAAAGTCACAATGAAACAGACAGATCTTTTCATCCATATATTTTTTTTTGTTTGTTTTACACATTAGTTTAGGTCAAAACATACATAAATCAATATGCAATTAGAAAATAGATATGGAGAATTTTCATTTCAAGCCAAAATAGTTGCAAAACCACATGAACATTAAAACGACTTTGTTATTGAAATATCATAACTATGTCCTTGAACTGGAATGTAATTGTAATGACAAGCCAATAAGATGCAGAGGCAAGGTTTCCAGTGTCTGTCTCTTTAATGTCTATTTTATCCTAATCCACGTACTCTTTTTTTTTCTTAAAAACTTCAAGTATTTGTTGGGAACACAAAAAGTCCAAAAACATATTTTCTTCTAAAATGCAAAGACAAAAAAAGAAAAAAAAAAGAAAAGAAAACCTAATAAAACATAACAAGAAATAATGACCATTTTAAAACAACTATTCAATCATATTATCAAAGCCATAATAGTCATTAACACAAATACCAAGTTTTCAGTTTCATCTTAAAAATGTCTAACATCTATTATCTTACGACTAAAGGAAATTCACCATTTACTTAAAAAGTTCACTTTCTGCTTGGCAGTCAGTAAGACGAAAAAGACTAAACCAACCCACTGATCTTCATCCACTATTTTGCTAGTTTTTCTACCAACACAATAGCAAAAGTGGTCATAAAAACATCAACTTAAAAAAAAAAAAAAAAAAAGATTAAAACCAAAAACCTAAAAGAATTGGTCACAATACATGAAAACAAAACCAAAAAAGAACATGTTCCTATAATAAAATTAAATAGCAACAGCACATTAAAAAAGTTTCTAAAATAAAACAACTAATGCACTGCAATTTGCAAATCCAAGTGAAGTCCATACACACATGCATTGAGAGACATTATTAATGAGGAACAGCCTTGATGCATCCAATCCTGCCCTGCGCTTTTGTTGCCACCTGCTGGTAGGAGGCAAACATTTACAGTGCTGGGCATTTGAGAATTCGGCCTTCTGCAATAAACCCAGAGAGCACCAACAACTGCTTGTCTTCAGTAACTCTGCCTGGATCGGATCCACATCTACAGTGTCTACAGTCCATATAGTATAATATGAAACCTGAGCTCTAGACGTGTTACTTTTACAAAGGAGTCAGGGAGGTATTACACAATCAGCAGCATTTATCCAACAAGCATCTAAGACTCACCCATCAGCCACCATCCCACCACACCAATCCCTCACTCACAAGGAAAAAGAAGAGCAGATCGATTCAGAAACAATTCGGGGAGAGACTGCTGCCCATCGGAGGAGCTCCACACACACTTGACGTCATTCGGCTGCATTACAGTACATTTTTGATAAAACGATTGGGTTCAGTCTATACACACAAGCCCAGTAAACTGAGGGCTGTTTGAGGTAATGAAATATTCCAAAAAGTACAACACTGCACATTCCCTAAACTCCCCGAATCCAAAAACACGCACGGACCACATGACTTGCTCATGCTGCCACGAAACCCACGCACCTGGTCCGCCTAACACAAACACAGAAAAAGTTCGACAAGACAATAAATTAAAAATGGAAAATAAATAACATTCGATCTATCTTCTCTGCCTACAGAGCCTCGCCCAATCAGAAAGTAGGATACTGACATCAGTCCGATTTGGTCCTAGGAGGAGGGGCCGGGGTGGGGGCGTTGTTGGGAGCTTTGGGAAGATGCTTCAGGCAGGAACAGCACAGTACCTACGTTCCTCAGATACACACAAGACACCATCGACCCTAAACAGCATTCTAATACAACTCTAAAACTAATGCATTGGCTCAAGGATCGTTTGCACAGGATGCTTCATTAGAACTGTAGAGAGATTAGAACGAAATCTGCACAATAAACTCCCCCCACCCCCCAAAAAACCCAAATAAAATTAGAATAATAACAGTAAGGAAAAAAATCATTTTAGAGAAAGTCTGAGTAGTATTGAACAGAAAGCATTCAGTTCAACGAGGAAGCCATAACTAAAAAAAAGAAGACTTTTGGAACTTTTGGTTAACAGAATAAAACGTAAGAACCCAGAAAAGGAACACAGTGATTAAAGTCTACAGACTGAATTTGGAGATACACCACAGTAAAAGATGGCCACAGGGGTGATGCTATGGACTTGTGGGCACTGTCATCTCATCTGGTAGTGAAATCATGGTCAGCGAAGTCTCATCATTTGCATTATTCCAGATATCAGTATTGCACAACATTGACGTTGGCTCATTTAGTCAAAATTCAACAATCCATGAGATTTTCTTTTCTTTTTTTTTCTTTTTTTTTGTGGAAAACTATTTGCCATAATCTTCGAGCACATAGCCAGTATAAAACTGTTCTCAGCAGCATCAGAAGCATTATTCATCAGTGTTGTGAAATTGGAACTGGAAAAATGTGTTTCTGAGAAATCCCCACGTTGACTGGGAAAGAGTGCTGAAAATGCGTTCAAAAGCATGTGATCCTCCAGTCATCTCCAATGCAAGCTTGCTCCTATGATTCACATGTCCCAGTATACACCTCATCCCTCATCTCTCTTCTTTCCTTGATACTTTTGACGAATGCCAGGCTGTGGATCTGATGCAGAAAGTAAGAAAAACAATGACTTAAGAATTAATTCTGTCATTATTTACTCACCCTCATGTTGTTCCAAACCTGTAAGACTTTCGTCCATTTTCGAAACACAAATGAAGATACTTTAATTTTCATTCTCGTGTTACGGGGCACGTTTGAGCTTCTGCAAGAACCAATGAGGTTCATTCTCTTACATCAAGCAGGATTGGTTTAGCTTGTGTTTATGTTTTCTGATCAATGTTTGATCAGGGCTGGGGGAATTAACTCATTAATCTTTGCGATTAATTTGAGATGTTTAACACACAAAAAATAAATAAGTAAGTAAATAAATAAATAAAACAACTGACAGCACTTTTTTGCCTCGTTTTAATGACTTTATGATGGAGAAGGACAAGGATGGAGTTTTAGGAGGAATGTTTGCATTTAAAAAGTTGCCTCATGGTGCATTTGACAAAACAAAGATAATGTGTACAATTAGCAAAGCTGAATTCAAATACCTTAGAATGTTCAGTTTTTGAGAATAGAATAGCTTTGTAAGACTAAATTTTGATAATTAGTCAAAAAATAAATCTTTTAAATCTAAGTATGTTGCATAGAACTGAATGAAGAATAATATATTGATGTTTAATTTTATTTTAATATAGGACTATTTTTTCTATGTTTAAATATTGATGATTACATGATTGGGGGAAATGAAATTAATCACAGCAAACTGCGATTAATTAGTTCATTTTTATAATCGATTCCCAGCCCTAGTTTATATATGAATAAAAGTCTAAATTCAATCTGTTCATCAAATAAATTGGGTCTCTTCAGATAATTTTAACTAAACAGTTCAATTCATATGGATTAAATATTTTTTGAATATCTTCATTTTTGTTTTGAGGATGAGTATTATGGTTTTGGAATGATATGATATGGTGAGTAAATGACAGAATTTCAATTTTGGGTGAAATATCCCTTTAAAATGGAAGTTTGGTGGACACAAATAAGGTCACATGCATTATAATTTGTTTTATATTTTTTACTGGTTTATATACTACTACTACTACTACTACATATTTATTTGTATTAATATTTTACTGCTTTATTTATATTTAATGGTATCAACAACAGGCAACAACAACACATTATTAATAATTTATTATTATTATATACATACATTAAATATACATTTTAATAACTATATAAAATACATTTATTTAAAATAATATTTTGTATAGGCTCCACCCTTATAGCTAAGCAACTATCAAATGCACTACAAGAATTAGTAAATATCTGATTACATCTCCACATCATAGTTAATTTTGTTAATCTATTTGAAAAAGGTTTGTCAAAAAACACTTGTTCTTGTACTGACCTAATGAACGTTTTGAAGGCTGCACTCTGGGGATTGATGCACAAAGGCACTCGTTTGCCTTGCTGGTGCTCTGTTATAAAACGATGGATGAGCTCTGAGATGAAGAGAGAAAACAGATGAAGTCTTTCAAAGTAGGTCCTTCGTGTCAAAAGAAAATGAAGTTTAATATTGTAACAAAGGGCCAAAGTAATAAAAAGAGAGTCACCTTTGCCCTGCCAAACAGAGTGCATGCTCTGCTCATAGTTGTGGCTGAACGGTCGATCTGCAGGCGGCTCAAAGTCTCGGGTGTACACCCTCCCGCTGGGCACTGAGTAACAGCACTTACACATGCATGTGTGGTACCTCAGACGACCCTCATCCAAATACGGATGAGACAGAGCATCACTGCCCGTAATGCGCTTGGCCTATGGATGGAGACACACAGAATAATAATTATAACAACAACAACATAATACAAAATCATTTTAATAAAACAAAATGAAGCTTACACTACCATTCAAAAGTTTGAGGTCAGTAAGATTAAAACTTTTATTCATCAAGGACACATTGAATTGATCAAAAGTGACAGTAAAGACATTTATAAAGATTTCAGTTTCAAATAAATGCTGTTCTTTTGAACTTTCTATTCATCAATTTTTGAAAAATATGCATCACCATTTCCTCAAAAATAGTAAGTAGCACGACTGTTTTTATCTATAAGAAATGTTTCTTTACAACCAAATCAGCATATTAGAATTCAGCTTCGCCATCACAGAAATAAACCAAATTTTAAAATACATTAAAATGTTCCGTGTATATTTGTTAACATATTAACTGTAATAATATTTCACAATATTACTGTTTTTACTGTATTTTCAATCAAATAAACGCAGCCGAAGTGTGCATGAGAAATCTTAACGACCCTAAATATTTGGATGGTAGAGTATTTCCAGACTATTGGGATTTAATTTTTACATCAAATGGAAATGTACTTATTAGTCTTGAAAATATTGTCAAATTCTAAGTACCTAAATAAATCCAGACATCTCACTTTTGAGATAATTTTACATTAAACAAATGATGATGAACTAGATTTTAATTACTCCAATTCTTTTATTTATATATTTAGAATTACATTTAAAAAATCTAATAAAATTATCTTATTATCTTAATGGGGCCAAAATGATCTAATCACTTCATCAGCATACCTTACACTCAAATGCTACAATTACATATTTATTTTATTATTTAAAAAAGATTAAAAAAAAAACAAAAATTAAACAATGTTATAAAGAAGAAATCTAAACCTAAACATCTAAATAATGAAGAAAAACATCTAAACATCGGTCAGTGTGCTTCCTGCAGTTCTGCTAGAGCCAGCCATTAATGGAAGAATGTTATGACACATTTACTGCCTAAAATTAATTATTCTTTTAAGTGTAGGCTATTAAAAAAGACCACAAAAAGATTTGAAAAAAATGTATACATCATACTCTATAGGCTACTCACTGGATCAAAAACTAGCATGCGGCACAAAAGATGAACGGCTTCATGTGTTGCCCCATCTGACAACATGTACAGAACAGACAATGATGGCTAAGGGAGAGAAAGCACAAATTAAACTTATTTTTGAGCACTAAATACTTAAAGACTAATAAATGACTGTAAGACATGGTACAGAACTGGTTTGTGGGGTCCTCTAAGAATGTGCGCTCGAGCTCCTTCACACGCAGATGCCATGGCAGAAAGAGGAGGAGTCCCGAGAAGATCAGTGATCAGATCCAACTGAGAAAAAGAAAGGAGAAACTGAGTGAGTAAAGAGACACTTTTCATTCATACCGATTCAAAATCAAATGAATAAAATAACTTCATTTTAGCGAAATATTAAATTACTTTATTAAAGGTGATTCTTTATTATACACTAACATTTAAAAGTATGTGGTGGGAAAGATTTTGAAGTCTCTTATGCTCACCAAGACAATTCATTAAACTGTAATTTTGTGAAATAATTACAATTTAAAATGAAAGTCTACTATTTGAATGCATTTTCAAATGTTTATTCCTGTGATTTTATAACTATGAAGCAGTCTCCAGTGTCAGTTTTGCTGTTTGATATTTTTGTGTAAATGTGATTTTTTTTAAAGAATAAGGTTTAAAAGAACAACAGAAATATTTTGAAAGTCACTTTTGATCAATTTAATGCATCCTTTCAGATTAAAAGTATTTATCTATTTAATTTTTTAATGTTACAGGCCCCAAACTTTTGAATGTTAGTGTATGCCATTACCTGTTGTATGGGGCTCTGAGCCTGGAAGAGAATACGCCGGCCCAGCAATTCAGCGAAGATGCACCCTACAGACCAGACATCTATAGCTGAAGTGTAATGCTGGCATCCCATCAGAACCTCTGGAGCTCGGTAATACTGTGTCACCACCTCCTGGGTCATGTGACGAGAAGGGTCTGGCTCCTCCACTCGTGCCAGGCCAAAGTCACAAATCTAAATGAGAAGGAAAAGTGACATTTCTCATTTTGCCATTATTTTTTGATAGAGTATATTAAGCACATGTGCAGTGTGGTACCTTAAGTAGACAGTTGCTGTTGACCAGCAGGTTCCCTGGTTTGATGTCTCTGTGCAGAATGCCCGCAGAGTGCAGGTACTTCAGCCCTGAGAGAAAGAGAAAGGACACCTCATAAAGGACATCAACAGGAGGAATAATACTAAAATAACATATTCAAACACTATTACAGACTAGGAAATCAAGACTTCCTGCACTTGCCAACACAATCACCCATGTTTTATTAAAGGTGCTGTGTATCCACTAGTTTGGTTGCAAAAAACAAAAAATGATGGCATTGATAAATTTGGAAGGCAGGCATTGAAAACAAATCTCCCAAAAAGGGGGAAAAAAAAGAAAAAAAAGGAGGATCTGACTTTTTCATATGCAAAAGCCCCTAAAAGGTTCTATTTCTTCTTTATTACACACAAGAAAATACATTTATGTATTTATTTTTGCCAGGCAAAATGTAAAAACAAAACAAAAACAATAACATCAACAATATAACAATAACCTTTGCCATCACAGAAATAAATTATATCTTAAAATTACATTAAAGTAGAAAACACATTTTTAAAGTTTCCACAATATTACGGTTCCCTTTCAAAAGCTTCCCTCAATACTGCGGTGAGTTTGGGCTTTGAGTGCGTGAGCATGAGTGCGAACACGCCAAGGAACTTGGCAGCATCTGACTATGAAGTTATTGGAATGCGTGCTCGTCAGAGGCTATAATTAGATGTCCCACAGGTGCATCTTTAGCTTTTCTTTGTCTTCAGACCTTACAAAGTTGACCAGTATGTATGTAAGCTCTCTCTCTGTCTGTCACTCTTTAGGAGTGCATGCTCACCTTGCTCATTTCCCTTAGAACATTCAAGATGCTAACTATCAAATGATTGTGTCGCAAATCCAACCATGCGATTGGTTCGTCACAATCGATCTCAAGGTTGCATATTTTCATATAGAAATACTGCCACAACACAGGAAGTTCTTGGTTTGCTTTAAACGGTAACTAAACCCTAAACCAACTTTTTTTAGTTAATGATCTATAAGAATGGGGCTTTATTGGTGCTAATCATTGATCGAGTAACTTTTTTTGACATTTGGGTATAAAGTGTTTTAAATTTACAATATATGATGTAAAAACATCTGAGTGCTGCCTTCTTCAGGTTGAACGGTGGCTACTGCAGTTGAATTTTCCTATTGGATGTTTGCGATGGTACTTAAAATAAGTGGTTCTAGGTGATGTAGGCAGGTTCCAGCTCACCATGTCCTTGGTACGAGTTCACCACGCCCATGGCAGTATAAAAACCATCTTGTTTTGTCAAAACCACTGTAGCGAGCATAGCTGTCAACATTTGGTTTTCAAAAACCGGAGATTTGTACAGGGACCTTTCGGCCGGTGGTTGCATGCACTTGGCCTGAAAGGCTGCGAGTTCCCGCCTAAAGATGGAGTATGCAAACTGCATTTAACGCCCGATTGCTTCTCCAATGCAATAGAGGGCTTCTCCACACAGCTCGCGCCGAAAAGCGACACAGTGCCAAACGCTGCTCTTCATGGACTCCACCACCGCAGTGGCGTCTTGATGTGAGTGAGCATACATTTTTAATCACAACACTTCAGAAATTTTTTTTTTATTATTATTTTAACAACGTCAAAAACACAATGATAGGTGTTTAAAAAAACACATAAACGTATACATATATGCATTATTGCAAACGTATTATCATGAAACAAATTGTGTGGAGAGAGTTTGCGCAGCCGCACTTAATCGCGCATCTTTTTGATTAGCCTAGCTGTCAGATAGTGAGTAAAAATGAAAAGAAACAGGCCTATTCAATCCTCCCTGGATATTTTTTTAATGACGAAATTAATAGCAATCAGGAGAATGAAACTAGGAAAAAAAAAACATTACACTTGCGCAATAAAAACTGCACCGCAACAAAAAGGTACAGCATGTGTTTTTATATTTAATGCTGTTCACTGTGAGTTTGAATTAATAGTGTAATAGAGTTAATAGAGCAACGTGCATTTTGTTTGGTATAATGTAAGGTATACCGTTTGGTAATGTCGTTGTTCTATGTAGGCCTATGCCCAGAGCGAATGCCATTCTTGGTTATGTCGTATGTCGTTCTTGGCATACTAGGTTTTCGTTAAACAACTGCATGGAGGGGCCATCATCTCGATTGGCACATCAACTGCCTTGAGTTGATGGCTGTATTTCTGGACTGAAGTACTTACTCCAGCAGCTCAGAGACTACCATGTCCTAGTGCGGGTGGACAACATTGCGGCAGTCACCGATCACCTATATGCGGCAGTTCGCGCCATTTGAACAGGCTAGGGCAGCAGATTCTGCTTTGGGCTCAGGTCGAGTTGCTGTCTGTCAGAGCGATTTATATCCCTGGATATCTGAATGTGGGAGCAGATTTCTTGTACAGACAAACTGTGCCGAATGGGGAATAGAAACTCCACCCAGAGGTAATGAAACAAATCTGGGAAAGAATCTACGAAGCAGAATTGGACCTCCTCCACTCTCAAGAAGTCCCCTCTACTTCTCTCTCTCGTTCCCAAAGTGCTAACTCAGCACAGCATTGAGAGAAGCTTGTGAAAGGGAACATCTCGGGTTAATTGACCATTGTTCACTGAGGATATGCCCGAACTGCTATTCAGACAAAGTGATTCCTGAAGATGCACCTGTGGCACATCTAACTATAGCCTCTGAAGAGAACGCATTTCAATGACGTCGCCGTCAGATGCTGCCAAGTTCCTTGGCGTGTTCGCACACATAGGTCATTCCCGTTTTCTCAGGAAAAGGGTAACACTCAAGTAACCAGAGATGTTTCACTGTATTTTGATCATATAAATGCAACATTGGTGAGCATTAGAGAGACATCTATTTTCATTCAAAAATATCTTTCCAATCCAAAACTTAACGAGAAAAACATGCAATTAATTAATATACATATACATTACAACACATACAGTCTCAGCAAGAATATTAATTTTACTCTCCCAGCAATGAGAGATCATAAGATTAAAGTTTCCCAGTGTAGGGAAACTTGGGATTGTTCCAATTAGCTCAGATACAGGGAATATAATTTAAAATAACTAATCATGATCGGGAATCACCTACAAATTATAAGATTACCTGTGAGGGGAACAAGTTGCCAATGTTCTGAATGAACGATTGAATGCAATCGACCAGTGTTAAAAGATGTAGTTTCTAACCAGAAAGCTATTATGCATAGAATAGGACATTTTACTGTAATTCCAGGGCCGCCACTTTACAGGGGGCCTGGAATTCCTTCTTTCCCGGAAAGGGGATAAGGTTTTGAGATGATAACATTTGTGTGAAGCTGGCTCATTGCTGGTTTTGTGGGTGTTTTGTTTTAACTCACATTCGCCATGTAAGTGTCAATGAACGCTATTAGGAAGGAACAGACTTTCTGGTGCTCGCTGGTGAATTACTAGACGTGAGACAAATGTTAAAAGCTTTTTTACATGTAGAATTAAATAAGTCCCAACTGACAGTCCAGATACCCTACACCAGGCTGCTTACAAGTTCAAACAGAATCCCATTCAGCAACGCACACCAAACCCTCATCTGTCCTAAATAAAAACCTGACCGAAATGAAAATAAAAACATTATAATCACAAAGTAACATATGGCCATGTGAACTCACCCCTGAGTATCTGGTAGAGGAACACCTTGATGTGATCGGTGGTGAGAGGCTGAGGGGAAACGATGACTTTATGTAGGTCGCTCTGCATGAGCTCAGTGATCACGTATCTACACCACAGACTTAGTTAAGACCACAATGACAACTTCTACTATGAGAACACAAGAGGGAAACTAGCAATGGGTAAAATTAACCAAGAGTATTTTTATATCATCATTGCCATGTGAAGTGAAAAACAAAAACCCATCTGTTAAATATATTGAAGTTCCTAATAGCTAGTTTTCCAACTAGCAAATAACAATATTTTATTTACTTGCCAAAGCTAATTTTCACTTGCCATTTTGAATGCAAACCAGGATATTCATAAATTAATAAACGCAAAATCACCTTCACATAATGCTACATTAAAGTTTTACATACTAGACATTCATATTTGTATTAGAAGGCCAGGGCCTTACTTTTTTACCAAGGAGCGCATGTGTTTATAAGCAGAAAAATTTAGAAGCCCGTTAAAAAAAAAAACTTCAGGGGAACAATGCCAATTTTTCAAATATGAGGAGACATTATAAGAGGAATACTCTTATAACTCCTATACAAAATTAGATTTTCATAATATATTGAAGCTTTAATAAGGTTATAATAAAGTACTGCCCTCCCAACAGGTTTAATAACTTTTTTGTCACAATAAAAATAACTCTGAACAATTAAATACAATAAAGTAAAACACAACAAAATGTACAAATTAAACAAAAGTTTTCAGACAGATTAAAGTAGACAGCAAAATAACTATAAAGAACTATACACTTTACAATAAGGTCCCGTTAGTTACCGCACAATAATCAAGAATCAGACATTTTCAGTCAATATCCAGGGCATGTTTTAGGTTTCAATTTTGAAAGTAGTAAATTTGCCTATTAAGTCCTAAAATATTTAAGTATTTGTTGTGATGAACACCATAGTGAAAAATCGGAAACGGCTGTTAAAAACATTTAAATTCTGGTCAGAAACAAAAAGTGGCTGCTTTGTTTACAGGGGTAACGGTAAATATATTTTAGAGTTCACACACATCTATTTTTAGTCGCAAATGCTCGAAACGTTCGAGCCCTGTCATAAGACTACAATTTCCAAATCATAGATATACAAGTTACACTTCATGCGTTCTCTCAGATCGGATAGCAATCTGATTTTTTCAGATACCGTTGTCATATCTGACAATAAGTGGCATATAGCCCATACCATGCTCTCACACGTTTATTTTTTAGCATTTTTGGGAGGAGTAAAATTTGTGGTTTCAACAACCTGATGCATTTACACTTGTCCAGTTTTGTCAGGAATACGGCCCAGACCACCTACTGAAGTGGTTTGAGTGATCGGATTCAAATCGGTCTCAAATGCGTTTCGGAGGGCATTTACAACTGGTCTTTTTACGATCGGATAGCGATCTGATCAGAAAATCAGTTTTGGACCCCAGGTAGAATGTGGGTATGAAGGATACATCTCCTCAAAGCAGTCGATTTGTGGAGGTTGGAGAATGTCAAGGGCAGACAGCACCTGCCGAAGCAAATTCCCATCATTACAAAAAAAAAACATGCAATCAAATTCTAAAACTCTGCAAAAACACACACCCACTCAGCAATAAATCAATGCATGCATGATTCCTTTTCAGCCCGCAAAACTTACGTTGTCATGTTTAAAGAAACACAGCATCCGGAGTTCCCTGAACACACGCTTACAGGAGACCAGGTTCTGGAAGACATTCGGCATTTTCTTCAGAGCCACCTTACGCCCATCCCGAGGGTCCGTCACAGACCTACCAAAGCAATGCAACAGGGTGTTCGAGTCAAACAATTTAAAATGTATTGAAATATATAAGAAGCTTCTGTCAAAAAAGGTAGAGAGCCTACATGGACAGAGAGTCATCAGAAATTAGTGTGTTGGGATGACAGCAGCACTTACCAGACCACCCCAAATGCACCGTAACCGATAGGTCGATCAGGCTCCATTTCAGCAGGACTTGGAACCTCACTTGCTGGGTTACTGTGAGGTTGCGGGATGGCTGCCCCTCCGCCAGCGCTGCCCCCGAGAGATGCTGGGTGTCTGGGAGTCCCAGCTGGTGCGTTGGGTCCAGTGGGATTTGATGTCGCACTGAGGCCCGTTGAGGTAGTGCCGGTCGTGGCGTTGACACAAAAATACTTGTGGCCTAACTCTGATCCAGGGAACAAGTTACCACACACTGTTGGCCGAGTGGATCCATGGAACGCCATTCTACATTAGAACAAACATGGGTGAGAAAGTCATTAAAATGATGGCCCACCAAAAAATGAAAAATCTGTCATTATTTGTTCATGCTCACATTGTTACAAAACTGTATGCATTTCTTTATTCTGTTGAACACAAAAGATAAGATGATATTTTGAAGAATGGTTAGCAGTTTTGGACCCCAGTGACTTTGTATTTTTTGTACATACAACAGAAGTCAACGGAAACAGAAACTGTTTGGGTTACCAACGTTCTTCAAATTGTTTCATTTTGTTCTCCAGAGAAAAGTCAGTACAGGTTTAGATAAACATGAGGGTGAGACTGGGTAAATGACAACATTTTCATTTTTGGGTGAACTATCGGTTTAAAATGATTAAGTACACTCCCGACAGTGAGTTTATAAAATGACAAATCTCTAAATTATTTTGAATTTCTAAGTGACATTTTACTGACAAACAAAAAACTAAAATTTGTTATTTACTCATACTCAAAATGGGTTCTTTTTTAATGGAATACAAAATAGGCATTATTCTCTGAAAATCTTCACATCCACTGGAGCTCAAATCTTATTCATATCAAATATGTTGCCATTCAACATATTGCTACATTGGTTCTCATAATATTTGGGGTGGAAAATGACTTTCAAAATGCAGGGGGAGTTATCTCTCCAGTGAATTATCATTATGCTTTATAATTTTGCTTGTTCTTCACACAAGTTAGGAGATGGCTTCAGAAGACTTAGGTGTTGCATGGACCACTTTTATGGAGTATTTTTTTGTTTCTTTTGGGGCTTGACATTCATAGTTGTATACAACTTCATAATGACATGGTGTGTGTAAATAATGATGGAATATGTTTAGAAAAATTAAGCTGTGAGTATTATACAAATGTAACCGTTTCTTTTAGTATAACCGGCCCAACATCAATTAGGTTACAATTAAATTTAAATAAAACATTAAATCTAAACAAATTGGCAAATATTAGGCAATACAAACAAGTTATCTCTTAGAGCCAGCGTTCAGTGACAGTTCAGCCGCATTGCAACAGCGCAAGTCAATCAGAAACATTACTAGACCAAATGCATGCCAAAGGTTGATGTACTTTAATCATGTGCTCGGTCTTAGTTTGGCCTGACAGCAGCTTTATCGGCTATATCAGTTTAAATAGCCTGCAAAAAAATAAGAAAATGTGCTTGTAACACGTCTGGAAAGTTAACATCAGTTTGGTTCCTCATCTTTGTTCGCAAGGTGCTCTTTTTCCTCTATATATCCAAGCTAGCTAACTTACACTGTAATCACACAACTCGTTACAATGTTAATATTTAAGCTGCTATAAGCCCTTCCACACACCACAGTCTTCTGCCAACATGTATCTCAAGCTTCTATTTGTTTAGTTTAATGTAATTTTCAAGCTGGTTAACTCTAATAATAATAATGTAGCTAACTCGACAACCAGCTGTTACCTCTGGCTAGCTGGCTAATTAATCTGCTCCGTGACCTATATCTGATGTTTATATGCACAATTATGCATTCTGAGCGAAAATAATAACATAAAGTGAATACAACCCCTCCTAATGCACAAAGAAATGAAAAAGCGAACTGTAACTCGTGATGAAGGCTGGTAATGTAGGTTTATTGGCTACAGTTGTTTGTAAAGTTAGCTTTAGCACAGCGGCTAACCTCTCGGAGCTGATGGCAGCGGCGGCGGAGCTCAAATCTTCATGACGGATGTTGCGGATCGCAGCGCTCGCCCCGCATTTCTACTCGCTTTAAATCCTTCTGCTGCTGCTGATCTCAAATCTCAACTGTCTCGCCGTGTTCCTCTCTCTCTGGTCTGGAAAATCAGCTGTTGGAATTGGAAATAGCGGTAGTGAGGGAGAAGGAGGAGTTGAGAGAGGGGGATGGAGTGAAAGAAAGGAGGGATGAGTGTATGGGGGAAGGGAGGACCACCGGTGTAAACAATGCGAGAGACGCAGTTTAACCGTTCACTCTTGCCTTGTCTTTACAGGATTAGGGTAAAAAATTATAGAGTCAGAAACTTAACAACAATATTTTCATTTTACAATTATAGCAGGTGCTTAATCTTCAGAACATATTGTCCGACGTTTTTTGGAGACTGTCTAAATAATAAAGTTTAATACCTCTATTTGTGATGCTATAGATATTTTTTTTTTTTTGCAATAATTTGGGTTACAGGCTTGAAAGGGATAAGCTTGATGAACATGGTTATTATTACAATTTGTATAACAACTGGGAAAAATTATTTGCATGTTTTCTGGCCATGCTATAATGCCTCATTATTTAATCATTAAAGTAATACAAAAATATGTATTTAATTTTCTATATTTGTTACATGCAATTTATTAATTTCCGATTATGTTAATATTTGTTCTTAAAATATAAATTCGCTGGTTTCACAGTAAAGGTGAATCACAGAGTCCTGTCTGTGAAACCTTAAAACTAAAAACTGAAGCTAAATATATAAAATATTATGATGACTTTTGATATTAATTGTTGTAATTTGTGGGACAGACATTTGATGTTTTCAAAACTAGCTGTTTATATTCTATTAAATCATTATTTTGTTATATCATTATATCTAATAGTTCGCGTTACAAAAAAAAAAATGGTATTAAGTTGTGTACCGTATTAGAAAAATTTCCTGCTTTTCTTTCAAAAGAATCACCCCTCACCCCATTTTTATAGATAGATAAATGCACATACACATTATATCTCAATAAAGCAAGTGAGACAGCAATAGTTAAATTCAGTATAATTAGGTGCATGTTCTTAAATACATAGATTAATTAGGATAGGAGCACATCGACACCAACACATATTGGCGTTAAACTAGCATCAACACAAACAGAATTGGAAACATAGGTTACAGATCTTATTCAATATAATCAACATTGTTACATTTGTTTAACGTCTTGAGTCCAAAAAAAAAAGAAAAGAAAATATATCGATATCAATGAGAAAAATATCAAAGGAGGCAATGAACAATAGACACATTTTTAGTATTCACGTATACTATTTTACATTGCAAATATAAATAAATATTTTGTCCTTGTGACCACATTTAAATGAGAGGAAATTGCACTATATTTGATCCCCTTAAATGTTGTCATTCATGTCAAGATCATTTATGATGGAATAATCTCTTGAATTCATTTATAAAATGCATCTCTTCCTAAACTTCAAGATCATGTAGATATGAGCCATTATAATATAAGGAAATGGTTTGGGATGCATAATGTGTCGATTCCTCTCAGTGATCTACATTCCTCAACAGTGGATTTTTTTTTAAATAATGAACTGGGACAGCACTTAATAACAGCCTACATTTAAAACCCATGATCTCTCCAATGGGACTTAGAAGAAAAATCTAGCAACACCCAAACCAGTTGTCTATCAGATCTTCGCAGGCTCCTTTAGACTGTATACATTAGACCAGATCAAAGAATACGCAATCCAGCGAGACTTACTGCTCGGTCTGCACATAAAGGTGAATCAGGTTCGTGTTTCTTGAGTTCATTCAAAAGTTACAGTTGTTTTGAGGAGGGTCGGTCATGTCTAGCACAGTGGCAGCAAGATTTGAGGTGGGAGGGAGGGGCAGGTTTCCATGGCAATCCTTGTGGAGTGAGAAAACAGGTGACGCTTAATTGGTAATGCTGATTTCATACAATCACATTTCTCTATTAATAAACAAATGACATTAAACGTGGACAATATAAATTACAAAAAACGATTTTTTCTCACTTAACATTAGCACTGAGTGATATAGCTAAAAATGGATATCTAAATATTTATTCATTTTCTCTGCAGTGGCTAGAAATGTGGGGGATTCAAATGATCCATTTTGGACCAGTAAAGGCATGTTATTACTATTTATATTTCCACAATTTCTACAAAAAAATAAGCTGCACAACTGTTGTTTCAATGTTTCTTGATCATCAAATCATCATATTAGAATGATTTCTATAATGTAAATTTGAGTAATGATGTTGAAAATTCAGCTTTACCAACACAGGAATTACATTTTTAATAGATTCAAATTTAATAATAATAGAAAACAGTTATTTTATATTCTAATAATATTTTACAATATTACTGTTTTACTGTTTGGTACTGATCATGTTCATTTTTAATGTTATCGTTATTGGCTCGATAAGAACATTTTGCAGATATATTAAAGACGATAAATAATGAATTATTCCCTTTTTTACATTTATTACACTTCAGATGCGCACTGTTCACCCTGATGGTTTTGAATTACTTGAAATATGATAGTTAAATGCAACATGTGCTGTGCAAGTCTGTCATATCGAACATTACTATTGTGTGCTTGGGACATGGATTTTAATGGTGAAACTTTTGTTTTTGTAATCAGGCTCTCAAAAATTAAATCAAAATTTGGATTTAGATTTATCGGCCAATATATCGTTTATCTGGTTTCAAATAAAAATAATTACCGTTATCGGTTATCGTATCGGCCAAAATTTTCATTTCGGTGCATCCCTAATTTAAATGGCAGTTTGAACTGATTCACAGAAAGAAAGAAAAAAAAAAAAAAAAAAAACTTAATACGAATAATAAACCATCCACTAATTGGAAGACAAGCAGAGATCAGGAATCAGTCTTTAGGAAAATGAATGGGCAAATTAAAATTGCATTAAAATCTCTGCATCTTTCAATTATGTGGCAGCAAAATCATTGCAAATATATTGTGAATATCTGATATATCAATCTAGTTCGTTTGCTCACCTGTCCATATTAGGCCCATCGTCTTGCACATTTTTCTCCCCTCCCACCCATTAATCCCGCTTCATACATCCCGCCCTCCCTCCTCGTGGTGTGCTGTGGGCTAGCTGTGGCTCTGAGGAGCGATGCTGGAGCAGTCAGTCACCAGCAGCCCAACTGTGACTGGAGCGCTGGAAACAGGAGTGTCTGTGCCCACTGTCTGCACTGAACTGCTGCTGCTGCTGCTGATGGGGCAAGGAACGTTGGGGTCCGTTTGGTTGGCGTGCGTGGCCATGTGACCCTGCAGCTGAGTAGGCGTCTTGCAGTGTACCCCACACAGCTGGCATAACAGCACCCCGCCGGGGCCTGAGCCACGGCCGACCCCACTCTCCTTCCACTCTTGCCCATGGTGCTTCTGAGCGTGGACGCGCAGGTATGTCAGAGTGGTGAAACCTAGGGGGAAACAAGGATGGTTTTTATCAAAAATGTAATTGTTGTCACTTGTCACCTTCTCAGTGCTGTAAATCATACAGGGAACTGTATGATTTCCTAACTTGGTACATTATAACATAATTAATTTACAAAATGAACAACAGTGCCCAAACTATACATTTTAATTTGGATTTATTTAAACTCCCATGACAGAGTATAAAACATTTGAGTTTTTTAAAAATAATTAATTAAAAGGATCAGCTCATATGAGTCTTTTAAACTAAAGAGTAAGTAGCCAAATGATTCAGTCAACAGAGCCATACTAAAATATTATGCGATAAATTGTTAATTAATTTAAAGTTAAGGTCTGAATTAAGTTTGAAGAGATAAAAAATGTCTGAAACAATACAAAGACAATAAATAGTCAGCATGTCTTTCTTTTAAGAGGTCACTGGCTGCCTGCAAACACATACAGCCAACATAGTCAAATTCACAAGCAAATGGCTGAGTTGTTTTAATAATTCAGGTTAAAATTAAACAAATTGAAAGTAAATTATTTGTTGAAACCAGTTACTGAATTAATATCTGACTTGTCATGTTCTTAATGTTTACACTACCAGTAAGCCTGAGGTCAGTAAGATTTAAAAAAAAATGTTTTAATCAAAAGAAAATAATTTTATAATATTTATAATCAAATAAATTCTGTTTTTTAACCTTCTATTCATTAAAGAATCAGTTTCCACATAAATATTAAGCAGCGCAACTGTATTCAACATTGATAATAATAATTAAAGTGTCTTGAGCAGAAAATCATCATATTAGAATGATTTCTGAAGGATCATGTGACACTGATGACTGGAATAATTAAAAATTCAGCTTTGCATCACAGGAATAAATTACATTTTAAAATGGTTCATTTAAATTGCAATATTTCACGATATTACTGTAAAACATTACTAAATTTATGATCAAATAAATGCAAATGCAGAGAATAAGAAACTTCTTTCAAAAACATTTTTTAAAAAAATGACTGACCTCAAACAATTGAACAGCTGTCTGTATTACATCATATTTAAAGATACATATTCACAAACAATTGAAATAAACAGATAATAATATAATAATAATAAAAGGTAACCACACATGAAATAATCAATGACTCACTGCGGTTGCAGAGGTGGCAGATGTGATGCTGTGATTGGTTGTGGACCCTCATGTGATCTGTGATGTAAGCAGGGGAGAGAAGTTTGCCACAGATGTGGCAGGGAACCTTGTCCTCGTGTCTGATCATATGAGCTCGTAACCGGTCTTTAGTAGCGAACGCGGATTCACATGTCTGCACAAACAAACACGGTTTATCAAACACAATCTTCATTATGGTATTCCAGCTCTATCCCTATTCGTATTCATCACGCACATCATGACTCATCCTCGACACACACACTGCCAGACACATATGGCTGCAGCCCACATACACGTCTTCACATATATGAGCAGAGAAGCACGTGTAAGAGCTCTGCAATACTGTAATAAAATGGCCTGAAGTTTGATAAAAAGAGCCAAAACAAACATGCAGGATGATTTAAAATAATATTCTGGTCCTAGGATTTGCAAGGATACATTTATTTGTATCTAAAAATCATTACTCCAGTCTTCAGTGTCACATGACCCTTCCAAAATAGGTTTTTTAATAATCAATATTAAAAACACTTGTGCTGCTTAATATTTTTGTGGGAAAATGGATATATATATATATATATATACAGTATATATATATATATATATATATATATATTTTCAAGATTATTTTATGAAAAGTAAAAAACAAACATGCATTAGAAAAATATTTTGTAAAAAAGCCTTTTCTGTTACTTCTGATCAATTTCATGCTGAATAATAATGTTAGTAATAAAAAAATGTTAGTAAAGTTTTTTCTAAAATTGTAGTATTATTTAATATTGTTTACAATAATACTGTTATTATTGTATAATAACTAGTCAAATAAATGCAACCTTGAAAATAAGAGACTTCTTTTAAAAACATAAAAAATGTAACCGACCTCAAACTTTTTAACAGTAGTTTTATATTACAGTATTAGTTAAAGATACACATTCACAAAAGTGTTTTGTTTAATAAATATATGACAATAATAAAAGATAATAGGAGATCAAAATAACACATCATTATTTGATGATAGAAAGTAAAAGAAATGAACACGTTTTTGTTTTAAAGTCTGAGAATAGACTTTAGAGAAGATTAGAGGTAATCAAAGTCACATAGAGCATGCAAGAGGAAGTTAAAGACAGTGATAAAGAGTAAGAGAAAGAAAAATAGAGAGAGGAAGACAGAGAGACTAGAAGAGTAGAGCTGTATTACCGGACATTTGAAGGGTCTTTCTGTAGAGTGCACCTGTCGCACATGACTGTTCAGATGGTCAGGCCTGGAGAAGACAGAGAGAGGGCTCAGACCCTTGAGCGTGTGTGTGTGTGCATGCTGCACTTCATCTCTGTATGAACTAGAGGAGGGTCAGCAGAGATCTGTCTGGAGCATCAGGGCTCCTTTAAAACAGCAGGATGGTTGTTTTTGTTAATTATATACATATTTTCATCTAGCAGATGCTTTTACCCAAACCATCTTTTTTTATCAGCATTTGCACACCATGAGAATCAAACCTGTGACCTCAAATTGCGCTTTTTTTTATCAGATGAGCTGCTGGAACTATAGTAGTTACAATACATACAAATAATATAATATAATATAATATAATATAATGCAGTTTATACTATTTATATATTTTAAGTTTGTAGTTGTAAAGTTAAGTTTTATGTTTTTAAAAGAAGTCTCTCATGCTCACCAATGCTGCATTTATTTGAAAAATATATATATTTTTTTTAAATAGCTCTTTTCTATTTTAATATATTATAAACTGTAATTTATTACTGTGATGGTAAAGCTAAATTTTCAGCATCATCGCTCCAGTTTTCAGTATCTCATGATCCTTCAGAAATATTTTTTTCCACAGGACTAGAAATGTGTTGTAACATTCAATTTTCAGAAATTTGATGAAATTGAAATTTTTCAAAAGCAATTTGATGCTCAGTTATTGTCAATGTTGAAAACAGTTGTGCTGCTATATATTTCCAGGATTTATTGATGAATAAAAAGTTCAAAAGAACAGAATTTATTTAAAATAGAAATATTTATAGTCATAATATTAGAATCTGAAGACTGGAGTGATGATGCTGAAAATTAAGCTTTGTTATCCCAGGAATATTACATTGTAAAGTGTATTAAAATAGAAAAACATTATTTTAATTTGTAATAGTATTTCCTAATATTACTGTTTTTATCACAATATTTTTTATCAAATAAATCCATGCTTGATGAGAGACTTCTTTCAAAAAACATTAAAACAGTAATGTTACTTTATAGGCCTAAGGTCAAGTGAAAAGAGACCAAGCTAAATCTTTTTTTTTTTTTTTTTTTTTTTTTTACTATTGGCTGGACATCTTGTATCTCTGCATATTAGTGTAGTTGTGTGTTGAAATACATGAGACAGATTGATAAATACAGACTGGTCATTTTTTTTCTTCATCACTAACCTACTTTCAGTCTCAAATTAGTAATTAGGTCATTACTCCATAGCTTTCAGTTAAACACTCACGAGTCCTCGACCACTATCAGAACTGCAGTATAATGCTCTAATACTGTTGAAACCTGCTGTGGATTGGCCTGATACACAGTTTGTCCTCATAATCTCAGCTCACTGATGGATGAAGTATGTTTATGCAACTAGTGTGCAGGAGAGCAAAGCTTTTTCTCTTACCGTGAGAAGCCCTTGGCACAGTGCGGACACACGTAGGGTTTCTCCACTCCTCCCTGGTGTGACCGAACATGATAACTCATTCGATCCTTTCTCTTAAACCGCTGTTGGCAGATTGGACAGGAATACGGCTTCTCATCCGAATGGGACAACCGATGCCGGTTAAGATGGTACACGTCCCTGAACGCCTTCCCACATGCCTCACAGGCATGGTTCTTCCTGACTGGATTGGGGTTAGGGTTGGGGTTGGGGTTGGGATTAGGAATAGGAGCTGGATTGATGGGTAACGGGTTTGTTATTGGGATAGATATTTGAATCGGGGTGGGATTACTTAGGTTATCATTGATGTTGCAATTTGGTCCAGCCTGAAAAACAGTAAAACAGAATTTCAGATTTTATGGCACTGACGTTTTTGTGTTTAGAGCCACAGCAAATCTTTCAGTCTTCTAGGTACAACAAGCACAGTGTTTGCTGACCTACTAACCAACTGACTGTAAGTGTTCAACAAATGAGGTAAAAGCAGGTATGAGACCATGTTACACAACTGCTGACGTCTTAGCCTGATTTTTTCTGAGTCTTGGGAATGGGGAGGTAGAATGTTTGAAACTGCTACTTTAGTTCATTACGGGAGAGAAAAAAAATGATGAAATAATGTTAAATGGCACTTTCCATGAATAGTAGAAAAATGAGTGTCCCATTTACTATTTGAGAGTCATAAATGTCATGTTTTTGTGTCATGAGACACTATTAATCTATCTAAAATAAGCCATTCGACCTGAAACTGGTTGCAATAATATCAAATCTCATATAAACCGAATTGAAAAATAAAACAGCTCCTATACAATTTAGCTTGACCTACTGTCTTTCACAAATGGTTAGCACCTTGTTTCGCTAACCATTTGTTTAGATCATTTAAAATCCTATTTTTTTTTTTTTATTTATGAAAACTACCTAATAGCTTCGAGTTAAAAATGAGAGACAATGGCATGAGGGGGAAAAGTCAAAGCATAAACAAAGGAAGTGCAGCAAAGCTATGCAAAGTATTAACAAAAGACACAAATCAACCCAACCTGCACCATTGTCCCAGTAACCACCACTGCAGTAGGGAGGGGCTGGTTCACTGTCATGGCAACCGTTGCCGGGGCGATAGATACAGCGACTGTTTCTACCTGCTGATTGCAGATTGGGGAAGGATGGACCATGGGGTCGACTGCCGTGGGTATGGAGGCAGGTATAGACAGTTGGAGGAGAGAAAGGGGGATGGTCTGCCTCTCCAATCGTGCTCCAGCCTTCTCTCCGTCTATTTTCTCTCTAGCGGCTCTGTCCTTCATCTTCACTCCAGTGTGGACAGACTGGTGACGCCGCAGGTTGTAACTGTTCTTAAACTGCTTATTACATATGGAGCAGATGTGTGCAGGCCGGGCTGGTCGCGTGACTGGCTTCACTGGGAAAGAGAAGGTTAAAGGACACTTTTAGCATGCTATGCATACACAGGTGTTGTCAATTTGTTCCAAACAAACACCTAGGCTAGGATTAGGAATGAACTCAAAAACATACTATGCTCCTTTCAGAGTTCGTACTTAAGAGCTTCCAGGCAGTAATTAAAATAAGATGTGAAATCACATGAGCAATTTCATTCTCCAGTTTCTTTCTCACCACTTACTGACAAAAACTGGATAGATTTTTGTTGTTGTTGTTGCACTAATGCATCAAACTTGAGAGCAAAAAATGCTTTATCAATGTATCTTATCTTTCTCTTGCTTTTAGAGTATTTTCAACAAATGGATTAGAAAAAGATTCGCAGTACAGTACAGACTTCAAAGACTGAACCAAACCAACCAGCTCCAGTTTCCTGTTAAAAATGCATTCTGGGTAAAAACTAAAAACTATGATTTTACCCCCCAGAACATGATTTTTAACCTCCCAGTTTTATTCTTATTCATTTATCAGTTTTATTTTTATACATTTTTGTATGTCAGCTTTTTCCAACATTTCTTTAACTTTAATTATTATATATATATATATATATATATATATGGCTTTATTTCAATTACCAATTTTTAATAGAATAGAAATCTAGTTGATTATGTCATTCGCAGTGCTCAGTACTCTCTGATTGGTTTATTTTTTTTCCTCTGGGAATTCCACCATTACACACAATTATTTTAAAATTAAAATAAGAATAATGTGGGTTGGCGGCTTCAGAAGAAGCAAATACCATGGATTCTGGATGGATTTTGATGGTCTTAAAAGATTTAAAAGTTATTGTTCGAAATCAATGATGATTTACTGCCGGAACCCAACTGTAGCACTCTATAGAGAGAAACTGTGTAGGCATCCTTAATAATATTCCAACCTTATGCAAATCAATGGCTCCATGAGCATTTTCACCCATGTACATTATTCTCCAATCTCCGGCAGCCACTAAAGTCACAACAACAAACAGTCTAACCTCGTTTTCTCCCTTCCCACCGTCCTCTTTTGCCCCTCCCTCACCCGGTACAGGCTCCTCATTCAGCGCTGCTGTGTCCACCGTGGATGGGGGCGTGGCTAAGTGCTCAGGGGGCGGGTCCTGAGAAGGATCCGTGAGCTCCGGGAGAAGATCTGATTGGAGGGTCGCGTCAGTTTGGGACTGTGAAGGCGGAGTTGTCTGTGAGAAGGGGCAAAATCACAGATTTTAAACATTCTTTTGCCTTTACTTGTGAATGAAAATACACCGGTGGCATTATGGACAAATGCTATCTATTATGACATGAATTTTAATGAAATAACAAAATAGCTATTAACATGATTATATGACATATAATCTTTGTCTTACCTGAAAGAGGAAATTGCTCCAAGCTGCATCCATCATGACGTGAAGAACAGGACAGATGCCGTTTAAAATAAACTTGTCGATTTTACCCCCACAATGAACGACTTCTTCCACTATTGTATCACATGTATATATGCTTTGTATTCAAAATGTAAAACTACCATATGTAGAAAGACACGTTATTGAAATTTAAAAAGTGAAAGAACGCAAATTACTCTGATAGTCATAAATTCATATCAATTTTACACTATGTTCAAAAAAACATTAAGAAATGACAGCTGTCAGTCACGGTCCCTGTTATTAACACCTCATTGCCACATAACAGTAACCATGCTTAAAATTTTATAAAATGAATTTCTGCATTTTTATGTTTTCTTATTAATTAGACCGATGTGCAATAATTCATGCAAAGATCATACAATTATAATGGCAGTTTAATGTTTCATTTGCTCTCAGCGGTAGCATGGCGTTGGTAAAAATATTTCCATCATTTTTTTATTATAAGATTCTCCATCCAGGCCCGAGCGGCGTCTGCGCGAGCCTCGGCGTTGCGTCAAATCTCATTCGTGTCTAGCGAGCGGTTCACCGGTCCTCGTCCATAGCTCCGCCTCGGCATTTCAATCGAGAGGATGACATTTTTTCCTTTTTTTCCCTGCAATACTCTCACCCTCCCACCCTCGCTCTTTCTTCCTTTTCTTTTTTTATCCCGTCTTCTCTGCCCCGCTATCTCTCCCCCACCGCCGTGTCCCCCTTGTTTTAAAGGGATAGTATATTTTGAGTGAACACCCCCTCTTGTGTCTTCGTCCCCTCCTCCACGCGATGCTCTCGAGCGCGGTGTCGTCCTCTCGCGCCCCTTCGACGTTTGTGTTCGGCCGACGCAAATTACACCATAAACATCGAGATCAGTTAAAAGAAACCATCAGCGCATTCTTTTCTGAAACCTAAGTGTCTACAACACCAAGATTATCTGTGGTAGACAACTGGATGTTCGTATGGGGGAAAAATGTCGCAGGTCCTTAAAGGCAAAGACGCACGCAGACGCAGCTGCGGTAAATAAGCGGCTCTAGATCACTGCCGATAGTAATTGTAAGCGCCCAATGGGATTAAACACATATATCAGACTCACTCCCAAACAAAGATTTTTTTTTTGGTTCCCTGTGCAATATATTTTTTTCTCTCTCAGAACAGCGCTTTTCAGACACATTTCTGTCTGGAAATATAACGTTTATTTACGTTGTTCGCGTCATGGTTCAGAGAACGTTCCTTCGACGTGCACTGAGTCATGAAAATAAACAAAACAAAAAAAAACATCAGACATAATATGTTAAATTAAATGCGAAATGCCCTTAAAACTCAAAAAAGGGGAACGTTTTGTGTTTGCTGGGCTTACAGGAATATCATTAGTAGCAGTTTGTAAGAAATGACAGCTGCATATTGGTGTCAGGATGACTTTATTGTCAAATCATCTGTTACAGTACAAAATACTTTTCTCCACAATCGTATAACTCTCAAAATTCTGATCATTTATATAACAACAGCTCTAAAACAGTATCTACCACAGCCCAATAATACATTCAGAAGGCTTTGGACAAAATTAATGGCAGAGCCACTTATAATAATATAATATAATGTTTCCACACTCTTCAAACTAATATTCAAACAGATAAATGTCCTTTGATAGACCTACAACAAAAAACAGGCTCATTTACAGAAATAATTAAATGCCACACAATGATAAAAATCTGATGATAAAACCAACACCAAATACTGTGACACTCGATTGACTTTCAGTTGAAGTGTGGAATGTTTCTGTCTTTTATGTGAATGCTATTTGGAAATGTAGCTTTTAAACAGCAGAGCTATTCTAAATCCTATTAAAAATATGCACGATTATTCAATTAACAACTAAAACAATCAAACAAATAAATAAAAATCATGAGACACCCCAAAGATGACATAAATATCAACAGAAATGGGAATGACTAATAACTAGAATTACAGGAATATGGATGAAACTCGTAAGGTATTTCCCCTGGTATCATACCATTGATAATCTATATTCAAATAAATATAAATGCTCAGTGAGACTTTGCATGGTCCCATGATTGATTTCCATGATCTCATTCTCATCAATACTTGTAAAGCTTGCCAATGATCTCATAACACCTTTTCTGCTCATCATCTTCTCTCTCCCTTCGTCTCCGTTTTCTTGGTTTGTGCATCCTCTCATCTATCATTGTGCTTTGCTCCGCTCTCTCTCACGGTCAGCCACATCGATAGCAGCCATGTTGCGGGAGGCGGTGATGAGGTGGAGGAGACTTATGCCAGACTTCAGCAGAGACACCACGGCACAAACTCCCAGCAGCCATTGCAGCCACACTGGACAGAAAGAGAGTCGTTCAAAAATATGATGCAAACAATATTTTAGTCAAATGTAAGTGTGTACATATGAATTCAACACTACTTCAATGATTAAAACTGACAAAAGGAAAGAGGGACAATAGTGAAATAATAAAGCAACAGTCAGAAAGAGCCTGCTGATTCTCACCCTGGGGTTCCTCAATGTAGTACATTACGTAAAGCAGACAGAAGAACAGTTCATTCCCCATACACATAAAAAACAGCACCGGCTGGGGAAAAAAAACACTGATGTCAGAACAGCCAGTAAATGTGAACTTCACTAGATATCATGCATATTTTAAGAACAACCCATTAAGTTTTAGATGGGACTTCTGGACTGCGTGAATGAATGAGAGTGAGCTAGCCTAGGATGTTACCCTGGATGTGTAGTAGAGCCGCAAGATGGGGTTTCCAGAGAGGTCAATGGTTTTGTGACTAGTTGCTCCCTTCATCATGGAACTGGAAGAAAAGAATCACAAAAAAAGACAAACCCGTATTATTAAAACGATTTATGTAGGTCACAGAGGTACTTCAATTAAATACAATATATTAACACATTCAATATATTATATTATAAAATTGGATTCTAGAGATCAATGAAGTTTTTAAAAAATATATATTTCTTACTATTTGTATGTACAATAATATTCTAATGTTCTGAAATGCATTACATAATCTATAAGTGTTGGTTATTGATTTTGTTTATTATAATTGTAAACTAAATAAAGAAGCACCTTTAAGGAGGAATAGAGAATGGAGGCTGAGGACTCCTGTAACCTTGAAAGCATTTAAGGAAAATGTATCAAGATGTAATTGGGAAAGTGTTTATGTTAATGATGCAAATGAAGCGTATAGCTCTTTTTTGAATATTTATTTAAAGTTATATGAAACGAATTGTCCTTTAAAAATGTACATTGAGAAAAAGAGGGAACAAAAACCGTGGATGACAAAAGGGTTACTTAATGCATGTAAAAAGAAAAATACACTATATAGGGTCTTCTTAAAACAGAGAACGGAAAAAGCGGAAATTAAATATAAGGCATATAAAAATAAACTAACGAAAATACTTAGGTTAAGGAAAGAGACATATTACAGTAGTTGTTTAGAGGAAAATAAAGGAAATATGAAAGGAACGTGGAAAATTATAAATGGTTTAATAAGAAAGAAGGTCAATGAAGATGCATATCCTAAATTTATAATAAAAGATAATAGGTGCATAGATAAGAAACAAGATGTGGCTGAAGAATTTAATGATTTTTTTGTTAATGTGGGATTGAATCTCGCAAGGGATATTGTTGAACCAAAGGAGAAAAATGGATTGGATGAATTAATTGAAAACAATCTGCAAAGTTTGTATCTAAGTGAGGTTTGTGAATCTGAAGTGAGGGGAACGGTTTTGAACTGTAAAAGTAAGAGATCACAAGATTGCAATAAAATAGATATGTCTTTAGTGAAAGAAACCATAGAAGAGATTATTAAACCATTAACACACGTATGTAATGTTTCATTTAGGACGGGAATATTCCCGGACCAGATGAAGGTAGCAAAGGTCATACCTTTGTTTAAAGCAGGTAATAAAAATGATTTATCAAAATATAGACCTGTATCGCTTCTGCCACAGTTCTCTAAAATATTGGAAAAACGTTTTGTTAAAAGGTTGGATAGTTTTATTAATAAATATAATATTTTGATTGAGCAGCAGTATGGATTTCAGGCCAAGCATAGGCTGAACAAGCGATTTTTATTTGTCATTACTCTATGCCCTATATACTAGCATTATACTAGCGTTATAGGCTAAACTGTTTTTAGAGATAAAACTATTTACATTCGGCAATCATGAAAACAAATCTCAGATAACAGTTGGCTAGGTAGCAATGTGTAATTAGACCAAAGGTTCATTTTGCGCCAGAGTTATCCTTTAAAGGAGTAGTTCACTTTACTGGTAACCAAATGGTTCAAGGTCCAAAAGACAGTTTCAGTTCAAACTGCAAACTGTTCAAAGGGCTTTAAACGACTCTAGACGATGAATAAAGGTCTTATCAAACGAAACGATCACTCATTTAAAAAAAAAAAAATTAGTGTTATAAGCTCAAATGGTCGCCTTGCTCTGTTCTGTGATGCGCGTTCCTGACTCTCCTGTTCGAACTCATTCATCAAAATGAACAAATCTTTTTTTCTTTGTTCGTGTCATTTGGTTCATTTAACGAACGAAATGAACGAATTGACTCGGAAAAAGATTTGTTCATTTTGATGATCGAGTTCGAACAGGAGATTTTAAAGCTTTTTTTTTTTTTTAAATCATGCGTGTTCTATTACTTATGTTTTTTATGTAGTATAAAATGTTTAAATATCTTGAGCTGGTCAACCACAGACCTTATTTCAAGGTGTTCACCAAAAAACACAATGACCTTGAAGTTCAGAAGTTGGAAAAATGCATTTTTTTTTTAAAGACTAATACCTTATGCCTTTATTGGATGAACTACAGTATTGGACACACCTGTGCAGGTGCAGCCAGTGGCTGGCCACGTCCAAACACATGCTGAGCTGAAACAGGAAAGTGTAGGATGGGTACAGCAGTGCCAGATTTACCAGCAAACACATGGTGGCACAACGGTCAGTCAACATGTCCAGCATGGCACCAAACTTTGTACCTAAGGAAAAGGCAGGGATGGGTACAAAGAGTGTGCAAAGCACAAAAAGAGAAATAACATACAACACAGAGCTGCAGATCACTACCTTGATTAAGAGCGCGGGCAGCATGTCCATCGAAGGCATCTAAAAGGGCACTCAGTAGGTAACAAAACACAGCTGGACCCGGGCAGCAGGGCATCAAGTAGAAGGATACCAGAGCCAGGACAATACGGGCATATCCTATTGAAAGAGTGGAAAAGATTCAAAGAAAGCAAATATAAAGGAGTAGAGTACACGCACAGATCGGTACTATGAATTAATGTTGGCATAAAACAGAAGTAGCAATAGTCTTTTCTTCCGTATCCTGGTGTAGCCTATGTCTGAGTGATGCGGCTTCTTGAACAAGAAAAAAAGGAGGGTGGAAATTGATTGGATTGTTGTGATTTGCTATTTTTGTGATAAATGTAAGAGACAGGTTGTCCAGCTCACAGGTCAAAAAACTTCACCAGAGAAGATATGTTTGCAAGAGGGAAAGAAGGTAAATATTGATTGTTGTTTTTGAGATGTGTGCATTGCACCTAAAAGTGGAGGCAGACAGAAGTGAATTCAGGTTGATTGGGACACTTTTTCCCATTTTGAAAAAAAGTGTCCCATTCAACCTGTATTTACGGTATTTACACTATAGCATAATGGGGCAACATTGGCAACATTTTAAATAAACCTTACGAAGTCAAATTATAAAGAAACATACATGTATAACAAAGGGTGAATTTGTGTTTCATGTCGACTTTAAATCTTCATACTACATTGACAGAACTATTAGTGGATTAATTTGCCGTATTAAATGGGATTCGTAGTGCATTGCAGTGACATCATATCAAGCATCCGCAGGAAGTCAAAACAACCACTGTAAAACACGACCATGCAGACTAGACGCTAGTACAGTTGTACAGACTCTACGCACATTTAAACAGGACATTCGTGACCTTTATATACATGTATACGTTTTTAACGAAATAACTATCAGTAAGGCAGCCGCGGTAAAACGTGTACCAAACTCTGTCGCGTGCTGACGATCCGCGCTTGTTAAAACTTAGTTCGATTGACTCACCGATTAAATTCGGGACGAACAGGAAGATATTTTCTTCGGTCATGGTAACGAGTGCTATTATTTGGACGGATCCCTGAAATGTCTCTTCTAGCTTTCGATTTCCCTGTAGTTGAGCGTGTGGCGCATGGCGTCATGATGTCATGTAAGCGCGTACGCCCGCCGTCAAAGGAATCCTCCCCTTTAATTGGCTCGGTGACACCAAAAGCATCACGTGCCACGGCCCACGCCTGACCCCAAATCAGCTGTGTGTCACTGACAGCACTGTGACAGTGGTATAACAGCAATGAAAACGTAATTAGTAAAGCATTAGTTTTTTTTTCCAGCATATTAAACAGCTTCACCGTCTTTCTTTCATAATTTTGATCTATCCATCTGTCTCATCTATTAACAGTGGTTGCCGAAATACACTGTAAAAATCCGTTAAATTTACCGACAAATAAAATACGGAAACAACATTTTAGGTTTTACAGATTATATAGAAAACTTAAACTAACAGCTGTTTACCGAGGCATTTTTAGTATTTTACCGTTAAAATCACGATCATTTTTTAAGTTTATCAGTCATCACTAAATAAATCTGCATATGGGGTACTTATTTTGTCAAGTTAGTATTATTTTATTAAGTTTTATTCATCAAGTAAGGTTGATAAAAAAGGGAACATTCTTAAAATTATTATACTTATCAGGTTAGAAATTTTTCTAGCTTGTAGGCTACCAACTGTATTGTTTAGCCGTTTTAACAGCATTTCAACAAGAACGGCAGAAAAATAGATTTAAAACCTTATATTACCGCAAAATATCCAATAAATAGGAGTAATTTGCTGACTAGGACTAAAAATAGCTCTACACCAGAACAAACGTGTTTTTTTTTTTTCCTGTAAGCAACCAGTGATTTCCACTTAGTATGGCCTCTGTCTCTATGGAAACTGTCTTTCCTCTCTGGACATGATGCACATTCTCCTCATTCAGAAAACAGGCTAGAAGTGCTGAAAGCAAGGTGTGCATTAGTCCAGACAGATCACACAGGAAAGGTAATTTTTGTTTGTATCCTTTTTAATGACTCGTTAATCATTTTCTGTACAAGTTCTATAACCCATGTGTTAAAGAGTTCTCCTGTAATCATTTCACCTGAATGTAATTTGGCCTTTTTTCTGAGCTCCCTGAACCATGCTCTCCATCAGCCTTTCAAACACCACAATTTTGCAATACATTTCAGCGCAGGCTACACACTTTTCCACACATCTGCAACAGCAATTGTCTTTGCATCCTTATAGCTCCAGTCCTTTAAACACTGCAGGATGATGAAAGTAATTTCATAGATTTACCTCAAGTTACTACCACCAGATACTGAAACACCCCCTAAAAGAGGATACACTAAGAAGAATCCAGCATGTGTTGCTGTAAACACATTATATGATAGCCCAGAGTTACAGAAGGGCTGAGGATTGTTTTCTCCTCTTCTGTCCATTGATGTTAGTAACCAAGCAAGAAAGGACATAAGGGAAAGTGGTGATGGGTGGGGAGGCGATGTGACGTGAACACTGAAAAAGGTTGGCCAGGCACAGGGAAGTGAGGTACTGCATGTCTCCTTGGTTCAGGAGGCCAAGGGAGAGTCCCAGTGAACGCTGGTGTCTAAAGAGAGCTGGCAGTGTGGGAGCACAAAAGATTTCGGGTTTTCAAAACTAAAAAAACAACGTAACTGGCAAAATCTAGCTTCATCTCTCACCATGTTCTTAAGGGTATGCTGGAGATGTTGGTTGTCAATGTAAACAGCTTGTGTTACTTTGTGTCCATTTTATACATACAAATTTTGTAAGCAAAAACAAAAGTAGTGCATTCCAGAAAATAAGATGGAGGGAGAAAGGGTGGGGTGGGGGTGGGGGGTGGTGTTTGACACACTTTACAGTCATCTAGAAATGTTCTATACAGCTAAAATCTCTTAAAATGTTCTGTACAAGTTTAATACTGGCTCTAAAATACTACTCTCCTGACGAAGCACTGCACAAAAGACTCCTAGCCTGAGATGTAACAAGGAATGCTGGGATAGGTAGTCCTTTTTTGATTTTTTAAACTAAAACGAGACTCGAAATTCTCACTGTCACACTGCCAACATTTCCCACCTAGTGGTAAGCATTGATAAAAAAAAAACCTGTCTTTAAAAAAAGAGATAAAAAGAAATTGTAACAAGAAAAATTAGTGTACAACACAAATATTGCAGTGGTAGTAGTAGGTGTAATAATAATGACAGTATCTATTTTTTATGACCCATTTTCCAATTCACATAGCAAAATTATTATTACCCTAAATAAGAGTTAGTGCTTGTATATACACACGTTGTATAAGTACATTATAGATCAAAAGAGTTGAACAGAAAACAACCTGATGACTTTCCCCGTCAACCCTTCCACAGGAGATGTATTATACACATATACTTAAAGTCATATAAACGTCTGTTGTGTATGTTTGTATACAAATGGTCTCAGTACATCACTCTCATGCACAGAAACCTGTAACCAAACTCTCTTATGGACATGTACATCATATTTACAGGAGATGGCTTACTCACCTAGCCAGGTTCAATCTCTTTTTAAAAAGTAATCTTAGCACACCTATGCTAAAAACAGACACTGAATGACAGCCCAGTTTAAACCTAAACCAAACACATCTTAAATGGCAGCTTGCCCTTATAAGGACAGTGGGCGGAGTTGCTTTAGGTCAGTTGAGCCTCTAGATGGCAGTATAACATGTGGCATTGTTTAAAATAATAAAAGAACACAGAATGCGAAAATCATTCAAAATAAAAATAAAAAACTGCCTCCCGTCCTTGACTCAAATACAAATGTACAGTTTAAAACCCATCAGTGATTGATGTTCTTTTAGTATTGTTTTAGTACTATCTACATAATTACACACACAAAAAAATCAGTTCAATCACCCTTTTAGTTCCTCAGTTTGCACCTCTTCTCCCTCCCACAAGTTTTTGCACATGCTACAGCACCTTCTATTGCATCCGACTCGCTCGCTAGCAGTAAAATTGTGAAGGACTCATCCTCTGGCTCAAACTCAAGAGACGCTCAGAGTCAATGAATAATTCTGCCATTATTCACTCACCCTCATGTCGTTTTAAACCTGTATTTTGTTATTTATCTGCAAAACACAGAGATATTAGAAAGAGCTAAAAGATGAAAATTCTGTCATGTCAAACCTGACTTACTTTCTGCAGCAAAACAAGAATGTTTAAAGAATGTTCCACAGAAAAAAGTAAGTCGTACGGGTTTGGGGCGACATGCAGGCGAGTAAATGACGACAGATTTTTCATTTTTTTGGGGTAAACTTTCCCTTTAAAGCAGCTCTTTTCCAAATAATGCTGGTTCATAGCTAAAAAAAAATACAAAGTGATCTACATTTGGTTCTGACGCATGAAAATCCAAGATGTTTTTGGATGAATGAATGTACTATTAATTTTCAGACCCAAATTATGATCTGCTCAAACATTCAAAAGTCTTCAGAACTCTTGTTGCATAGAAAAGTGCTGCTTAAAAGATCCTCCAAAAACTCTCTACTTTTGTGTTCAATGAAAAAAATAACAATATGTAAGGTTTGCAACAACATGAGAGAGTGAGTAAATAATAACAGATCTTTCATTTTTGGCAAATTATTCTTTTAAAAAATTGCACAAAATGAATTCAGCTTAACATGAACCAGGATTGATTAAGCATAAAATAATTTCTGTAAAAAGTTCAAATCTTAAACCTTTAGACGTGCAAGAAAATTCCTGGACATGAAAGAGCAGAATTCAATGGGTCTGTCTGACCGTTTAAAATAAAATAAAATAAAACTAAAATGGACCAGTTAAGGATGAGCCCGATCTACAGCATTGGCACCACTTGTGTTATTTTCATCCTTTCCCTCCCACGCACACACTCAACAGTAGAGCTTTCTGCTCCTGTAACAGTACATCTCGTCGTTTCTGTTCCCGATCTAAACCCTGAGCCCTCCCGAATCACTATCCCTCGGAAATCCTGAGATCTATCTTCGGTCTGTCATCTAAATACGTCTCCGTTTACCTCCTAAACGAGCTACGTCAAGGGCTTTTCTCCCCTGCTAAAACAAAGCCCGCTAAACATTCTAGGAGACTTCCTATAGAGTCTGACTTTCTAAGAGTAGGAGAGGTGGGATCCGTTGGAGATGTGCGACGTCACTGATGTACTCCGACTCAAACCTCCGTCCCCGCCCGACCCACCGGCACCTCCGCCCGAGGCGGTTCTCCGAAGGGGTCCTGGACTGTTTCTCAGAGCCATTAGGCTGGGGCCCCTCACAGCCAGGCTCTCGCCCCTTCCACCATAGCCACTCTGAGAGGAGGAAGAGGAGGAGGAGGACTGGGGAGAAGATGTGGAAAGTGAGATGGGTGGAGGAGGAGGAGGTGGAGGGAGGAGAGCAAGGGATTGGGAAGAGCCATGGGAAGAAATGTGATGCGAGTGGCCATGAGAGGAGGATGAAGAGGAGTGGTGACCACCTCCTCCTGAACCACCACCTCCCCACTCCCTCTCTCGGTTGTCGCGGTACAGGTGTGGTGTACTCTGGTGGTGGTAATGCTGCGGTATGTAGCGGAGGTGATGATGCGATGACGACGACGACGAAGACGAGGCCGAGGAGCGAGAGCTCGGAAAGCCACGGGCACCCATTCCCTCTAAATCCCTCTCTCGATCTCTCTCCCGGCTGGAGATTTGCTCCGCTCGGCTGAACCCGGCTGTACTGTTCTGACTTCGCCAGGAGGGCGGCGCCGCTGAGTTTTGGACGCCATGGCTCCACTGACTGCCTGAACGAGGCACAGGACGGGACGGCCAGCCCCCAGAGCCGGAGGAAGGAGGGTTGGGGTAGCCCTGATTGTAAGCCTCAGCAGGGATTCCACTCAAAGCCATGTTACTGAAGCCCAGACGCATGCTCTCCGAGTCAAAGGACTCGATTTCTCGAGCTTGGTGCTCGAGCAGAGCCCGGATTCGCTCTGATCGCTCGTTCTGCAAAGACAACATCTCCTCCTCGATCTGAAAAAAACAAAAAAAAACAAAAGGGTGACAGAAAGAGAACAAATTAGAAGACACATTGCATGTCTTTTGACGCTCATTATAGTATCAGGGTAAGCTTACTGAAATTAGTTTCGAGTTGAGTTTCCGGTGTTTTTGTCCTATTTGAACAAGGAGTTGTTGCCTATGTAAAGCATTTTAAACAATAACTAAAAAGGTCAATTCTCAATTAGGATTCTGCTTTAGATGCAATATGATACAAATGTTTTTGATACAATAAGTCCAATACTTGCTCTATTTTAATGTTTTAACTTCTTAACTGTCACGTCCTGGGTATCGGGAGGATTTAATAGAATCTCGCTATATTTCTATTAAATCCTTATCGAATTATGACTAATTATATATCGTTGGAAAGGTTTAACACTTCTAAATAGATATTCTACCCCTGTTTTGTGTTAAAGATTATGTAGGAAGAGAAATTGATGAATTAATGACAAGGGAATTTAAAACAATTTATGGCACCTCAAAAATCAGCATCATAACAGGAGGTCTGACCTTTGTCACAAAAAGTCGATGCACCCGCTTTTAATCATTTAAACTTCAGTTTTTATGCTAAAAGTTTATAATAAAACAAATAATCAAGTACTTCTCAATAAAAAAAACATAATTATAATATATATAATATAATATAATAGAAACATAATCTAATCTTGACAAAACACATATTGACAGAAAGGTCTGTGTCTCAATGTTCCAAATTTTGTGACAGAATTGATATTTGAACAGAGCAGAATGTATAGAATGTATCTAAATTCAATGGCACCCGGTGGCTATTTTTGGTACTACGCTAAAACAAAATTGAATGGGAATTTTTTGTGATATCAACTTCAAATTTTGAACATAACTTGGTTAGATTTATGGCTTTGATTTTATAGTAAAAATATTTTGTAAAATATATATTTTATATAAAATAAAATATATATATATAGTACAGTATATTTGATTTACTGTAAATTTAAACTTCCATAAGTTTTTCATAGTTTCATTTTTTATATAATATGCTGAGTGTTTTTTCTTTAAAACAAGACCAAACTTGGGTGTATATTCCAAAGCATTCTTGAATTACAATCATTTAAGTTTGAATAGTGCATTTTAACCCCTACTCTCAAAAAGGAGGGTGACAGTGAAGGGGTTTATTCCATTATAAATGTAATTTATTCCTGTCATAGCAAAGCAGAATTTTCAGCATCAATCTTCAGTGTCACATGATCCTTCAGAAATCATTCTAATAGGCTGATTTAGTGCTCAAGAAAACAGTCTTTTTAACAATATTGTTGTGCTGCTTAATATTTTTGTGGAAACCTTGATACTTTTTTTTTTACAGAACAGCATTTATTTGAAATAGGAATCTTTTAATACATTATAAATGTCTTTACTGTCACTTTTGATAAAATGCATGCATCCGTTCTGAAAAATCTAAAAGATCCCTAACTTTTAAAAGGTACTCTAAATATTACAGCAGCTCATCAAGTTTTAGAACAGAGCCATCATAAAACATTCATCACTAATATTCACTCAATTTCTCTCTCACCCTCTGCTCAAGAAGAGCTCTCCGTATAGACACCCTCTGCTCCAGGTCTTTGGCCTCTCTCTCGTGTTGCGTGTCTGTGTGCATCTTTATTTTGCTCTGATAGGCATTTAGCAGCTCCAATTCCTGCTGCAGCTGCATGCGCAGTGCTCTGTACTCGTCCTCTTGCGTCTCATCCAATCGCAACTGGAGGGAAAACAAAAAGGCGTGACATCAGTAGAGAAGCAGCCAATAATGAGATTTAGGTCTGACTTAGATCTGTTGATTAATTATAAGTAGCCAAATCTCCCAAAACCAGTCAAAAACATTCCCCATCATATTTCATCTTAAAATTAAAAGGAGATACTGAATTATTTAAGGCCCACTAGATTTGTCTTTTCATTTTTAAATTATTGTAACGATTTTTTATTTTATTAATAGCATTTGTTAACTGCCTTTATTTTATGCAGATTAAAAAAAAAACAAAAAAAACAAGAATATCCCACTGAGAATCAAAAAATGATTCTTTTGATTTTGGGGTGAAACATGATTTGGACATTTTGCTTCTTGTCCATTTTTGTTGAAACTGCCCCATGCATGTAAATGTATGCATCAGTTTGACAGTATACACCAGTAAAAAAAAAAAAAAAAAAAAAGCATTAAAGATGGTCGTTCCTTGCCTTACTCACAGCCTGTGTGGACAGCATGTCTCTGATGGAATGGTCGTACTGTTCGGCCAAGATGGCCAGTTTACGTGTTTGCTCCTCTTTGAGTCTCTTCAGTACGGTTTTATGCTCTGATTTGGGCGTGGTCTCCAGCAGGTGGTTCCGCAGGGCTTTGTATTGCCGTGTCTGAATCTTACAGGTGTCTTGGAACTGACGTTTGATCTGGAGCTCTTTCGTCTGAGAAAACAAAAACAAGAAACATATTTGAGCACTCAAGACACTGCAAGTCGACATTAAAAAAAACCTTCACCTTCGGATAATTTGTTTTTTAACTGTCTTCAAAACAGAAAAACGACAAAAACATTCATTGATCACATATTCAACCTTTCTCTTGAACATGAATAAACCAATCTTGGCTTTTTTTTTATATTTTTATGTTTTCATCACACAATTCATCTAATTCACCAAATGGACACACAATAAAACACTTATTGGATCTCTACATGGCAGGCAATGAAACGCACCTTTCCACTAATTGGTCAATTAAACTTAAAACCATGCTGTCATCAGTTGTTCATTAGTTTTACGCAACAGAATAATAGTCATCATCCGTATTGCAACTGAATTTCATCTCGTTTGCCACCACACTGCTCAAACAAGCAGACTAATGAATGGCTTGACAAACCGTACTGGGGGCAGAGTCTTAGACAAGGCTTTCTTCTGTTTAGACATAAAATCACCAATGCGTGCCATGAAATTAGTTCATCTCATAAATATTCATTTACTTTGCATCTGCACCCACAGCCTACATGCAGCTCTAGCCTACATATTTGGTACACTGCCCGTTTTATTTAGCTGAACTACTATAAAAATCTGTGGCAAGGCTGCACGATGTGCTGGACAGATGGATTTAGGCTACATTGATCTGAAGCGCAGACCAGTATCGATTCAAATGCACACTTTTAAATAACAGTTTGATCTAAACAGCAAGAGATGAAGAGTATTTTTACATTTATTGCCACCCCTGTCAGAATTTAACTTTCCCTATGAGGGAAAATATTTGCCCTTAAAATTAATTTTCATGGCTATTTTTATAAAAAAAAAAAATTCTAACCTTATTAAATATTTATGTAATGTTAAAAATTAAATTCTTAAATTGAGACAGTAAAATTAGAATCATAGGACACTATAGGCTGTCATCAATTAAATCTGTATCAACAAGTAATCTTTGCACTAAAGAAGTGGCAAAGAAGCTCCATCTGAAGTTGGTTTTAGATGCATTTATGGTTTAATGCTGGGGCAGGAAATGCATTTACACAGCAATTGCATAATGTAATGAGAATAATGCCAGAACGCAGATTTATTTAGGAATAAAAATCAAGTGGCTGTCTATAGAAGTCATTGAATCACTCAATCAACAGATTTGTTCAAAGACTCAGACTCATTCAGGAATGAAACACCAGTCTGTGTGCCTGTGACATTTCTTTGGAAGTTACATCAATTAATACATAGTATTAATGAGTGCTGTCAGTTAAATTAATGGCGTTAACACAAACCCATTTTAACAGTGTCATTTTTTTTAAATTGCAAGATTAACGTTCTTTTTGGCCAAGCAACCTTTGTAGTTTTTTTCACATGCTATTACATTTTGTTTAGTACAAAATGTGTCAATGTGTTTTATTTTGTACCGCCCTGTTTTGATCCCTTTATAAAGGGCTGTTTGTGTGACAAAGTATTTTTTCACCCTTTTATTGATGGAGCAAATAATATTTACACCATGTAACACTGTCAAAGTTAGTGTAAAATTGAACACTAAAGTATATGCCAATATTGTTTTCAATAAAAATATATATATATATATATATATATATTTGTACAGTAGTTGTAGGAACTACGGTTCGAAGAACTAAAAAAAAAATCCCCAACTTAGTCCAGTCAGAACACAAGAAAAAAAGGTTTATAGGAATGTTAGGTTCTAGGAACTGCAAAAATCCCTCCGGTCAGAAAGCGGCTTATGTTCATGAGAAGGGTCAAATAAGATAGATAAACAGTTTTTGTTTTTCCATTTTGAAGACAAAAACAAATTACGCAAAGGTACATGCACCGTGGTGTGTTTTTACATCACGGGAACGTTTCATCAGGTGTAGGGCCATGGCCACTTAGGCCCCGTCCACACTACTGCGTTTTCGTTTAAAAACGGAGACCTTTTGCTACGTTTGCACCTCCCGTCCACACTAAAACGGGAAAAACGAAGACCTAAAACGGAGAAGTTTAGAAACGCTGCAGCTGCGTTTTGCGTTTTGAATCTCCGGAGTGCGTTTTAGTGTGGACGAGACAAAACCATACAAAACGGAGAACTTTAGAAACGCTGACGCAGAGGCTGACGCTTGGCTCTATGATTGGGTGTTATCAGTCATGACGCATCCTTCCCTGATTCGTCATTCACTGTTTACACCGGCACGCGCATGCCCAGTGTTGGTGAATGGTCACGTAATCTGCGTTTTCAGTCGATTTAATGTGGACGGAGATCGTTTCTAATACGCAGGTAAAACGCTAGTGTGGACGGAGATCGTATTCGTTTTAATTCTCCGTTTTTAAACGAAAACGCAGTAGTGTGGACGGGGCCTTAGACAGTTGGGTTTAACAGAAGCTCTTTGTGGAATGAATCTTATCATTGCAGCTGCCAAAATTAGTATTTTCTAAACAGAAATCAATTGGTGTACAACAAGAGTTATGTGGCATTAAGAACTGAATTCAGAATGCCCTTTAAATTAAAATTCAATTCAATTTGAATTTATGCAACAAATATGATGCACTATTATTCTCATCATGTGAAGAACATAAAATCAAAATGGGGCAAAAACACCCCACCAAGCGCGTAAAAAAAGCAATCCACACCTTTAAGCTTTTAGGTTGCTGGCGGACCTCCACAGCGTGTTTCTGACGGAGTTCCTGCTCACGCCGCTTATTATACTCCATCTGATTGGCCAGTTCGCTCTGGTGCTGCGTTCGGATCAGGTCGGCCCGAGTACGCTGAACCAGTGCTAGCTGCCTGAACTCCAGCTCCTGAGTGGACTCATGATGTCTCAACAACATAGCACACTCCAGATCCTTCTGGGTTTGACGCTTATTCAGGTCCTACAGGGACAAATAAAAACCAAAAAGGATGGATTATGCATAGAAAGAGATGAATAGATAAAAGCACAACAAAGTGATTTAGAAAGCAAAGAAAGGGAAAGCACACAATAACTCATCTCGTCGCGTCTCACCTCTCTAAGCAGGTCCTGCTCCAGATTGTGTCTCGCGAGCAGCATTTTCCTTTTATACTGTCTGCACTGCAGCTCGTAATACTGCCTTTGTCGCCGTAATAAAGAAGCCTCTTCTTCAGCCTGGATCTGCTGCATACACTCCTTCTGCCTCACCAGCCATTCCTGCTTCTCTCGCTTCGGTGTGGACTGGTTCTCATTCAGCTCCTGTTGCCATGGGGAAGGATTTTAGGGTGGTAAAAGAAAGTGTTACGTGTGTGGAAGTATTTGTAATACATTCTTTGGGGAGAATGACACTACATATTTGGCGTGTTATGTGTTGCACACTTGCTCTCTTCTTTCTATCTCCCTTTCGCAGGCTGCTTATTGGGCTCCACTCTTTTTGTCTGATCAAGAATTGTGATCTTTTAGTGCAGTGGCTCCCAAAAAAGTGAGTCAGAGTCATTCTTTCATTTATTCAGTAACAAAGCAAGTGGCTGTATTTATGAATGGGTAATTGAGTCGTTGACTTAAGAACGATTCGTTCAACTAAACACTGCTGTGTGTTGTGGTTCTGCTGTGGCCTTTGTTGGAACTCATTTCGTTGCGAAAAAGAGAAAACAATACTGTTTAAAATGTACATCACTTAATGTTACCCTTGTTTGTTGAAATGTCACGTTTGCAATTGTGTGAATGTTTGGAAAAAACATAAAAATGAAAAACTAGAACACAGGATGTTTTTGTAATGAAGAGTTTGAGTCTTAAACCAATCTCTATGCACAGAATGTCTAGTCCTTTATGCTAGTACTCCCACTTTTACAAAGGAGGCCTAATTTGTCGAGAACAGCAGCATTGAAGCGCGAACAGACAGCATCCTCTGCACACAATCATCGTTTTGACCGCAATAGATGAGGTAATCTGATTAGATGCCTTGCATTAACTGCCTTTTGCCTGTTAGAAACACAATCTTGGTTTTAATGTTATTTTAATGTAGGACAGAATTAAATGAGCGTCAAAACTCATTTTGTTCCCATACCGTCACCTCACATACACCTTGGGGACAAGTACCACTGTTTAAGGGACTTTTCTCATGTAAACATGTAACTGTAAGAGAGCGTGTGAATGCTAAGCGTATTGTTCTTTTATGTTACTTTTATTATTTTGTTTTTACTCTTAATTTGTGTAAATATTTTGTTTGGATTTGGAATACGTATGGAATTTTCCCTTTATGTTAGACAGAGTGCAGGGTTAGCGACCGTTCACACGGAACGTATTTTTCCATTCCAATGAGGTACTTTTCCATTATTTTTCTATGTAAACCACTACAGGGACGAGCATGACCGTTGTTCTCATAGCATCTAGAGTATAGTACAGCGTTCCAAAAACACAGCACTCAAGTTAAAATCAGTTAAACTTTTAAAAAATACATCTATTTCTCGACTCGTCTTTTTTCGTTCCACTGAGCCGTGTCAATTTTGTCGTTTTTCTGGTACAGGGGATTGAAGCGACCATCAAACAAATGGAGTATGTAACAAGTTAAAGATAGGTAATGGGGTTGATGAATATTCTGCAAGTACAGTCACTCTGAATTCATAATCATGAAGCTCTGCATAGAGTGGATTATTTGAGGGTGTACCTCCTTCAGCTGCTCCTTGCGTTGCCTGTACTGCCGTTTCTGTGAATCCAGCAGGCCGTTGAGTTCCTTCTTCTGCTGGTTCAAAATGTGCTGCTGAAATTTCTTCTCTTCCGTCTGTGCAGCTTTAATCTTAAAAAAAAAAAACACCAGATAAATATGTATAAGCAACACTAATAATACATATAAATACATACATACACAAATGTTCAAAAGTCTGGGGTCAGTTTGATTAAAAAAAAAAAAAAGAAAATTAATGAATAACTTTTATTCATCAGGGTTGCAAAATGATCAAAAGGGACAGTCAAGACATTGTCACAAATTCAAAAAATCCTAAAACAAAAATCCACAAAAATATGACAAAATAAATGTTCCTTGAAAAAAAATGGCATATTAGAATAATTCCTGAAACATCATCATGTGACAATGAAGACTGAGGCAATGGCTTTTGAAAATGCAGCTTTGCCATAACAGAAAGAAAATATATTTAAATAGAAAAGTTAATAATAATACCTTTTATTAACTGTCACAATACTATCGATTTACTGTATTTTTGATCAAATAAATGCAGTCTTGTTGAGAAATAGACTTCTTAAATAAAAAAAGCTTTAGATCTTTTTTTAACTTGGAAAAAAAAGTGTTTTTACTTAACTCTACTCCCTTTCTGATAGTGAATCTGATTTAAATCAGAGATTATATTTAAACATCTTTTACCTAAAAGTCCTATTCTTGCACATCACAAGACTAATATCATCATTATAATTTTTCTTAAACCCCTTACCTCTTTTTCCAGGATGGCCTGATGTTTCTTACTCAGCTTGTCTGCTTCACTTCCAAAGTTGTTTCTCTGGGTCTCCAGCTCTTTGTCCAGCCTGAGCTGATGTTCATCCATCTCAGACTTGAGCTTGTTCTCCAGAGCCAGCAGCTGTTTCTGGTGCTGCCTCCTCATGCGCTTGTACCCCGACATCTGCTCCCTCAGAGCTGAGCCCTGCTCATGCTCCTGAATCTGACGGGTCACCTGGAAAGATAGGGAGAGGGAAGGTTGTCTATCCCAACTTCAGATCAACAACAACAAAAAAAAGACTCTGAGTTGCAGGTCAGTCAAATGCTCACCAGTGAGGCTGTGCGGATGGTGGCAAAATGGTCTCGGTTTCTGTGCACCCTCCTCCGAGCGGCCGACGACGGCGGCTGCTGCGACTCCATCTCCGGCTGATAAGGATCGTCATAAATATTATCGCGCGTCTGGATGAGCAAAAACAAATTAGTCAAGGAAAGGTACATTTTTGAGGATCGTGTGTTCTCGCGCTGTCATTACGTACAGTGGGGCGGTGTATAATAGAGCTGTTAGACGTGACAGTCTGTTCTCCCTCCTGCATCATGGCCATCTCAGCACTGTCGTCCGAGCCATCGGCCAGGCTGTTGACTGAGGAACTCTGGGAGCTGGCGCTGATGGACATGGAGGGCACAGACTGAGAGCTCTCCATACTGTTCACCGTGCCTGTCTGCAGGAGGTACTGATCCGCTTCCTACACACAAATCCCAAAGAAAACATGTCATGATCTTTTCCTATTTTCTGTAGTGTAGAACAATATAACAAAAGAGCAGAAAATGGGCTGAAGTAGATAGAAGGATCAAAGAAGAGAAAGACAAAGGTTGACAAGCCTTTGGATGTACCTCTTCTTCCTCTCCTCCTTCCTGTGTGGGGCCATTGAGGGTTTCCTGAAACAGGATCTTCTTCATCTTCCTGTACTGCAGGTTGTCCAGCTCTCGCACAGCGTCTTTGGTGCGCGTGATCAGATCCATCACTACAGAATGAGGGCGCTCTCGACACAGGAAATGGTGCTGTGAAGGGAACACATGTTGTGAATCACAGAGCTATATAGATGAGCTTCATGACTCAATCTCAGCGTGTGTAAACGTGGATGAGAGAGTTACGCGGAATAACCGGTTACATTTGTCACACAAATAATTGCTATTCATGATTTAATTGCCCATTTTGTCACATACAATAAAAGCTTAATATTACACATACTGGACTACAGATTAAAATGGGATTAACTAGGAATCCAGTGTGAGCTACTAATAGCACTGGAAGTGTTTAAAGGGATAGTTCACCCAAACATGAAAATTACCCTATGATTTACTCACCCTCAAGCCAGCCTTGGTGTATATGACATTCTTCTTGAAGACTCATATAATTGGAGTTTTATATATGTATATATATATATATGAAGAGTTCAGATGCAAAAGCCTCTAAGTGCCATTTGAAATTTTCTTCTAAAATGATAATTTTTATCAAGCTTGTATATTTAAGTTCAGTAATTTCACTTAAATGACTATTAATAGGTAATCTTCATTGCCATTTAAGTGAAATTACTGAACTTAAATATACAAGCTTGATAAAAATTGTCATTTTAGAAGAAAATTTCAAATGGCATTTAGAGGCTTTTGCATCTGAACTCTTCATATATAAATATATATATATTAAAAAATGTCCTGGCTCTTCCAAGCTTTATAATGACTTCCAAGCTTTATATAAAGTGAATGGCCGTTTCTGTTTTGAAGTCCATCAAAGTGCATTAGGGATGGGCATTCAATTAAATTTTCTTAGACGATCGTCTATCAATTAATCATTAAGATTTTTATATTGAAATTCATTATTTATTTAACTTTTATAATTTAAAAATGCAATGAAAATACAAAAATACAGCGTGTTTTTCCTCAATGAGATGTTACAAGAAGATGTGACAGTTAAAATGGAGGTTCGGTCAGGCTAAACGTGAAGACGTATGTGCTCTAAAGCAGCGGAACCTGCAGCTGCGAGCCGGCATTCTTAAACAGAGACCCGTTTGTTCCAAAATAATAAAAAAAGATTCATGTTAAACAATTACTTAACCAAAAACACAATAATACTTCGATCTGACCGGTTTTGTCAAAATGAACTCAACAAAAGAACCGGAAGAGAATACAATGCTGAATAAAGATATCGTTTTTGTTATTTTTGGACCAAAATGTATTTTCGATGCTTCAAAACAGTCTAACCCACTGATGTCACATGGACTTTTTCGATGATGTCTTTATTTCCTTTCTGGACAAGGACAGTACACCGTACATACATTTTCAATGGAGGGGCAGAAGTCTCTCGGACTAAATCTAAAATATCTTAAAGTGTGTTCCGAAGATGAATGCGGCATGAGGGCGAGTACTTGCAATACTTCATTTTGCCATGAAATCTTTTTCAATTTTTGACATTCCAACAGAAGCCATTTCTATATTCCATTGGAACAGTGCAGAATAATAGAGGCTATTTCAAACATATCAGAGAACAAGGGACGAGAGAACATGTAAATGAAAGAGTGAATGAAGAGTCGAAGAGTGTGTGTTCAAGTCTCACATTGAGCAGCACATCTGAGGTAGGCCTGTCCTGAGGGATCTTTTGAAGACAAGAGTCCACAAAGTTACGGAAGTAGTCCGACCTGCATTTAAAAAAAGGAGAGAGAAAAGTAAAGTTAACCTTCACTCACATCCACAGTAATCGTTGCCATCACTGTTTGGTGCTACAGTATTTACATGAATCATTCAGCACAACATTGCTAACATTTGTTATCTCAGTTATGTACACATACAATAATGAAGCGAAGTGACATGATGTACAACGCAGCTAGAAGCTAACGTTAACGTTTTTCTAATTTTAGGCTAACGTTACATTAGAGATTTTAAAGATTTGCTCAAATACGCTGTTGACTTGGAGCAGATGTAGACATACTTGTTTAATTCATCCACGTTTAGTTGGTGTTGTGGTCTACCACATAACTTAATCCAGATCAGACGCGTATCTCGGTTGAGATGTGGCTTGGGAAAAGGGTTAACCGACGCCCAGACTCTAGGGAACCTTTTGTCGGAGTTGCATGTACCCCATGCACACCATTTGACCATTTTAAAATTAAATTGACAAGAAAAAAGTTTGCATTTTAAGTAATAACTAAATGTGGAGGTGTCCTATGTTTTTCCTCACCAAATATTTCTATTAAGGAAATTTTACAAACAATTTTAAAAAAGCCATTTATTAAGTTTTATTAGTTTTTAGTATTATTATTTATATTACCTCCATGTCTCAATATTGTTAAAATGAAGATCCAATGTTCAAAATTACCTAAATTTGTATAACTAAATTACTAGTATTATACTTTGAGCTACTAATTTAAGGCCGTGTGCCCACCAAAGTGTTTTTAGCCAGCTGAAAACGCTAGACGCTCTGCTCAAAACGCCTAACTGCGGGCGCTTGAGAGCGTTTTGGCAGCTCAGTGTTTTTTCTGTTGAGATGTTTCGTTGCTATGATACTGATTTTGCAGATTATTCGTTTTTCATACTAAAAATTTACTTTTCAGAAAGAAAGTTGTGACAGTTGGTCGGTGTAATATTAGTCCCGCCCCTCTTCTACTGTGATTGGAAGGCTGGGTAAAGAGTGACAGTGATGAGCACTGCACTTTACCCAAAGTTGAACATTTTTCAACTCCCGGCGACCAGTTAAAAATACCGGGTGCATGGTGCTTCAGCATGAAAAAAAAAACGCTCAGCGCCTCGTTATGCTCATGGTGTTTTAAAAACGTGCCAGTCCCATTGCAAACATACACCAGGCACGTGAAAAAACGCTTTGGTTGACACACGGCCTAACAGCTAATAAAAATGTCAGTTTACCCACACACTGAAAAACAAATAAATTTATTGCAAATGCAAGAGAACAATGCAAAACCAAACAGAGACAAAAAGAAAAAACAAACAGTTAAATAAGACAAACAGGCAGAAAAAAAAGAAAGTAGAACAAAGTTCTTACCAGTGGTTTGACGCCAGGACAGGGCTTTCGTTTTGCGCAATGTGGTATAAGGCACTCATAGCATTCATATTGAACAAGGGCGGCTTCCTTTCAGCTAGACAAAAAGACAAACAGAAATTTAAAGCCAGTGCACGCACACACACAAAAAAAAATATAATTCACAATAAAAGAATGAGACCAGAATTAGTGCACTACAATGAAATAGACAATGAGAGGTATATGAGTAAATAAATGAAAAGGCTAGGAGTTTAAGGGAAACGTACAGACTGGGCGAGAACAAGAGAAAGAGGAGTAGAAGTTAGCGGACAACCCAAAGCAGCTTAGACACTAAAACCCAAATCCCATTCCCAAGCAAAAGACGGCGACAAAACACAGACTTGCAAGCACAGAAACACGCTGGCCTAAATAAATCCTTAATACTCGAGATGGCTCTAAGTTTCAGGTCAGTGGGAGGTGGAAAGTCATGGATGAGTTTCAACATCACAAACCTAGTTCGATGCAGGTGATGCCGAGAGACCAGACGTCCACTTTCCCGTCGTACTGCCCCTCGTCCATGGCTAGGATCACTTCTGGAGCCATCCTAAACATGAGAGGGGATCGTGATAAACAACACTTTCTTTGCTCCCTTGAAAGATATAAAAGTACAATCTACTGCACAGACACTTTAATATTGTCAATGCAGGTCCCTCTCAGTTCACGTGGTAGACCATTTATGGACCAATATTATGGCCGACATAGTGAATGTTGCAATCATTTTAATCATTTAAAACTCAAATGGGACTATTTAAATCATACTTTTTATTTGGCAGTTATGTTTCCTAAAGGTTGTGTTCTAAGACTCGTTTTGCAATCCCTGTCATGACTTGAAAGTATGAGTGTTAAAACATTTTAATAGTATCTCAGATTTACATTTTAGCAGAACAGAATGGTGTTAGAAGTGAAAGGGCCAATTCATGCAAACTAATGTAACCTAATTAGGTGAGTGGTTCAGTCCAAAAATCTGATTGTGAGATTTATTACTGTTGTCACTCAGAAACCTATTGGAAGTCTCTGAGGTGTTCGTCTCTATTTAAAATGTCTTTGTAAATGACATCATGTTAGGTAAATATAATTGTTTATTACTATGTTAACTACCATTCAAAAGTTTGGGGTGACAAAATTAAAATACAGTAAAAAAAAAATAATAATAGTAGGAAATATAATTTACAATAGCCATTCAAACCAAGAATAATAAATATAAAGTTTAAAGAATTATTTAAATTATTGAATGTATAAAATAAAAAATATTCTGAATGAGAATGTGGTAATCCACACCAAAACTATAACAATAATGCCACAATATTGGAATGACTTTCATAATTATTATTTTTTTTCTCCAGCTAATGAGTGATTAAAAAAACCTTCACAGCCCTTCAGAATCCAAGCCGCCTAAACCAAGTTAAACTAATTAGAAAGTGGCAGACAACGTCGCTGTGTTTCCGCTGGTGTGTGAACGCTAATACAGTCATTGCTCTAGTCTGTAATAGTTTTTAAGAGTCTTTGATGAATCAAACATTTACAAAAAAAGCATTTATCTGGAATATATTTTTTTAAAAGTAGTCATGTCTTTAAAAAAACAAATCTTACTGCCCCCAAACTTTTGAACAGTAGTGTATTGTTATTCGGCGCATAAAGCATAAAAATGCTAAAATTACTCGCTCATGCTCATTTATTAAAAGAACATTCAGCTTTTATTATGATATTTTAATATCGATCTATCTTACTGCAATGTGCAACAATTAGAGTAATAACATAACTTTCAACACTCTTAAAAGTATTTAACATACTCAAATGTATTTTTAGTATAATTGTTTTGAACAATTAAAACAGTGCTGCGTAACCCCACAGTTTTAATTCTGCAAATATAGTGACGTGTATGAGTAGTAATTTCATTTCATTAGAATGAAATAAAATAATGTGATTCAAAGTGATCAAACATAACTGGATGTCAAGTTCAGTAATACTTTATTAATCCCCAAAGGGGAATTATTTTAGGGAGGGAGGCGGAGTACATTTTTTTCGTAACTTTAATCGTAAAATGAACAATAAAAGCTCCGGCGCTCCTCCATGGGACTCGATACTGGTGTGTTGCGCAGGGATCTGTCTCTCATTAGCATTCACATCATCGGCCTCGTTCGGCTACCATGGCCCTCGGCCCCCGACCAGCTCAGTAAATTTATAAAACATTATTATATTTGCTCATCTATGAACATCATTTCTCCCATTAGATTGCTTTCCATCGGCAGTGGAGGTGAAGACGTCAACTGCCATGATTCCACACTCCTTCATGACGTCATCAAGCTACACCATTGTTATTGTTTTGAACAAGAGACCTCTAGCAGCAAAACTTACATACTGTGCCTTTAACCAAACAATCAATTGTATTTACAACTCACCAGTAAGGTGTACCCACAAAAGAGTTGGCGGGAGAAACTATTGAGGCAGAGCCAAAATCTCCAAGCTTCACCTGACCAGGCTCAGTTAGCAGAATATTACCTGCCTTCACATCTCTGGAAAAAGAAAATCAAAGAAATGAGGATATGTCCATCTTTCAGCAGTGAATCTTTTTTATATATATATTGACAAAAGAGTAAAAAACTTAGCTGGCATTTCAAAAGAACAGCCAAATAAACATCTCAAAGCGAGCAGGTGTAAAAATAAGAACAGAAATTGAAAGAAAGGGTCAGCGTTCTCACCTGTGTATCATGTTATGAGAGTGAAGGTAGGCGAGGCCCTGAAGTGCACCGTGGGTAATAGCAGCTATTTCCACCTCTTGAAGAGGCTTTTTATGCACTGTTGGATAAAAAGAAAATACTTCACTGTGGGAAAATATCACAATAGAAATCTGACGATTACAATATTTACGCCTGCATGTTTCCCAATGAACTGATGATGGTACAAATACAGCACAGCGAAAACAAATGGACACCTCTAATGTAAGACAGGGCAGCCGAGGGAGAGCACAACAGCTTTATTTTGTAAGAAGGGAGGATGTGAGGAAGGGTACAAATGAACTACTCACCCTCTAAAAGATCAGAGGCTGATCCTAGACAGTATTCCATCACCAGCTAACAGGAGAGACAGACAACATTAGCACACATCAGACAAACACGTCGCTCACACGCATGTGCACATGCACTTACCCATGCTGTGTGCTCTCTGAGGTAGCACCCTTTGTATTCGATGGTGTTGGGGTGTCTGAGCTTCTGCAAGAACTTCACCTCTTTTATGATGTCTTGCCATTTCTGTGGGCCAAGAGAGAGAACAGTAGCAAAAAAACAGTTAGTTTTCATGAATGAGTTTGCACTGTCTGATTCAATACTGTTGAGATACAAGTTATATTTTGATCCTGACCTCATTGGACTGTTTGCCACTGAACGACATCTTCTTGATGGCCACAACTTCATTGGAACGCACATCATGAGCCTGAGAGAAAAAATGCAGTCATATAGAGAGCCTTATGACAGACGTACAAGCACATCCATAGCTAATTATTGGCATGGTTTGCTCACAAAGTACACAGCTCCAAAGCTGCCATGACCGATTTCCCGGAGATCAGTGAAGAGCTTCTCAGGATCATCTCTGTAGAACAGCTCAGACACCTCTGAGTCCTTCAGGGTCCCAGTACGCACACTGGCAGGCATGACTGGCTCCTGAGACAGAGAAAAATAAAAAGAGAGAGAACTGGTAACTATAATTATGCATGAATGCTAAATAAGCAATCCTGTTGCATTTGGTTTATCTGCAACATCACAAAAACAAGGAATTGAGTCAAGGAACTTCTCAAAAGGCCACCTATTCAATGAGACATCAGTCTGGGCTTCTATTTTAATTAGGGCTTAAAAAAATCAGTTCTCTCCGACTAGATTCAGTATTTTAATGTTTCTGTCCTTACTTTCCTTATTACATTTTACATTTATTCATTTAGCTGATGCTTTTATCCAAAGAGACATACAATTGCTATATCTGTCAGAGGTTGCACGCCTCTGGAGGAACTAAGGGTTAAGTGTCTTGCTCAGGGTCTAACAGTGGATTCGAACCCTGGTCTCTCACACCAAAGGCATGCGTCTTATCCACTGCGCCATCACCAACCCTATAATAGAGGAATCAACACAATATTTACACTCATGCAACACGGGGTTCGAACCCACTATCAAAATGGCTCAGGATTAGTAATACATGGTTTAACAGACTGCTCCACTCAGACTGATTACAGACTGTTACTAACTCACAGTTAGTAACAGTTCCCACAACGTTGCTACGTAATCGAGAGTTACCGCTCTCGAAAGGGAACGTCTCCGGTTACAATCATAACCTAGGTTTCCTGAGAGGCGGAAACATGCGTTAGCCACAGTGTTCGCTGTTTGATTAGCTGTGTGCAAGCGTTCAGTCGTGATTCGACGATCGATGGGAATTATTTGATTAGTAACCGGAGACATTTTTGATTTTTCAGCCATTTTGACAGCACTAGACTGCTGGAAATTCAGCATTGTCATCACAGGAATATATTACATTTAAAAGTAGCCTATATTAAATTAGACAACTGTAATGATTCATATCAAAATAGAAGTCAACTGTAATAAATTTAGAATATTCTTACAATATTACTTTTTTGCTGTATTTTAGAGCACCAAATTGGGAGTAAATGGCATTAAAAAAAAGAAAAGAAAAAAAAGGTTTGTTTGTTTGGGGTGAAAGTGGTTTCCAAAAATTGAACCAAGTGTCAAAATGCCACTCTAAACTTGTAAACTCCTTTCATCTCTTCTCTGGCTTGGCTTATATGCCACAATCTGGCATCTGCAGCACACTATAGTCTGTGACCCAGTTAGAAGTTGCGACTCTGTGCAGCGCATTAATAAAGATGCTGTAATCTGCCCTGGTTGGATGATGGGTTTCAAAATCAGATGTTTCGTTCCTTCCTTTTTTCATCTTCTTCATGCTCATGATCCGATACTGTTAGTTCAAAGTTCGAATTGCCAACTATTGTGAAGAAAAACCGACCATCACACTCACATCCAAACACAAATCCATAAATGTACACACTTTGATAAAAAAATCATTTGCATATGCATTTATGACTGCTGTTACCGGAAACTCCCAAGTTGTGATAAAGTAAAACACGGAAGTAGTTGTGCAAGTAGTCCAAAGAAAAACAACAGCTAAGTCAAAGCAGCTGAGAGAAAACTGGCCAGATGAAGCATCTCCTATGCTCTGATGATGATAATCGATCCTGAAATCTGATCTGAATCTTTACTGGCTAGTTGATGCAGCCCATTTACACAGTGATAAAAAAAACAACAACAACCCAGAAACAGACACATTGGAGACATTCTTACATCAGTTTGCTTATCAGACAGGTGGAGACAATTATTTGAGATTCTTTATTGTTATCTTGATGTTTTCACTGGCTCCTGAGGCTCAAAGCTTTTATAAGAACACAAATACAAGTCAACCAATTCTCTGCACTGAATCTCCATCCCTGAATTAATTGAGTCTGTTGCAGAACAATAAAAATCACAAACACTAAACTGTTAACAAATATCTGTATTAAATCAGGTAAATTAAATATGTAACCCCATGATCTAACATAATAATGGAGCTTTTCCACAGGTATAATCCCATTCCCACCCACTTTGAAGTGGTACTAACTGAAGCGAAACAAGTCGTACCGCGCAGTGGAAAAGTGAAGTGAGCAACGTTGAACCGTACTGAGCCATACCAGCAGTCGAAAAGCGCCATAATAGAGCTGGGTATTTCCACAAATTTTACGATTCAATCAGATTTCCATTGACAAGCTTCGATTCGATGACGCTTATATTCAATATAATTTGTTAGCTGGTATATAATAATTAAGGTTACAATGAACTGATTTTTGTATACAAACACTTAATACACTCGAGGAAGTTTGTATTAATGAAATTGTAATACTAACTTTAGAATAAAAATCATATTTCTACTCCAATTTGTGAAATATAAACATGTAAATGTGGTAATATTTATTCAAACATTCATTAAAAATTGAAGGTTTTTTTTTTATAAAGGAAAAAAATGTGTAATGTGTTGCATACATTTATTCAAATGCTCCTCTTTAGAGTTCATTTTTACAGCTGACTAATGAGTATATGGGACACTGAATATGAAGGGCAGGTAGTCAGTTCCATGCATCTGTTGTTGATTGGAATTTAAGATGTCGGTGTTGCAAATAAAGGCAGATAAGCTTGCAGGAGTGGAGTTTATGTGGACTAAAATGACAAGAGAGAAGTCTGTCATTTTCGCTGGAAGGACCAGCTATGATATTTTGATGCATTACAAGGTCAATTTTTTTTTTAAAAAGGGACAATTGTGAATTGTTTACACAATGATAAATTACAAACATTTAGAAAAACAGACAGGGTGGATTTTCAGTTTACGCCAGCAACTTAAATACAGTATTTTGACATGGACAACACAAAGAGAGAAACAGCAGTTCCCAGCAAACATGTCTTGGGATCTGGGACAGTCAGCTCAGAAAACAACTCTGAAGGGATGCTCAGATTAAAATATAATGCTTCAACCAGACACCCCTGTACAATAAAACAGACAGTGACTCAATCACACCACGGGAGACAAGCAACTGCGCAGCTTCACCTGAGTGCCAAAGCTTTTAGCAGCACAGGCATCTTTCTGGTTGTTGTAATGAAGGAAAAGCATATATGTCATCCGAGCTCTGTGGATGACCACCAGTGCTTCCAGCAGCATGATTACAGGGTGGTGGGGGTCAATGGGATTTGCGAAGTCTATTTCGCATTTCCCGCTTAAAGAAAGCCGGTTCACGCAAGATCTGAGGGAAAAACCACAGCTGCTAACCACCAACCCATAAACCAACTTTTTACAACAATCTCAATCCTGATCAAACGGCACATTATGGAAGTCTCATATTTAGTTCTGTCGAATTCCTCACCTTCATATTGTTCCAAACCCTCAAGACTTTCGTTTTCTATGAATCACAAATGAAGATATTTTTTAATGAAATCAATGATTTCTGTCACTCCAATGAAAATGCAACGCAACCAAACCTGTGATGACTCAAGAAGTTTATAAAACTATTAATCAATTTGTATAGATGAATAAATTCTACAGAGCACTTAAATTCTACAGAGGATTAAACTGCCTGATTAATTTGGATCAAATAATGTTTTATGATCGTTTTGAATCAAGTTTCGGTTTAATGGACTTTCAAAAGGACAAAAAAGCTTCATTTGTGTTTCAAAGACCAACAAATGTCTTATAGGTTTTGGAATGACATGAGGGCGAGTAAATTATGGTAAAATTTTCATTTTTTGGTTGTACTAGGCCAACCCTTCAAGCCCACTTGATTTATATCTTCAGCTTAAAAGTAGATGCTCAAAGACTTGATCTGGGTGTGTCATCCACAATGTGCATTGTGCACCGACCAGGATTGAGAACTACAGTCATGGCATAATGGGTTACCAGAGTCAGACTGGTAAACCGAAGGTTGTGGGTTCGATATTCTCAATGAGGCAAAAAATGACTGAGGTGTCCTTGAGCAAGTCACTGAACCTTGATTCGCTCCCAGGGCACCACAGCAAAATAGATCCACACTGCTCCAGGAGTGTGTTCACTACTCAGTCACTACTCCTGACATATGTCCACAAACTTCAATGGTTTAAATGCAGATGACAAATTCAGAACATGGGTTACCTTACCAATACCATACTTGGCTTTCACTTTCACTTTTTACAGCATCGTTGAGGTCCTCCTCTTAACAGTCTACTAACAAAGTATTGATTAAACATGCCCTAATGTGCTATTACTGTATTTAAATGGTACCCAGTAATGTTGTTCCTTCCACTCATTGAGTGCACTTAAGTCTATAATGTGTTTGTGCAGTTGAAACACACCTTTCACACTAATACTTTTCCAGTAGACTGTGTAGTGTGGATCAGTTTTGTTGACCTCGGGACTGAATGAATGGTCAAGCGTGTCGTTAAGTTGCATACTATTGTATAAATGCTAAGGGGATGGGGGCACAGTCAGTTTCCGGTGTTCTGCTGGAAAGGGGGAAACTAAACAATAGAAACAATCCGGCTGTATCTCAAATTCCCAGTGAAAAAGCATTTTGAAGAAATAGAATAAAAAAATGTTCCTGATGCCTCTTGGATAGGCAGCTCACTAGGTTTTGAGAGACATGCAACGACTTAGAGTAATGACCATAGTACAAACCCTTACTTATATTGTTATGACTGAAGATGTCCGGCTAGTTCATGACAGGCTCAAGTCTGTCAACAACAAAAAGTCCGAGTGTACCCGTCTTATACAGCTACACAAGTCTCACAATCACCATTGGGTTTCAAACGCAAAATCTTTTTAATCTTACCGTGGCGTGCTGCGATCCTCCTCTTTATTCCCTGTGAATAAACAGTTATCCGGCTTCCTCCGCAAAAAACTGTGGCGTTTGCTGTTTTTTGCCCGCTGCGACGTTTCAAATCAACACACGGTCCATTTTTTTCTACCAACGCCCACCTTCTAGCGTGCAGAAGAGTATAATTGTATACGCATGTATGTCCTAAAACTATATGTGTATATGAAGTCTTTATCTCACTCTCTCGCTAACGGCTCGTTAGCCAGCTAGCCAACTGTTTCCACTTGGAATAAGGGCCGCGGCTGGTGTACCTGCTCGCCCCTTCCAGCGCCTATCATATTGCACAGTTACATCCGCACTTTTGATTCTAGATGTGATTTGAACACTAAATCTATTCTGTGTCTGATTGTCTTTCTATCTTGCCCCCTTTTTTGTCCAGGAAACGCAAAATGGCTACGTGGGGCGGGAGCGAACCGGAAGGAAGGTCAAAATGCTGTGCCGTGTATTTCCGGTGAAGAGTGGCTTTGGGAATCTACCATCTTGATAAGGGCAACGTTTACAGTTTTTCTGAATTGCTAAAGCAATAGCCTAAACCAATTTGTCGAATAAATCACTCTTTCTGTAAAACATTAAACAAGTTCAGGTGGTTAAAACACTGTTTGCAAATCTCATGCACTCTTTTTTTTTTCAAATCTCTAAAAACATCCTCACTCACTAAAACACATTTCGCACTGTGATGCACTTATGTTTCAAAATGCTAAACACAGGTAGGCGAAAGTTAAACACAACTACAACACAGTTGTCACCGTTTACACACAATGACTTCACACTTATTTGTAATGATGTGACCAAACCAACTGTACATACAAGTCAGTTCAGATGTTTTGGACAAAATGGCCCTGTACCGCTTTCGAGGGGAGAAGATTGAACAGACCATTGGCAGCATGAGAGGGGTCAGCCACAATCTTCACAGCTCAACTCATTTCTGATACAGTTCAGTTAACAGTGTTAATGACAGTGTCGTTAGCTTAATTCAATTCCATTTTGTTCTCATCCAATAGTGTCAGTGCAGTTAAAATAACAATAATACAGAATATGAAAGGACATAAGATATCCTCAATTTATTAAAGTCCCCCTGTGGTAAAAATCTAGTTTTTAATGTTGTTTATATGTAGCCTAGTGTTTTTGTGCTTTTGCCATGTGCAAATTCAGAAGTCAACACCATTGCTTAGTATTTTTTTCTTAAAACTGCAGCGAACCAAAGACAGTCTCAAAAACGGGGTTTGAAATCGCTGGTTTTTCTGACGTCACAAACTGGGGGACTTAAAGAAAGGCATGCATGGGGATAATATCCCTATGGTAATATCCACACAGCCTTCAAGAGCAAATGTATTGGTGGGGTGCAATCCGTTCATGGCAAAAAAAAACTGAAGCCATGTGGAATGACTAATGTTGTTAGGCTACGCTATGTTTCACTGATACAATATACCACTGAACTCTGTAATGGAGGTGTCAACGTTAAGTTAATTTGTAACCATCTTAAATTGATTACTCACTAATGAGTACGATGAATATTTAACCAAAAATAAATATTGGGGACATAAAAATGCACTGCACTGAGGCCATGGGTCATAAATATGATGTATGCCTAATCAATGAACAAATTTTCATTACCACTGAACTTGGTAATTTTCATAAACAGACTGTTGATTGATGTAATTGAGGAAACAATTCATATAAACATATACAAGAGAGCATTATATGACATTAAATGATCATTTTGGGTCCACTGTTGTCTTTTCACTTTACAATGGAGTAATTATTCCAGGCTATATGGAAGCTTGTTTCTGCCACATAAAAAAGTTTAAAAAGGTAACTTGTAGGCCTACCACCTTTTATCTCACAGTTTCGTTTAATTTATTTATTTATTTATTTATTTTTTATCAGAATTAAGGGAATGTTTTCCTTTGTTCGAAACAGTTTGTCCACTGTAGTAAAACCGGTAAATCACTGAGCAAGCAGTCACCATCGAGAACGTTTTAGTGAAATATAAAAATTCCACTCAGACAGGCACAGAAATAATAATAAAGAACGATTTCAGCATATGTTCTTCGGGATGATCTGGTAAATAGACTTTTTCTTAGTCACATGTGAAGGGTTCACATAGGCTACTGTCCAATTTTGACTGTCTTGTCCTCCATAGGCATAACAATTTTTATAATCAAATGGAAGAGACTAACTAAACTCTAATGTGTATTTCAGATGTATTTTCTTTACATAGGCTATTTGTTCTACTGTTCATGACTCTCCTTCTTTCATGTATCCTCTTTGCCCTAATGAACTCACAAGCAAACTTTTATCTTTTATCTTCGAAACACAACCCAAATATGTTCTTTGCATGAATAATCATTACTTTTTCTGGGTTAGGTGAGATTTTTTGTTTTACCAAACTGACCAAAAGAGTAAAGACATTTATAATGTTACACAATATTTCTATTACAATTAAATGCTGTTCTTTTGAATTTTCTATTCATTAAAAAATCCGTAAATAGCCTATATACATATAGGCCTATAAATCAAATTAGAGAACACTTATGTGTTACGCGTAAAGTGACTTTGAACTGAAAAGCGCTCAATAAAATAAGTAATCCATAAAGTTGTAAAGGTACGGGGCGTGTATACAGAATAAAGGCATCTCAACAGAGACAGATCAGAGACTCTTGATGAAGAAATCTCAACGAACACGACAGCATCTGATTTACTGTACATCTTATTAGAGAGCGGGCATTAGAGAAAACTGCAATCAGAACACAGAACAGAGCAAGTATGAAGTTGAACACAGCTTTGAGTGTTGTTGGAACCATACTTCTCAACATCGCAGGTAGATAAAGTCTAAGTGTATGTTTAATAATGTTTAAATTGACAAGACAATTGAATGCTGTTGCTATATAAAACCTTTGTAACTCTCTCTCTCACACACACACACACACACACACACAATTTGAATTTAGACTTATAGGCTATGCTGAAATGCCAACGTGGCTACGCATGCAACGGGGAAAAAACCTTTTCATGTCTGGAAATTGCACAGTTAGGCCTCTTTTGTTTTCAAAGAAGAAAAAGGAACATGTAGCCTATAGCCATATGAAAACGCTTTAATCAAATGACTCAACATCCAACTTAAACATTCACAGACTCCGGACAATGTATAGCTTAAATTGAGTGTTTGTTAGTGATATAAAATTCCATAGTTTATTTCTGATCGCAGTTATATGTAAATTTCTAACGTAAAAAGAAAAGAAAAACACTCAAAGGGGAATGCCCACCACATGCGAAACAGGCCTAATTTATCTCACATGACTAACAAATTAAATTATACTTTCATGCCATGACAATGGGTCATTTTAACAATGTGGCTATAATCCGTGTATATTATCTTGATTCATGCCAATGTGCCTGTCAACACATTTATGTAAAAGGTATATTTAGAACAGTGAGGCTGCATTCAGGTAACACAAACCAGTTCATCGGCTCTGTTTATATCTGGTATCTGTCTCCTTCATAGGTTCTCTCGGCCAGTTAGATGGTAAGTTGTCATATAATGACCATAACACTCTTGTTCCACATTGCTTTTGGGCATTTTATTTGGAAATTCCCACATTTTCTTTCCTATATTCAGTATGTGGTCAAGCTCCCCTCAACAACAAGATTGTTGGAGGACAGGATGCAACGGCAGGGTCTTGGCCGTGGCAAGTCAGCATTCAAAGTGACTATTTTGGAGGCCATTTCTGTGGCGGGAGTCTAATCAATAAAGACTGGGTTTTGTCTGCAGCTCACTGCTTCCAAAGGTATGAAATTGAAGCTTAAAGGTTTAGTTCACCCAAGTTTAAATTTGTTAATCTTTTAAACACAAATGGAGATATTTTTAATGAAATTTTAGAGATGCTCATGTCAAGCATGTATGCTTGAGCTTCAGTTTAACAAATCTGATTGCTCTATGTACGTTTGCTGATTAACATTGACATGTCAAAGCCTAAATTAAATCGGATCATCAAACACTGTAAAAAAAATATGTGATCAATAATTTATGACAACATGTTTTATATTGCTTAAGTCATCTACATTAAAAAAACAAGATTCAAATAGTTTCAAAGACAGTTTAATGCAATTTAAGTTTAAATTAACATCCAAGTTAATTGTACTTGTAAATTTAAGGCAGCAAATTTTGCGAAGACTTGAATTACGTAAACCGCTCAGATATCATATGGATTTGTTATACATTCTCTTAATGAATGTTTTGAAGCTTCAGAGTGAATATTTCAATGGAGGGACAGAAATCTCTCAGATTTTATTTAAAATATCTTCATTAGTGTTTCGAAGATAAATGAAAGTGTAATAACAACATAATTTTCATTGTTGGGTGAACTAACCCTGTACATACTTCTCAAGACACAATTATAAATTGATCACAATGGAATTAAAACTGAGTTCGTCTATTCACAGCTCCTCCATGGGTACCATTATGATCTACCTAGGACGTCGGAGCCAATCAGGCTTAAACCCTTATGAGGAAAATAGGACAGCGATTCAATTTATTAACCATCCTAACTATGACAATCCTAGCGATGACAACGATATAGCACTGCTCCAGCTCTCCTCTTCTGTGACGTTCTCTGATTATATCAGGCCTGTCTGTCTGGCGGCTGCTGGTAGTGTGTTTGTGGCAGATACAGAGAGCTGGGTCACTGGATGGGGCCTTTTACAAGCTGGAGGTGAATTTACTTGCAAATACTGTAAAGCTCAACAATTTACTCTAAATGGCTATATTAAATGACACTAAAATCGTCCTCTCATCTATGTCATAGGCACCCAGATTCCTGACATACTGCAGGAGGTGATGATACCAATTGTGAGCAACAGTGACTGTGATAATGCTTATGGAGGTGGCATCACAAGCAATATGATTTGTGCTGGATTGCTAAATCAGGGAGGGAAAGATTCATGTCAGGTACAGCATCCATTTGAACCTTTTTAAATTTTTTAAAAAATTAACCAAGCCCAAAAATATGAATCAAGCCCAAAGATTGAAACTCAAAAATATGTCACGCTCACATTTGAGATAGATAGCCTATTTTACAATTACTAATATTAGGACAATGGCTACTTCAGTGACAGTTGCATTTCTTCACTGCTATTCAAAACACCTACTGTATCACGTGGCTTTATAGTAAACAGTCTGTCGAATATGCACTCCCGCCTACTGTTTGTCGAATACTATAAATTCAGACACACTCTGAACACACTTTTTCATGGTGACTTTAACAGTTAACTGTATATTTTCAGATATAAATGTTTTTATCAATGCAGGGAGACTCTGGAGGTCCATTGGTCAGTAGGAACGGCTCCCAGTGGATTCAGTCTGGCATTGTGAGTTTTGGTAAAGGATGTGCCAATCCCAAATATCCTGG